CACGTGTTGCTCAACTAACAGCAGTATGAAGGTATGTGAAATATGACAAACTGTGGTAAGGTGAAAATTAATCTATAGAGTAAAATGACAATGAGACAGTAGGTGGTGCCCCAACTATAATGTATTTATGATAGCAGTACTCGTGCAGCTCCCTGATCCTGGAAAAGGACATCATGCAGGAGTAGGTAGAATATATTCTTGTGTTGATTGGAGCAGACACTTGTGGTTAAGAGAAGTTCAACGACCCTTGTGATAGTGTTGGTTATATTTTCTCTATTCTTTTCTTCTCTGCTAAACGGGTAATGACAGAAATGGTTGATAAGGAAAATTGATTTGAGGTGTACTAAAACTTTACAGTTTGACCCTATTTCCATCTGCTAACATGAGGGAGGTCAGCAGGGGAGCTCTAAATTTTTTGCCCTCTGGACACCTACACATTTTTTTCCTGCTTAAACTCGAATATGCTGATTTGTTGCTGTAAATGTCTTGTGAAAAGACATGTGAAAAGAGGAAAGTGGACATACAAATATTAAATTCTTGAGAATCACATCAAATTAAATTCCCATGTAAAACATGATTTTCTGTGGAAGAGGATGTGCAGGGAAACAAGAATCTTTGAGAAGCAAACTGAACTCATTTCACTCCCTAAAACAATCAGTCGCCCTGAGTCACTGTTGACAAACATGCAAATGTGACCACAACCAGCAGAAGAATGTGTAGATTTGAAGCTTTGAAGACTGAGCAGTTCCTGTTTTCAAGAAACGGTGGTGCAGACTTTTACAGGGAAAAACAGCCAAATGACCAGCACTCTGAAGTGTGTTAACACACTCACTTTACTGAGCTTTGACAAAGAAGACACTACAGATGGACAGTGTATTAGTCATACTAAACCTCTGCAGGTTATCTTTGCATAATCTCTGATCATAGAATCATGCAACAACTTCTGCTGTCAAATGTTCAACTCAAAAGGAAAATAAATTAACAAAGGCAGAAATGGTTAAACATCAATGACTCCTGCAGGACTGTGTTCGGGGTAAGAAGAAAAGACTTTCCACTTCTTACATCTGGTATCCATCAGTGACTCCTCCCATGCTGTGTGCTGTCATATAAAACCCCCTAAAATGCAGCTTTGTTGCCTTTTAGAACTTTAAACTAAATCTGAGCTTTGTATTAAAACATTTTTGTCATGTACTTTTCAGAAAAACTTTTATATGTTTTAATAGAAGAATTTTAAAATGCTCCATCTTAATGTATTTTACATTAAGCTACTTTACATGGTAAGGGATCATGAAAATTGTTTAATACAAATATTGACTTATCATGCATGTAACAGAGTTAACTTGGAGCTAATTTACACTGCAACAGATCATGAAAACTGTGTACAGAAACTGTACCCTTTGCCATTGAAACTCAAAATAAACAATAAAAGCAAGATCACAGCATGTGGAGATAATTAAAACATCATTGTTATTTAATAAATGCAATGAAAAATTGTAATTAAAACATCCAAACTTTATAAAGTATCCTAGCAGTACTGACATAACAACAGCTTGTGTTTCAGCCTCTTCTCTCCTTGTTCAACAGAAATGAAACTTATGGAGCACGGATGCAAACAAGCCCTACATTCACAGAGTATGCATATGTATGCATACGCACAAAAAATGCAGTCAGTCATCAATGTCATCAACTGCCCTGCCAAGTGTGGAAGAAAAAGCCTGTTTTCAATGCACAAAGAAAATGCATGGCAGATATGGCGCACACACAGAGGCAGCAGTGGCTAAGATAGTGTTTCACTGTGTGTTTCAGCTGAGGCCTTTAACCCTTGACTGACTGAACAAGGCGGAGCTGTACAAGCCTTACCCATCCTGTATTAAATATCATCTGCTTGCATTAAGTGTACTTGGCATGTTCTGACTTTATATTTAAACGTTAAACTTATACCTGAGATTCATATTGATGCCTTCTGATGATGATGATGTACAAAATCAATCAACACCAGTTATGAAAGGATTGAAACTTGTATATAATGACTGTAAATGCCTCAGACTAGTGTGAGGGGGTAGCTTTGTCCGCAGGGGACGCCAAAAATTGACACAAACTAAATTTTCCTTACAGGGGCTTTAAGTTGTGAAAAAGCAATGAAAAGCTTTGTGTAGCTTTTAAAAACACCAACATAACTGTAGAGAAATTTGGTTGTGGGGTTTTAACAGGCTGGACTTTGAATGTTTCCAAACACATGAAAACACTTACAGATTTTTTTCTGGCACCAACACACATGCCTTCGGTAGTTACAGAGAAATTATTTGCAGGCTTTTTTCCACTGAGTCTCTGGAGGAGAGATGAAGTGTTTTTACAATCAGCTGCTGGTGCAGATGAACAAGGCTGACAGAAAAAAAGATATTTCTGTCCTCTGCAGTGGACATGATTAGCAACATTAGAAATTATAAGAGGATAAGTGGCTTATCTGGGTGCTACTTGAGTCACAGAAAATCAAAATAACCACAACATGTGCACTTTGTCCAAACATAGTTTGGTTGGCTATCATCTGTCTGCTTGGCTGTCAGTTGACCAGCTGTCTCTGCCTCTTCAAGCTGAACTGGAGTCTTTTCTTAACTTTCTGTTTCTCACTCTTTAGTAACTTGACACACGAACACCAGTGGTTTAAACTTCACCTTGCTTCTCCTAACCGTATTGTTGTTTACTCTTACGTAATCCAGCTGTCCTTCCTTAGCTTTCGTTTTTCTCTATCTCTGCCAGGTCTCACTAGCAAAAGAGATCTTGGATCTCAATGGGACAAACCTGATTAATAAAAGGTTATTATAATAACAGTTATAATAATCTTCAATTGCCTATGCAACAAACTGAATCTGTATTTGCATCATACTGCCATGAATGCTTTTAATGGCTTTAGGAAGTAACATTTACCGTAATATCCACACTGGGCCAGAGTTCTTTGATAATTATAGATTTAGCTTGTAACAACATGTAACCTACCTACTGTGCACTTTCTTGCCAACTGCATGAGTCATTTGGCATAAAAAACAGTTTGGGTCATTGACAAAGTATGTTTACGATTAGAAAAGCTACAAAACAAACCATCCAGCCAGGATCTGACCACAGAAAGAATTTGGAACTGCTGCAGAGAATTGAACTGGATGGATTAGATCTTCCATCACGAGCCAACTCTGTTTCACAAGCACCAAAAGTCAAAAGCTCTTTGATTTATAAACCCAGTGCACACTGATACCTCATACGCAACCTTCGTGCTCATTGTTAGGTTCAGCATTTAACCAGCTCTGAACTGGCATTACCACTGGCATCAGTTTTGTCATGTTATATAATGTGGAAGAGCACCTATACATCTGATTTACTCTGTGCTCCCATGATGAGTTAAAATCAGATAATTTCTAAAGATTTTGACTGAGTCAGATGATCATCATTCATATTCCAAGAGTCTGTCTGGCCTAGCACAGTAACCAGCCTGCTGTTTTGTTGCCCATTGTGGTAAAAATCATTCGTGTCTATGGGATTTTAAGACCATACAGTGACTTGGGTTTCTGTGTTAGGGTCTGTTGTGGGTCACTTCTCGAGGTCTTTGCACATTGAGTATTGAGTTTTTTCAGGATGTGGTTTTGCACAGAAACCTTGCACTCTGAGTTGGCTTATTAATTTTTTTCTACTTAAAGTGATAATTCATGGCTTCAAATGACATGGAGTCATCACGCAGCAATGGTGATTTTGTAGGGCCCAAACGCAGGGCCCAAGAGCAAAGACAGCTTCACTTATAGATAAAGCAGCTATGGGATAATCCGAATTATCCAGGTATGTTAGTCCAACGATAAAACGTTTAATTCTAGAGTGATAGCAGTCAGGCTTATGTGTTTAAATGAAGTCCAGTTTCAGTCGGACTAAAGAAATAAATTTGATGTTTTTGAAAGCATGTAAACATTGAATTTTCTTGAAAGCAACTAACCCTGAACACTGGTTAGTTTGCACCATGCAACACACATTTAATCCAAAATGTGCCAATATGCACTGATACCTGTATCCACAAATACTTCCACAAGATCATGGTCAGTGGTAGTCCATATTTTCACATTCAGAAACTACTCACAGCTCACTGTAACATCTGCACTCGATACTTCTACAATCAATATTTTTGGATGACCTGAGCGGCCATACATTTTTTACTGTTTTCATGAGGAGAAGGTCCTTTTAATAGATTCACTTTTTGTTACATGGAAATCCTCTTGTTATCCAAAGTGATTATAGAAAAATGGGTTAGATTAAAAAATAAAAAAAAATCTCTTCATGTGGAGAGTTCATTTATGGAAAATGTCTGCTTAGGGCTTCTGTAAATCTGCAGTGTAAAGGGCACAGAGTTTTAATGCTTAAAAGCAATAAAAAGTAGGATGTCAAAAGACATTTTTAAGAAGACTTACCTCAAATGACCAGTTTTTTTATATCCAACATGAAGGCCCTCTGGCTGCAAATGTCACTGTCTAAATGGGACTTGTGGTGTAGTTCATAGGTAAGCATAAATGACAGCAGAAACGCAAGACATCATGCACTAAATAGTATATACTACATGATGTTGATGTTGTAAATGACATTTTCGCTTTTTTAAATTAATGTTGCAATCCTAGTCTAGAGTTATGTGAAAAACATGCACGTTTTGCAATGAATGAAAAATATAAAGGCTCGTTAGAAATAAGAGAGTTCATTCACAGCACATAAAACACTACACCTCTTCAAACCTACATTACTGAGAAGAAGCCACTATTACTTGAATCGGTCACCTGTCTTTCTGTAAACGCACTGTCACGTGGTCCCGTGGGTTTCTCCAGTTTTCTGAGCACTTGAAAAGAATTGAAACAGCAGAGGAGCTGCTCCCACGTCAGTTTCACTTTCGTTTCCCCAAAACTCATGACTGCTGTGAAAGAGCGAGAGGGGTGGAGCTCAGGAGCCGGTTTATAAGAGCTAACCGAGCTGTTTACTTCAATCTACCTTTAAGAGTTATGATCACAGGAGTGGAAAGCAGAGGCAGCAGGTCGAGGAATCATTACAGAGCTGTCAAACCCACATACCCGCTACAGCTGCCTGCAGCACGGATTACCGGGCAGGATCTTACTGCACTTTGGAAATACTGCAAACCGAGCTTTAACCCACTGCTGGCCACGGAGCAAAACGGTGAGAGGCTGTTTCAGCTGGAATTTGACTGAACTGTGGGTGTTTTTAGTTTTTTTCGGGTAGGAACTATGCCGTGCTGCCGTTATGGCTGCCTGTTTCTTGGATCTGTGCGCTGCAAAAATGAAAAAAAAGTTCAGCCAGCGTGAAGTCTAAACAGTTCTCCGGACTTGAAAATGATTAGTTTGAATATATAATTTTGTTGTTTAAAAGCTACTTAGAAAACTGGAACAGAGGAATAATCTGATTTTTTTGTGCCTGTCAGTAGCGTTCTGGTCTAGCATCACAACACACGAAGTCACCTGGAAATCAAAAACTTTTTCCTGGAATTCAAGGGAACTTTGACTTCCACTGAACAAAGTGTTGATAAATTCACACCTCAGTAGTTAAAAAGTTGAAACGCACATATGATTTTCTTTGGTGATATGTCGCCGACTGTTCAGTAATTTCTTGTGTAAATGTATCAAAGATAGCTGCAGAGGTTAGTTAACTCATTTGATAGGACTGAGTGACTTTAAGCTGCAGCTCTCAAAGTCAACAGTAGAACAGTGTTGACAGCCTGTGACTTTCCCCTAAAGCTTATACAAAGCAGGATTTGACTTGTAGCTTGAAAGAGAAACTTTTTAGCGTTTCATGCCACCAATGAAGACAGAAAAAAAAGAAAGAAATAGACGACTTCAACTCAGTGCCACACCAATAAAAAGTGATTGATTCCTCCTGAGACTTTGATGACAGTAATTTCCTTTGAACTGGAGTGAGCACAGTCATCCACTCATTTGTATAAAGTACCCTAGCCAAACTACGGGTTCCAGTCACATCAAATACAGTATGGAAGGCGTGAGTTTCTGTTCTTTAGAAAGTTACTGTATTCACACTCACACAGGAGTCTCTTTTTCCTTGATTTAAAGTCATGTCATTGTGAATTATGAGAACTGTGCTACTCTGTTTGTATTGGCGTTTCTTTGGTATGTGATTGATTGATATTTGAAGTAAAGGAACTACAGTGTACTTGTCTTGTTTCTTTCAGGATGTCAGTGTGGTGGTCAGAGATGGGAGAGGGTCTGGGGCCGCTCTCCCCTGTAGGATGGTAGCCGACAGCACTGTGGAAGATCATGACAAGAAGCCATTGTCAAGCTCCTCTTCTTCCTCTTTATCATCATCCTCTGCCTTGTCTTCTGCCTCATCCTTGTCCTCATCCTCTTCCTTTTCCTCGTTGTCCTCATTGTCGTCCTCTCTGGCCAGGCATGATGATCTTGCTCTGAGCCCTCAGCTCATTGAATCAGAGCAGTTCCAGAATCAGGCTGCTCCAGGTCTGAGCCAAAGATTGCCATCTGTCCCCTCCATCTATCGCACCCACTTCCGCACCTTCAGCTCTCAGGAGGACTGTAAAATCATCACAGAAACTGCATCCAAGCTCGAGCGCAGTGGCTTTTATTGGGGCCCCCTTGGAGTAGAGGACGCTCACCGCATGCTAAGGGAAGCTCCTTTAGGGAGCTTTCTCATCCGTGACAGCCGCCAGAAAGACGTCTTCTTCACGCTTTCCTACCACGCCAAAAGTGGCCCGGTCAGCATCCGCATTGACTATAAGCAGCAAAAATTCTCACTGGCAGGAAACGAGCGCTGCTTCCCAACGCTCTTTGCCCTCTTGGAGCATTACATCAATTCTCCTAAGAAAAGCCTGAGCGTCCCTTACAGGAAATGGGAACCAACGCTGCAGGAGCTGTGCAGGAAGCGCATCATAGAACTGTGCGGTGGTGGAAGCCGTGTTCAAGAACTGCCGCTGACACATGTTGTCCAGGACTTGCTGTTGGAATTCCCTTACAAACTATGACTAGTTCACCTTGTGAAGTTTTGGTAATCCTTCTCTTAATTTCAGGGACACAGCTTCTACCAAGTAACAAGTGTTTGGTAAACCGACATCATCATGTGCTGGATGTCAAGACTGTCCTGCTGTGGTTGCAGACAAACACAGCTCCATATGTTGGGCTGAGAAGTTGCAATATGTTTCAGGAGAGACTCAGTGACCTCTGCTGGACCAGGTCAATGTGTGACATTTCAACATCCAGTACTTGCAGGGACTCAGCTCCCACTTGCACACAAACTGAACTACTTTTGGTCTCAAGATTGCACCAAAAGTTGAAAACTGCTGCATTAAGAGGAAACTTCAAACACAATGGAGTTTTTTCAGAACCTTCAGAACTGAAGGAGTCACCTTTGACTTTGTTTGAAGAAACTATAGGGTCTGTTGTTTTCTGTTTGTGGCCTTGTGCAGAATGGGATGGTAGGAGAGCTGTAGGAGTATCAGCAGAGTGGACTTTTAGAAGTATCACAGCCTCTTGGGGCCCATGGCTGAAACCATCACGGGTGATACCAGGGCTCCTGTAGCAGATTTTTGTCAATAATACTCTAATGATGTTGAATGTTTACATCACACACGAATGTTGGTCAACAAAACTGACTGAAAACCACTTTGAAGTCTATTCAAAACCTGACTGTTCCTTTGTTCAAATTTTATGTTGAGGAAACTGAATTGTACTGTATTATGAGGCAGCTCACCTCGTGTCCAACATCTCTACCAAGCAGAGAACTTTTTCACTGAAATGACATATTTTTGTTCTTTACTATATACATAATAATATTTGAAATAAAGTATTTAAAATGACCCTGCTGGAATCTATTTTGGTGTTTTTTAAGGGTATTTTTTTTATCCTTAATCATGTCATGTGCTAATTTGGTGGAAGTTACTTGAGGTGAAACCAGAGGGAGGGACACAGACAGACAGCATGTATTATAGACAGACAGACGGACAGACAGGATGTGTGACAGGGGATGGTATTCAGTGTCGTCACTTCAGTGATTCATCTCTGTAGGCTAAAGTGACAGGTGGGCGGAGTCACTTTGATTGTAAATGGACTGTTACACACACACACTTACCAGAAACAGGGACAGAGGTGACACATACTGAAGTATGTGTGTGTGGTTCTTTGAACCTAATGAGGACCCAGTAAAGATAAAATTTCCTCAGGAGGAAGTGGGAAATTTTGGGGGTTGTTGGTTTGACTGAGACGTGTAAGATCGAGATCAAGGTTTAAGTTACAATTTGCACTTGATTTCAAAGTTAAGAAAAGTTTTTAGGTGTGTAGCAATTATAGAAAAAACACATAAATAAACTGCCCCCCCCCCCCCAAAAAAAAAAAAAAAAAAAAAAAAAAAAATGCAACATGTACCTTTAGAACAGTCACAACAAAACTGGCAAATCACACATACAAGAGATATCCAGTGTAACAAAGAATCTACCTTTCTGTAGAAGGTGTGGCAACACTGAACCAGGTGGGGAAACCTGGTCTGAGTCTGTGACTCATGGGAGTATCAGGTTTAACTCATACAGTACACATGCTATATTTTCTATGAAAACAAGCTGAGCTGAAGGACAGATCTTGAGGGATTAAGACAGACATAATGGGGTTGAGACAACAACTTCTGCCAGGTATTTTAGGCAGGGATCTTTTTCACACAGAGCTAATGCAACCATCAGAATAGCTGAAGAAAACAGATGGCACTTACTGCTGCAGAGATCTCCATGACAGTTCATGTGTACCAAGTACCAAGCCATTAAAAGTGTTGTCAGACTGTCACTCAATAACAATGCTCACCACATCTTCAAAACATGACCTTTCTTTTACCATGGCATATTTAAATAGCTGTGCCTAAACGTGAGGTCTCATCAAAACTGATTTAAAGAAAATGACTTCCCCTCACCCTCATGTCTGTCCAGTAAATATGGTGCACTCTCAGCCAAGGGCCTGTTAGCTTAGCTTAGTAGTACCAACTTCAACCGAATGGGAGACAGCTAGAGTATGGCAGGGCAGTCAAAAAGTTCAAAATAGTCACACCAATCCTTTTGTAGTGTGCTAATCAATTTTATTACCCTATTTCTAAAATTTATGATGAAAAGCAACAATGGTCCCTTTCATGACATTTGTCCAGCATTAGCTAACACCATCTCTTGGCTCACTGAGGCATAATACAACTAGCAAGAGTGTACTGAATTCAACTCTGAATTTACCAAGGTTAAAAAGACACTTATCCTACTCACCGGGGAGGGTGGACTCAAATACCCCTGAAAGTAGTATTGGAGATAGAGCTTTCAGCTATCAGGCACCTCTTCTCTGGAATCATTTAGCACTCGAGGTTCAGGGGGCAGACACCCTCTCTAGACTTAAAATACTCCTCTTTGATAAAGCTTATAGTTAGGGCTGGTTAGGTTTGAACCAGCTTTTAGTTATGCTACTATAGGTTTAGACTGCAAGAGGATCTGGCGCACTGAGTTCCTGTTTGTTCCTCTCTTTCCTTTAGATCTTCATATCCCATTTAAGTTAAGAACCAGATCTCTCTGAGTATCACTCAACTCCCCAGTCTCCTAGGTTTCTCTGGACTGACGCTACAGATGTAGCTGTGGACATGCCTGACTCCAGCTGCATCATTTATGATTGTCTGCCTCAGGCCCTGAGCTCCTTCTTCTCTTAGGTTCCTCTGGACTGCTGCTGTAGACATGAACATCAGCCTTACTGACATTAATAACTTAAAGCTAGAGTTCACTACAATTAGGCCTGCTGACTGTGATCACATTAAATTAGTTTAACATCAGCCAGTTATTACTTATTTCCTGATCCTGTAAACTTTATTGTCTATGTAACCAGGACTCTGTAGGAACTGTTGTTGTTGCAGCTGTTCCCCATCTCTCGCTCTCTCTCTGTCTCTCTCTCTATCTCTGTCTCTCCCTCTTTCTCCCTCTCTCCCTTTCCCTTGCTCTCTCTTTATCTTTGTCTATCCCCTCTCTTCACCCCAACTTAGTGGTGGCAGGTAGCTGTCTTAACATGAGTATGGCTCTGCGTGAGGTTTCTTCCTGTTAAAGGGAAGTTTTTCCTTGCCACTGTCACTCATGTTGGATGAGATAGGTCAAATCTGTCCCAACTTAAGGTTGGATCTGATTGATTGATTGATTGATTGATTGATTGATTGATTGATACCGGTGCTCTGGGGTCAGCATCAATAACAAGCTGGACTGGCAGAGCGGGCTGCTCTTCCAAAGGAGACTCGAGTCATCAGAGTCTATTGTAAACACTCTGGAGTCAGAGGAAACAAAATCCAGGCCACTCTGGATAACCTCTATCACCCTCTTCATCACCAGCTGTGGCAGAAGGCCAGCCCACTCAACCAATAAGTCATCCCACCAGGGTGCAAAACTGGGAACTTCAGGCACTCTTTGGTGAAGTCTGCCATCAGACAGTTCAGCAATGAAAGATAGGGGAGACTGGGGACAGTTGCAACACTTTTGCTTTTCTCTCAATTACCCAGAGATAATTTGGACTTGGGCAACCATTTTTTTATATAGTAAATTTACATCTGTCCTCTAATTCCCCATATAATTCAACTAGGATAACATCAGACAGATTTTTCACAATATTCATGAAAAAAAAAAGTCAACTGTTGCAATCGACCCCATCCCTGGGACCGCTGCAACACTACTCGGGGACAGTTGCAACATGTCACAAATTCATTCAATTTCACTTTTCAAATTTTGTTTTGTTTCAATGAGCATATTGGTCTGATAATATGTGTTATTTATGACATTATTATGATTATAATTTAATATACAAAATGTTATAGTATTATTTATTTATAAATCTAATATCCAACATTGGGTTTCATTTCTTTCTGCATAAAATATGGCCTACTTTGAGTCAATGTGCAGATGTTACAGATTTCACTGTTAGTAAGTGGATTGTGGAGATACGAATACAAATCTTGATGCAAATGTAACACTGCATATCATGCAACACTAGCTTGGGGACAGTTGCAACATTTGACTGTCAAAAAGGGTTAGCTAAAACTTCTTTGACTACAGGGGGCACCAAAACTGACACAAACTAAAAGTTCATCATCACCTGATGAGAATTTGTGTCAAAAGTCATTACTAAATGTATCAAGGATAAACTACAGGCAGCTTCGTCCACAGAGGGCGCCAACATCAACACAAGCAGAAGTTACCTCATGGAAGCTTTAAGATGAGTGAGTATATGAAAGAAATCAAGGCTTGATCATATATGACATTATAAAATCACCCAATACCTACAGTTAGACTGCGACAAACTGTTGGTCATGCGTAAGTCTGCAGCTAACAGTAATGCAGGTCAGCTCAGGCAAGTTAGCTTTGTCTTTTCTGTCACTACTCAACAGGCGTAAATATCCTATATACTGTTCACTTTCTTTGTCCTCAACCAAGAAAACCAGTTGCTTGTCAACTTAGCATAAACATTTCATTCTTGGCTAAATGAAACAGAACCAAATACAGGATGAGCTCAAATGCTTGTGAGGCAAACAAAAGACGTGTGACTAATCCCTTACTTGAAAGAAGAAGAGTTTGGTAAAAGGTGAAGTTTCATGACATATATTAAAGTGTAGAGTCACTTTTTACACGGAGTGATGGAGTATTCTTGTGTATATGAGGTTTTTGCCCAAGCTAACCCAACTCCTTCCTCCTGGCTAACCAGAACTCAAACACTAACAACCAAACCATACCATAAGGCTGTGCGATCTCTCTGGGGATTTTTCTTACTGCCTTCTTGGTCTTAGACAAATGTTGGCCCACACATATAAACACACAGTGTTGAGTCATCCTGAGTAAAATACTCACAGCTAGATAAAAGTGAAGCCTTAGTACTATTAGGATATGATTACCTCAGTGGAACATGAGTCAGTGATATACACCCTGATTAGTTTCTCATTTTTTTCATGGAAACAGATGTGATATGAATTCTCACTTTTGATTCTTTGCCTTGAAATAGAGGGCAAATATTAGACAGTGTAGGCTGAGTGTCCATACTGAGTGAGTCATATACTGTACATTGCACAGTTTCACTTGAGTCTTCTCATTTTTCAGGACATACCTGACTGTTTTGAGAACTGAAAAGGGTAGCAAGGTGTCCTGTTTCTGAGTATCAACAGCTGATTTCTGTGGAAACCTGCTGGGGAGTTTTCTGTCCTTTTAATACCAACTCAGAGTGACAGTTTTAAGGTCAGATAACTCCCCAGCTCTTACATCGCCTTTCTGTCTTCTTTCCTGGTTGCTTTTGCCTCATTTCCTCTGGCCAACAATGACTCTCGAGTTCTTGAGTAGACGTGACCTTATAGTGAAAAAGTAGCTCCTGGAAGACCATCATTAGTCACCCAACTCTTTTATGTATTCTCCCACCATTTCTTCTAACTTGGATTCCTCAGATTTAACAACGAAAAAAAAATCATTTGCTGTACTCTTGGCAGACCTAGACAGGCAGTAAGTCTGTTTCCAGCTGATGTGCTGATAAGCTACAATGACATGACTTGAGTATGTGGCTATGTAACATATTTCTCTCTCATTTTCATCTTCCCCCAGGAGAGAGAAAAAGCATATTTATACATCAACTATGGACAGGTGATATACTAGCTGTAACTTGTAAATGTAGGAAATGCTCACATAAGCATATCTTACCAGTAGGAGGTGATAATGTGAGATGAGCCTGTTACATCAAACACCATAACCATTAACCATTGTCTGTGACCTAAATCTGTGCGTGCATGTGTATGAAAAGCCAAAATTACAACAGTGAATAAGGGACACATTAAAGAAGAAAATTGAAGATTTAGAGAAAAAAGTTCTTACATCATCAGTTAAAAGTCCTACAAAAATCAAGTCATTATAATATCTGGAAGTAACGCCATATTATTATGGGAACAAATATTTTAGTGATCAAATGAGTGATTCATTTTGAAAATGTAAATAAAACAATAAAAGACACTTTCATTTAAAATCACACATTAATCTAATGTTTCCACATCCTTAGACTCTGTGAATATTTAATATTCGGAGTTAGGCCTACATGACGATATTATATTTCATTGTGTGATCCAAGTTCAGTTAACATGCAAACATTAGTGGAAGAAAAAGCCAAGCCACAAAGCATCATGATCTGAAACAGGTTTTAGAGAATAAAACAAACTTGTTTACAGCCTGGTTAAAAAAACAGCATTGGTCTGAATAACTCAAGATTGTTTCAGCACCCAAGGTATGGCATGTGAATTTTTCTGTAGCATGTTGACTGTTGAAGTTACTAAGGTTACAAGATCAGCGAGTCAGCGGCCTTGACTGACAGGCTGAAGTCCTACCTCTGGTAGGCTGACCATAGGCTGAGGCAGCATTACGGTGACTGCTGCTGATTTGTTTTAAAACTCAGCTTCACAAACACATGGGGTGACGTCACTGATGTTATATCCAATAATCATACAGCCTATGGATATTAGATATGCCCTGAAAACTTACCACAGTCTAACCGACTAGGAGATGATTTGAACAGAAATTCAAATCGCAGTGGAGGGACCAACTAGCTTAGCAGCTCCCCGTATTGATCCTGAAAAACACCCCATCATATTTGTTCAGACTTAACTTAGAGATTCTGTAAGATTTCCAGTTTCAAGGGTGAAGATTCTAGTCGGTGGTCAATGTTAGCCATACTACAAGAACAAAACTTTTAATTCTACCACTGTTGTTGTCATGTGTAGTGTCTCACAACAAAGTGGAGAAGCACTTAAATCCACTATAATGGTGCTTCTTTCTGTTATTGATTTACTATCAACAACAGTGTGATCTGCCATCAACTTTTTAAATCTCCATTAGTGCACAAAACCAGGCCAGTGGCAGCAGATTTGAATGAGACAACAGTACACACAAGTCTTCAAAGGCAAACTGTACAGAATTTGACTGAAGCTTTGACTTGGGTTTAGTACAGAGAAAACACACATACACACGCACGCACGCACACACACACACACACACACACACACACACAGGTTGCAATACCAGGAAACTCCTCATCTTTACGCACACCCAACCAGACTTCCCTGAAGAGGGGAACTGCGATAAAGTAACACATGCTGACAGACCACAAAAAGACTGAGGGCTCCCGTAGCAGCCACAGAAGAGCATTACTGAGATAAAAAGTGCAAAGGCAATGTCACACTCACAACGTTTTCACTCATACTGTATGTAAATGAATTAAGGTCAGACACAACACATGCATGATTTCTACACTTTCAAACACAAGTCTAGATCTACTTTTAGAACTGCAGTTTGACACATTTGCTACAAAGACATGGTAGGTTGCATGAAAGTTTCCCTATTTCTTCTGACCATAGTCACACTGTAAAAACATAAAAAGGCCTTTCAGCAGTAGAAGCTATATCATACAGCTAAGATATAACATTAGGTATTACAACAACAGCAATTTAAAGCACCTGTAAGGAACTTTTCAGTTTGTGTCTGCTCTGGCTGACCCCTACTCCCAGTTGAAAATGAGACAAACTAATCTATCATGTTACTGATGCTCTTGTTTGCCTTTGTATCATGAAAGGGGATCAAAATGAATCTCAGTCTACTTCCTTGTTATCAAAAAAGTCCTCATTGGAGCTCAAAGGCCTTTATTTATATTTTCTAGACTGACTGAACATTAATATTTGTGACAAAAACAAAGTAATACCACAGATGGCCTTATTACAGGGCTGCTGATGGGAGTGCTGGCATGATTCCTCACAGATAGACTGGGATCAGATGCTTTGGCAGGGCAGATGCTCATGTGCAAGAAACTTTGAAACATGTTTAAGGTTTGGGTACATTCTTAACAACCCATAAAATATTACCTGTCTCCTTTCGCATATATGAACAACATTTCAAAAGTTTTGATTAATTTTACACAGTTAAGGTTTGTCATTGTCCCCATAGGGAGTGTTGAGGCACCCAAATGTTCTCTGTAGACTAGCTGCTAATCATTTAAGAGACTGACAAACAATGCTGCACACTAAAACTGTAGCAAACAACTAATCATCCATCAGAATTTGCTTCTTTGGCCATGATCCTCTATCTGTGTCATTAATTTTGAATCATCATGTCCCATTAGAGTCACTAATAACCAGTGTTTTCTGGGAGTCCCTGAGCTCTGTCATCCTATAGCTTTATCTGGATCACTGCTGCTGAGGACCTGTCTGCTTTACAGGTGATTCAGCTAACCAGTCTCATTGTATTCACTGTATCAGTGAGAGGAGAAAAACATGCTGCAGTGCAGAGTTAGAGTATCAAGTGTCCTCATGACAAGCACAAAGACTGACAGGCATAAGGAGGGACAGGAATAAGTCCAGGTAACATCAGGGTCCATCTTTTTGGTTAAGAGCGTGAGTGAAAGTTTGGAAACAGGTTGTACAATGGTGTGGGTGTGTATTCATGAGGCAGGCAGTTGTTTTCTAATATTTCCTGTGGTTTTCTTGCTCAAGCACTGAAGAAAGCCTATTTTCTAACAGAAGTGTGATTTTAAAAAAGAGCAGTTGGTTAGGGGAGAGGGAGGGAGGGAGGGAGGGAGAGCGAGAGAGCGAGAGAGAGAGAGAGAGAGAGAGAGAGAGAGAGAGAGACTGTATTGACAGACTCAAGGTCATGGGTCACAAGCAAAAAGACTGATTCAGTGGCCTCACAGTTGTTATGTAGAATAATTTATTGCAGTTCTTTATTTATTTCTCTGGTCCAGTTCATTAACAATAATTACAGGTTTAAAAGCCTAGAGCATTTACAAAGCATACAAACATATTACACACACATACTACAATCACTGACTTAGTAAAGGAAGCTTGTCCTGGCATGTTTGGAGAGAGGCTGCTCATGGTTTGGAGAGAAACACAGTCACTGTTTTCCTTCAAACCACCAGCAGCCCCTCTACCAAACTCTACCAGCCTCTTCAGTGATAATCACTATCATTCCTCTGCAATTTACAGCAGCAAGATGACAATTCTAAAAGACTGAAAAAAAAAAAAAAAGAGTATTGCTCTGAATTTCTCCTTTAGAAACATGTTGATGACTGTACAGTGTAAAAAAAAAAAAAAAGATAAAGCATTAAGACTTTAGCTGAACAACAATGGCACAGAAACGAAGAGCTGGAACACAGAGAAAAGAGAAGCATTTGAATACAGGTTTAAAAGGAGACAAGGAGAAGTAAAGCATGTCCTAGAGCAGCTGCTTTGATCCTAAGAGTTACAAATCAAGCCAAGAATCAAGAACTGAAAGCACTGATGCCACTCAAACTGATCAATCAATGTGGCTGTGTGGAGAGATGTGTTGACGGTTACATTCCTCTCTCCCCTCATTGGTTAGCTCTTCAGATTATTGCAGCAATAAAGCTTTATTCAGCTGATGAAGGAGGAGGGTGAGGGAGGGTCTGCCCCTTCACACTGACCTCAGAGCAGCTTCATGTTTATTTTCCTTAGATCGCTCTCACTCTTCATGGTTGTTTGCTATTTAACTCTTTACAATCCAGTTGTATTTCACTATGTTTCAGTTTTTAGGGTTATTAGCAGGCAGCAGGCGGTGGTGTTGAAAAATGAACTCATGGTCAGATGCACAAGAGCTGCAGTTCCTCGCGTGTCCACCTGGGTTGGCTCCAAAAGCCAAGAAAACAGTGGAATTAAGCATGTTTAAAGCCTGGAACAAAAATAGTCAGGGCAGCGGAAATATTTCAAAACTTTTTAGATAAATTTATATCACAGTGGTCATTTTTGCAGCTTTTTCAGATGAAGTCTAAGGACTAAGCTTTAGTCTTATTTTAATAATCTTTTGCCCATAATAGTTCCTTTTCTTATTTTAGTCTATGAAAATCTAAAACATCGGTCTAGTTTTTGTCAACAAAAAAAGAAAAAAAAAAAAAAAAGAAAACAAAATAAATAAATACAAAAAATACTTGAGTTTTGTTTTAGTTGATTAAAAATTACAATATTTTAGTCAACGGGTTACTAACGACATTTATCATCATTATTTTTGCAACCAAAATCTAGACTGTCATATAAGGGCTTAAAGTGAAGCATAATCAGGCATAAAGACTGCATGGCTTAATTATAGTAGGGATTGGCCAAGTCAGTGTATCCAATGGGTTGACGGCCGTCATGAGACAAAAGCCAAGTTAAAGAAGCACAAACAGGCAAAAGCCAAAGGAAACAGTGCAAAGGCATAAAGAGTGCAGCTCAGGGAAAGTCCACATGAGGCTGGCTCCCAAAGCTGAGAAGACCCTATGAACACTCATATCCAAATACCCACTTCACAGCAGAACGAATGAGGTTTACAGCAGTTCTTGTCAGTGTGGCAAGAACTGTCACCAATTCTTGTCAGCGATTCATTCATACACACTGTATGGGGGCTATTGTTGTTATAATAATGCACTGACTTTGATTTAATCAAAACTCTGACTAAAACTTTAAATTACATCATGAGTTCAATTGACTTGCAGGCTGGTGAAATGTAGCTGTTTGTCAGGAGGCTTACGGCCCGTCTTAGCTTCACCTCCTCAGTTAGGAAAAGTCAGCATTCCCAGTATGGTATCTGTTTTTTAAGGTCTTTGAATGCAACGCTACAAGAAAATGGTTGTTCATACAGTCATTAATTTACACCTTGATACCCTCTCTTAAATTTACATTTTACTGTAAAAAACAAATCTTCTGCAGCGGTTGCTCCAGAGTGTTGGAGACTTTCATCTCATATTTTCCAAAAAAAAAGGGAACTAAATCTGATCAAGTCAGTGCCCGAGAGGCAAAAACACAGATACATTCAACCCAGAGGTGTTGTGGTAAAGTGCAGATCTAAAGACAGGACTACACTCCATCAGATTCCTATTTAACGAAGCAGGAACATAATTTCATATCTTTATAAATCAACACCATGGCTTTTACCCACCTGTTCTGCTGTGGACCGTGATGCCTGCACAGATGGAATAATTTACCACCTCACAGAGAGCTGCAAACCATTATGTAGGACTTAGAGCAGGTATGACTTACACAGCAGCCTTTAGTCTATTCAGATTGTTTGCATCATTGATTCTATTCGTCAGGTGGCTGATTGGTGGATCTTCTTTTTGGATGGAAGTCAATCCAATAGGGGCACAATTTGTTGAATCATGTATGTGTAAAAGAAGTGTCTTTAAACTTCCCTACAACAAGAGGGTGGAAGCTGACCATGCTGACAATCAAAAAGCTGTGTTCACACACCTTCATCTGAATTAATGCAACTGCTCATGAGCTGAGTGTTAGACCTGCTGTCTGCAGTTCAGATCCCACACTTTTTCTACAATTAAAGCAAACTGGAAAATGACTTAGGATGAGGATCACACACACACACACACACACACACACACACACACACACACACACACACACACACACACACACACACACACACACACACACACACACACACACACACACACACACACCACAATCATTCACTCACACACTGACCTGATGACAGTGCCTGCTAACAGGTCTGGAACACAGGTGTTAAAAGGCAAGTGCATCTATGTGTGTGCACAGTGTGTGTACTGACAGCATCTTTGAACAGAAGACACAAAAACAGATCAGGTCTTTTAGAAAGCTCACAAACGGACGAGCAGTTTACAGCGGCAGCAGCAGCATGTGGCGACAAGAGCATGTGTCTGAACAATCGATCAGAATGAGTAAAAAATCCTTGCTGGTTGCGTGGCCTTGCTCACGCTTAAAAACTCAAACTCAAGTGCAGAAAGAGACAGAAAAATGTGCTTTAAGCCATCCCCAGGGTCCTTACAAGTGTGTCCTGCCCTCTTTCTCGTGGGTCTTCATGTGCAAAGACAAACAATAAGACCCCCAGACTATGATATCCCACACTGCCTTTAGGCTAGGTACTTTAATACCACACTCTTCTGTCTTATGTGTGTGTGTATGTGTTAGAAAGAGAGAGAAAAAGCAGTTTCAGTGCATGAACATGAATGTGTGTGTGTTAGTGTGTTTTAATCCAGTTCAGGTGATTCAGGGGTCTCAGTGTGTCTCTCTGTATCTTCTGTCTCTGCAGCTGTCCCCTCGTCTCCCTCTATGGCAGAGGTTTGGTCTGTGTTTACCTCCAAAGGCTCCTCTGCTGCCTCGTCAGTGGGCGTGACCAGCTCTGTCGTCATGGTTTCCTCTTTAACTGTAGCATCAGTTTCAGTCTCATCTAGTGGGGACCCCTCCTCCTCCTCTTCTTCTTCTCTCCTGTCCTCCTCATCATTTCCCTCCTCTTCCTCTGCGATGGGAGCGTCTAGTCTCTGAAGGGGCAGTGTCGCTGAGATGAGACTAGCGATGGGGTGCAGGTGAGGCATGTCTGAGGGGGGCAGCAGTGTGAGGGACTCCACGCTGAGGGTGTCCGCGGTGCTGTCAGTCAGGAGGGAGATGGTGGGCTGGGAGGCTGGAGTGAGGCTCGGGGCCAGGGTGGGAGCTGCGAAATGGGCAGAGGAAGTAGAGGACACAGATGTTACATCTCCACCTCCTCCTTCACCTTCACCTCCTGAAGAGGAGGGGGGAGTATGCTCCAGAAATGTGCCATTGTCTGGAAGAGAGCAGAGGACAGAAGAAAAAGTTTTGAAGATTTTCAAACAGCTGAAAAATGTTTGACTGTTCCTTCAGTCAATGTTTTTCTTGCAGAAAGGGAATCAAAAGAGATGAAACTTTTGGCCTCTGAACAAATGTACAAACATGTCTTTTTTTCCTCCTGCAGAGCAGGACCCAGCTGTCAATGTTTCTGATATCTAGTGTCTGTGAAATCATCATCACCAACAGTAAGTGTTCTCCATGAAGATGACTGAATGGAGATATTCAACTACTGAACAATTTAAAAGAAATGACACAAACAGACCCTTGTGTCTATAATCCTGTCTTCTCCTCGCCATAATAACATCAGCCATCGGTGTGGAACACTGGGTCCCTGGATGTGCGCCTTCTTTACAAAATTGTTTTATTTGCATGCAGTGAAATCATGGAGCCTCAGTAAATCACAGAGCATGTGCTGGATTAACATCTTAGCACTTTCTCCCCCCAGTATTCAGCACTCAAAGGTGCTAAAAGGACAAAGCCTGTTATCTTGCATGTTTGAAAGCCGCAGTTCTTGCTGCATGCCCTTGGTAGATCAACTTCAGTCTTTGTTTACAGGTTCAAAGAGATTTACATTTTTTTAAATACACAAACCTGAAGGAAATCAGGCCCACTGTCTGCCAGTCTTAAGTACTTCAGTAAAAACTATATGTTAAGTGCAATAAAATAAATGATATCACTGTGAGTCGATATGAACAAAGCTATATACCAAACACACTCTAAACTACAGTGTTAGCACACTTACATTGTATGAGTAAAGCATGCAGTAAAAAAGACACAAGGAGACTCAGATCGTTACACTCATTGATTTCAGATCATCAAAACTAAAGCAAACAGCATCACAGTGTCATGAAGTCAGTGTACTGGATCTGATCATTGTAAACACATATGGATATCTTTTGCAGTGTGCTTTCCTCTACTCGGAAACATCAACTACAGTTTAGTAGACATTCAGTTCGCTAGTGAGACAAACCCCGGACACATGTCCATTTTGTGCATGCTCATCTTTGTAGACAAACAGAGTCACTTTTTTTATGCTCTTCAGACTCTGTCGACGCCAAACAAAGCATTGCGAACCCTGGCACCGAGTCCTTCAGTCAGGAATGTACTGAGGTGTGCTGCTCCTCCTTGAACTTCACTCACATGTGTTCTGAAGGGCTGAAAAAAGGCTCTTTGCATTCACAGTGAAACACTACACCCTGTAATACAAGGTATAAGCAGGTTTTATGACCTGCTGTTCATGTAGAACTTGAACTTAGTTGCACAGAATACTATACAATAGGGTTTGCACTTTGTATTGAGTTTATGATCGAGTTTGTGTAAGGACACACAAAGAAAACATCTGATCCTCAAAAGCCCACCGAGTTCAACACACTTCAAAGTCAGCAGCTGCAGATAGTGGGCGTGGCTGGTGTGTTATTTAGATCACATCCACTAACTATACATGTTTGAAATGTGCCATTGCTCAACTGGGCTCCTGTGTATCAATTGGAAGGCTCTAGAAGAAAATACTTGAAAATACCATTTCCTGTTTGACAGCCCATCAAGATCAACATCTGAAGGATATCTTGAGCAGAGAGAGATGCAGAGACATGCAATGATTTTAGAGATTTAACTCTTAATTTCAGATTTCATTCTGCTGCCCGGAGGTGTGAAAACTGGGATGAATATGACCACATGAACGTGTTGAGGTCATGACCCTCATTATGCATGATTGAGTTTGGCTTAGAATGGAGCAAATGTGGTTGAGAAGAAAAAGTACTTTGTGTCCATCAGCAAAACAGCAAACTATAAGGGTTCCCCTCAGCCATGCCTGACCTCAAGATTTTCTTATCAGGTTGGTTCTACCTGTAAACCAGCACAAGATGAAACCTGTCAAAGGACCCCTGGAACGTCCCAAAAAGGAGACTGTTAGGAATGCGAGTGAGCTCATTCTTTCTGCTCATGTTTAAAAGCCAAAAATTATCCCAGATTTTTGAGCATGTTAAGACCCTTAAAATTGCTACAACAGACACAGAGTAATAATCCTCCTCGGTGCCTGAGCCTTAAATATACCTAACAAGAAAACACCAGGGCTAACAGCCACACAGAATCAAAGTGAAATTATCTGTAACTTCAGATAGTTGATAGTAGCTGCTGTATAATATCAAAATAATAGTCATACATGGGCACATTTTCCGCTGATCATGTCAATGTTTCTTCCTTTCTGTAACCTAAAGATTCAAATGCCTGCTATAATCAGATTTTAATGCTATTATTGTTATGAGGAGATGGATCAGTCGGGTTTTTCAGACGCTCAAATCCAGAAAATACTGGCATGTTTTCAGTACGGGTAGGAAGGGCTGGAAGGTGTTCACAGGACTGACATGACAATACAAGCTGCTCATGCTGGATCGCTGCAGGAAGTTCACTGAGTGACACACAATGGGAGTGGCATTTGTCAAGTGTGAGCTCCACCAAAAGCTAAAAATTGCTGACACACCCAGTGTTTGCATTATTATTGTAGGTATAGACCTGAGCTTCATTAGTGTGACAGTGCGGCTCAGTGATCAGTCACATACACAAATAAGAGCTAGACTGCCTTGTGATGCAAAATTCAACAGGTGAGTATCACAGAACCATATTAACATGAACGATGCTGCCTCGTAATGTGACTGCAGTCTATTGTCTGTGGAACCCCGCTTAATGTTTCTAGGTTATACACTTCCACTGTGTACACACTCAGTCTGTGGTGTTTTTTCTACACACTGAAATGGACAGTAAGTGTGCCTCTCAGTGTGTTTGTATGTGTAGGAGACGTGGATGTGTTGCTACCTGTGGGGCTCTGAGCTGATACCGTGCTCGCAGTAACAGAGTCACATCTTTCTGTGCTCCCACTCCCACTGGAGGGAGGCGAGGGGGAGGAGAGGGGTGAGGGACTGTGCTGCGACACACAGTGAGCCACTGCAAACCCTAAAGAAGGAGCACAGAAACATAGACACACGGACACGTATGTGTTATCATGTTTGCTCAGTCACTTCACATGACCAAATCCAACAAGCCCATTTTAGAAGATGAGTGACGCCCTCTATGTTTGGGTCCTGAATATTCTCCAGGTCTTCATTGAAAGGGCGTCTAGACTTGTTTGAGGTTCTTGACGACGATTCCAACATTTTCAAGAACTTCAGACAAGTCCAGCTGCCCTTTAAACAAAGAATTACATCACCATGACCTGGATGAACGAGAACCTACACCGACAGATGCCCTTAATATTTGTATGGCATGCAGTAATAACGAGTTATTTTTGAATATGTGTGTGTGTGTTCTGTTATTATATGTTGAAGGTGGAGTGACTCAAAGTTGGAATAAACTAAGAATTTCCAATCAGTCTCACAGTGACATTAGCTGATGACCAGGACAGCAATAATCTAAAGTCCTTCTCGCTGATTTAACATGAGTCCAAAGATAGTGCTGTCATAGATGATCCAGCAGGAACAGAAAAGAAAGAAAAATGACCTTAAACTAAGACCTTCACTGAGAGCAAACAGAAGAAACTATTTCAGCCCCTTCACTTTACTCACCCAGAATATTATCTCAAAAACACAAGCTGAACGAGTGAAGGAGTTTTGGTGTAAATGACAAGATATCTGGTCAATGGTGGGTAAAGAGTTTAAGTAAGGATAATTTGCGGGTGTTCAGGTCAAAAGTGACACTAACATTTCAAACAGCACAAACTTTTCTTGGTTCACAATATTCCCGGGAGGAGATTTCTTTCATGGAAACCAGCTATCATTGTTCTGTTTCAACTGAAGAAGAAGAGAGTTTCCAGGGAGTCTTGGTTTATGGGGGGGGGGGTGTCTCAGTTTCATTGCACAGGTCAATCAAATGCTGCACTCTCGCTCTCCTCTGCCCAAAGAACCCTACAAGCTAGGTTTCCTTTGGATTTGGAGCTAAATTCTGGTCTGTGTAGCAAAAGACAACAAAACCATCATTTCTGATACACCACAAGAACCCTTGACACTCAACAACACGCTGCACTAAGTCAACTTCATATTTCATATCGTCACATCCTTCTTACCATGTGTTGCTCGTATACTCTGAATGCAAAGAACATGCATCTTGCCATTTTAGTTCATGAAGCTTTGTGAAGTTCAGTTCGATCCAAATTTAGTATGACTACACATTTTCACCTGGACAATAAAGATGACATCAGAAACCCACAGCTAAGTTTCATTCACCACTTGATTTGAGGCTAAAGCTCTAATAAGCTCTAATAATAACATTTTTTTAGAGTGAATTGTGTTACGTTTGTGGTGAAGTAGCTGTTATCCTGGATATCTCTAGTAGTGTTAAGGCTGCAGGAGAATGTGTAGGCAGAGGACTCTGGTCACCTGGTACTTTGTCCACAGAGGCAAACACTGATCTGTTGGCCGTGGGGTCATTGGGTGCTCGTCTCGACTGCTCGTAGAAGCGGAAAGGAAGGGCGCTGGGTGAAGCGTTAGCTGTCTGGCTGAAACCCAACACCTCTGATGCACTGGGCTGCACAGGCAGGTCCAACAGAGCTGCACACACAGGGTGAACATAATAAACATGAGCACAGAGAACAATGAGCCGCAGCTTCCTCTGCTGGTTTGGTCATAATTATCCTATCTCTTCTGCATGTTTTTATAGTAATACTGTTACAGTCAAGCCAATGAAGCTGAATTTGAATGAGGCAGGAGGTACAAACTCACATCTATTATGACTCTGATTAAGACTCAGATTCTAACTATGCTTTTTTTGCCACAGCTGATGCTATTTTGGCAGGGTTCACATCCTGTATTTGCTGCACCAGTAGGACTTCCCATGAATTTTACATATGACTCTACAGAAACAGGCCATGTAGTGGGGAAATACACATGACTGATGTGTGAATCTGAATCTACAGGACACACGCGTCCAGCTCCTTTTTAGGAGACTAACTGGGTATGACTACAAAATCATTTCCATTCTCATTGTGAGAATTTAGCTTTGACTGAGAAAATATTAACTTCATGTAAGAGAGAAGGATGTCTGATTGAATCTCTGAGTTCAGAGATGAGCCTTTAATCCTGTTAGAGTAGTTTCTCTTCAATGAAATAAAGCTATCTGATTATCATTTGACACTATCTAAACTAGGCTTATTCCTTAACTTTAGGCCCTCACATTTATCAGTTGTATCAATGCCCGCTGTGAAGTTGTGATCATATATCAGTAATGACATGATTGTTTTGGTTGTTGCTCTGTTTTCAGTGTTGTACTGTTCAGGTTTTTGGTATTTATGATCTGTTATCACTTCCTATTCAGCCCCTCACATTACTTTAAAAAGGGGGAAAAAATGAATACATTACACTGCAGCCAAGAAAAGGCAGTCAGTATCTTCTCACCTGCGATCCTCTGCATCTTCATGCGGCGGGCCTGGATCCGACCCTTTGCCAGCCGCTGCTTGGCGATGATACAGCGAATGTGATCAGCAAAGATAAAGTTGGCCTGCAGGATGGGGAGGGGCTTGGCGTGGGGGTTGGAGCTGGGCTTGTGGATGACAATATTCAAGGCTCTGCTGTCATCCTCAACTCCAGACACTTGCATGTCCTGTGTACAGAAGAGTGAAAATAGAAGGGGGTGATAAAGAGAGTCATCCAAACAGAATCAATCTGAAAATGAAAATTAAAAAGCAGGAGGAGAACAGAGTGGGTGTATAGCTTCATTGTAAATAAACAGATGAATGGTACATGTGAAACAGGGTAAACTTTTGAGTTCTGGGTTTAAAAAGACATTATAACTCTCACTACTTTACCTGATTATCAAGGTTCATAAAAACCTCAGCAAAAAAGTTTCATGTCCTTTGCATTCAAGTACAATCCGGTAATCATACCTCAATGAGGCATTAGGTTCACTGCTTATAACACTTCATTAACATTGCTACAAGCTGTTATAAGTGCTTATGATCACTCATACAGGCTGCTATAAACCTTAAAGATGCATTTAAATGCATATATACAGTGGATCTAAAAAGTCTACACACCCCTGTTTAACTGCCAGGTTTTGTGATGTAAGAAAATGACAGAACGATAAATATTTTCACAACTTGAGCCACCTTGAATGTGACCTAGAACCTGTACAAAGCAATTGAAAAGCAAACTGAAATCTTTAAGGGGAAAAATATAAAAATAGAAAAGTTAAAATGACCTGGTTGCATAAATCTGCACACCCTTAAACTTATACTTTGTTTCAGCACCTTTGGCTTTTATTCCTGCACTCAGTCTTTTTGGGTAGGAGTCTATTAGTGTGGCACATCTTGATGTGGCAATATTTGCCCACTTTTCTTTGCAAAACCGCTCCAAATCTGACAGATTGCGAGGGCATCTCCTGTGCACAGTCCTCTTCAGATCACCCCACAAATGTTCAATGGGATTCAGGTCTGGGCTCTGGCTGGGCCATTCCAAAGTCTCAATCTTATTCAGGTAAAGCCATTCTTTTGTTGATTTAGATGTGTGATTTGGGTCATTCTTGTGCTGCAAGATGAAGTTCCTCTTCATCTTCAGCTTTCTAGCAGACTGCCGAAGGTTTTGTGCTAACACTGACTGGTACTTGGAACTGTTCACAATTCCCTCCACCCTGACTAAGGCACCAGTTCCAGCTGAAGAAAAACAGCCCCAAAGCATGATGCTGCCACCACCATGCTTCACTGTGGGTATGGTCTTCTTTTGGTGATGAGCAGTGTTGATTTTGCGCCGAATATACCTTTTGCAATGATGCCCAAAAATTTCAACTTTGGTTTCATCAGACCATGAGACATTTTCCCACATGCGTTTGGGAGATTTCAGATATCTTTTTGCAAAATTAAGCCGGGCTTTGATGTTTTTCTTTGTAAAATAAGGCTTCCGTCTTGTCACCCTACCCCATAGCCCAGACGTATGAAGACAGCGGGAGATTGTTGTCTCATGTACTACACAGCCAATACTTGCCAGAAATTCCTGCAGCTCCTTCAGTGTTGCTGTTGGCCTCTTGGTAGCCTCCCTGACCAGTTTTCTTCTTGTCTTATCAATTTTGGACGAACGTCCTGTTCTTGGTAATGTCACTGTTGTGTCATATTTTCTCCACTTGATGATGACGGTCTTCACTGTGTTCCATGGGATATTTAATTCCTTGGAAATTCTTTTGTAGCCCTCACCTGACTGATTTCTTTGAATAATGAGATCTCTCTGATGCTTTGGAAGCTCTCTGCGGTACATGGCTTGTGCTGCAAGATGTGGCTACAGAAATGTCAGGAAAAGCCTACTAGAACAGCTGAACTTTATTTGGGGTTGATCAGAGGCACTTTAATTGGTGACCGGTGTGTGCTGACTCCAATTTAACCTGAGTTTGAATGTTATTGGTTAAATCTGAAGGCAGCCACATCCCCAGTTATTAAAGGGTGTGCACATTTATGCAACCACATGATCTCAGTTGTTTATTTTTACTTCACCTCTCTGAAAGATTTCTTTTTGTTTTTCAATTGTGTTTTACAGGTTATAGGTCACATTAAAGGTAGAAGAAGTTGTGAAATTATTTATCTTGATTTAATTTTTTTACATGACAAAAACTTGGCAGTTGAACAGGGGTGTGTAGATTTTTTATATTCACTTTAAGTGTACTTCTGATGAATCATAAAACGGGACTATGACTTTGAATGTTAAGGAGTAGAAGATAGGGGATGGATAAATCATAAAACATTCAAGCTTAACTGAAATGAGACGGTTGATAGGAAATACAGAGACCCATTATGACTCTGATCAAGACTAAGATTCTCACTACACTTTTTTTGTCACAAGTTATTTTGGAAGGGTACACTTCCTGTATTTGCTGCACCAGCTGGACTTCTCATGACTTGTCATAACTTTTGCATATGGTTCTACAGAAACAGACCACAAAGAGAGTGAAAAAGCACAGGATGGATAAATTCTAAGAAACTAATGATGAGAGTGAAGAAGCATATTTGGAAAGAGATAAAAAAAAAAAAAAAAAGAGTAATTGAACACTAACTTGGACCGTTAAAATTTAAGATTTTCAGGATGAGGGTAAAATCAAATTTCGCTTACTTGCAGAAGGCCGGCAAACTTAACAACACCCCATCCGAGGCGTTTAGTTTCTGGTTCCACCAGACTCATCTGGTACACATCAACAGCCAGGAACCTCTGGGCCTGGCCGCCATCCTTGCTAACCACCATACAGGCGATGAGGTCACTGTTATCTGGAAAAGAGAACATATAGGACAGTCAATGTTCATCTTCTGCTGTGTTACATGACTCAGGTTTGTCACTTTGTTGGCCAACATTTATACAACAATTCTTTTAGAGGAAAACCACGGAGTAACATAAGTAACTGATGATCTTGTTTTTACAGTCTAAGAAGTCATAAACCATTCTTCATAAAAACATGACTACAGTTTATGTTTTAATGATGAGCTCTGTCATACAGTTTACTTTCTATTTACTGTTATCTGCTGTTCCATCAGCAAACAAGATAAGAGACACCAGCTATGACACACTATTCTCCCATATGTCAAGAAGGATGATAAGGAACTGGTGAGACCACTTCTCGTCAGCTTCACTTCACTTAACCTACTGCCAAGAAATCACCCAAAGTGGAACTAGTGACGACTTCATTTGAAACTGCTAGTTTTGGTTTAAAGGTTCCCCCACCCCTGTTGGCTTCATGTGTGGACTATAAACATCACACTGACGTACAGTCCCCGACAAACTTCTCTTTCATGGTCTTACCAAGGTCCTTTCCAGTGAATAAGATTTGTGAAGTCTAGTTCCTTGATTTTGATTCCCAAGAATTTTGACGAGTCTCTTAAATCTTTATTTAAACTGGCATGTTTGCTGTCTGATAACTGTGGAGTCTGATGATTTTCCTTCAGCACACTTTGGTTTTTATGGAAGAATATTTTCCACTGTTATTTGAACTGTTGGGAGGTTTTCGTTTTTGGTCACATCTTTGGTATCAAAAGATATGTCCCTGGTTTCTGTGTAAAATCCATAGACTATATAATAAATCTGCCTCCTCACTGGGTGAAGCCTCAGCGAGAACAGCACCCCCATCGTGACTGGCTGCAGTCGAAGTTATTACCCCGCCTCCTCCTGCAAACTTAATGGAGTTGTTGACAAAATGTATAAACTAGTTGCATGGAATATAAATTTTTCTCTCTCCTGTTTGGGATGTTGACATGTAGTTATTGTCAGACTGACACTTGATACAGCCTATGGACATAGAAAGATTGTGTAGATAATCAAGGGGATATGCTGTTAGAGCAGAGCGTCATCACAGCAAACACGACTGCGCAAATGCTGGTTCCAAGAAATGAAGAAAATCCTGGAAATACCGAGAGTAATTTAGTTTCAATTTCATACAATGATGGGAGGTGGAACCAAGTTGTCCATAGTATATACAGTCTAAGGTCAAATTCCATGGAATTGTAAGAATTGTAAATTCTGAATTCCTGAATTTGTTCTTTTTCCATACAGACAAGTTAAAAGTTAGTCCACTAATCTGAAAGATATATGAAATATGAAAGGTTTTAAACATTTCTAAGTATTAGTAAAGGAACTGTTTTACATTCACTTCCACCTCTTTAGAAGGAAGTTAAGCAGAGAGAATATGGATGTGTAAGACACTGAAATAGGTTTAAGTCAGCAGACATATCAGTTTCTCAAAGTATTGAGTCATGAGTTTTACCACACATCACAACAACTTTGCCACCATTACTCATACAGAGAATGTTATTTTGGTGCTGATTATTGCAAGAGTTACTTAAAAGTTTCCTTTTTCTCCTAATTTTCTGGTTTTATAAATGAGCCATGAGAAACCCTTATTCTCTCTTCTATGAACACACAAGTATTTCTTGTAATGATTGCACAGTTCAGCCCAAAAAGATCTGTTCGATGAGCAGCTTGGTCCAACACTCCCTGTGCCTGCAAATGCCTCTCAAACATATTAAATCAACTTGCTAGACCGCACAAACAATGCAGTACAAGTACAATGAGGTGATTGTATTCACACAAAAAAACACACCATGTGACCCAGTCCAGCTCCAAGTGTCATATTTCTTTGGCAATAAATCTTCAGGTGATATGTTGTCACACTCAAGCTCCTCAGAAGAACTTTCATTATTCCGTGGCTATTGGCATGCCTGAGGGCGCCTGAGAAGTCTTTGCAGATTTTCTTCTGTGCATGTCCTGTCAAATCTATCACTCCCCAGAATCTTTGCTGTGGGAAACATGAATGAGGGTGTTCACTTTTTTGGGTAAATTCTAATTTAGATTGGCTGACTCATCTACAGAAAAGAAAACACCTTAAATTTAAGCTTGATTTATTGAACAGGGCCTGACCTGAAATAGTCTGAGTGTGGCTAACATTAGCAGAGCTAGCACCACCAGCCTTTGGACCTCCTTCCAGAGGCCTGTACTACGAAGCTGGATTAACAAATCGAGGATAACTGCGACAACTCGCTCAACTTCACCGGATCTCCGCGATCCCGATCAGCTGTACTACGAAGCAGGATATCAACTCGATAACTGAATCCAGTTCAGATCTGTGCGCGCACACGTAAAGGGGGTCGGGTCAGTGCCACCGGACCAATCTCCACAATGGAGAAGGCTGCACGTCATTTTTCACAGCTGAAGAACAGAGCTTTATTTAAACAGTGAGACAGACACAGCCGCTAAAAGCCGGAGGGACTGCCGGCAAAAAAAAAAAAAATCACCGGTTGTGTAAATTACATTTGTGCGTTGATAAATTTATGGCCCCCTAATATGTTGTCATGCAGCGTGTGTGATCACCACCATCACTGACCTCATTATTTCAGACACAACAGCAGTGGGGGAAAGAGTACGTGGGAGCAAATAAAAATAAATCTAAAAACATCCTTTAAAGTAGTTTGTAAGTTTATGGAAGATTTTATTTGTACACATTTCAACGTGTAAACAGTGATTTCCTCACACTGTCTTTTTTTCACCATCATCTGATGGTCACATGTCATCTGCAGACACATTTGGGGTTAAGAGTTTTCTAATCTGCTTCAATGAATTCTGAATGATGACTAACAAATTTGAACCTGGAGCTTGGCAAATTTTAGTGTATTGCTTAGACTTCATGCTACCTGAATATTGAGGCCGTCCGAGGAAAACCTGTAACGTTCATAGAGAACGTCATCAGGTAAATCAAACGGATTTTATAACGCTCTCGGCGAAGCGCTCCTCTCACTATCCGTGCAAAGATGTCCCCGGGATCCGGCAAAAGTGGGCAAGCCATTTTCCAAGAGATCCGATTGGTCAGTGGGCGGTTTTTTATACCTGCTGAGCTCTTATCCTGAAACATAACCTGCTCCGGAGCAGGTTTGGCGTTCCGCGTAAGTTACCGGGGCAACGGACCCGGATAAAAAGAGATCCACCTTCGTAGTACGGAAAACCCAGAAGTTATCCAGAAGTTATCTCGCTAAGACCAAATCCAGCTTCGTAGTACAGGCCTCAGGTCAACATCCACATGTCAGTGATGAGTGGTTTTATGCCAGTTTAACCAGTTACAGTCTACATAAGGGCTGTTGCAACATCAGATTTTCACCTTGTGATTAACGTGACCATATAATATCACAATGATAATACTGTTACATTATTATGGTGATACTTATGGAACACTTACAATTTAAAACAGCAAAGTCAAAAAACTTGAGAAAAGGCATCACAATGGAGGATCAACCTGATGTGTATATGTTCATAAATATTATAAGCTAATACTGTAGATTATATTAATAAACATGGTGAACTTAAATCTCATTTCCTATTTTTAGCTATGTTCAAATTTATGATTCATCCACATCACTGTCTGTGTGACTGAAACTTTGGAGAGGACATTGCCTCTTAAAACGGTTGTTTGGCATGCTTTATTTTGACATTTGTCTGTCTTTTATTAAGGTAATTGTAAATTTCATCTCGATGTTTAAACCTCTGAGCAGATTGTAAGTGAAAGCGGCCTCAGATAAGTATCCACACTGAGTGGACAACTACACTGTAAAATGACAACAGAGGAGACTTTTCTCAGTCAATTGACACAGGACCTTTAAAAAAGGTTTGAAAGTACAAATGTTCAAATGATCAGTAACTCTCAGGGGCACAAGCTCTAATCCTGTGTTAAGATTTTCAGTTCTGCTGAATCATTTCTTTGAGAGCTGCCTCAAGCCATTTCACAGGCAGTCTGCTGCTTTGTCTCTTCTCTCTTCTATGGCAACCAGTGTTAAGGACCCCAACTATGTACTCACGGTTATACTGTTCGCCTTTTTGTAGCACAGTATCAATGTTTCATATTTAAATAAAAAAGGTTATTGTCAATGGCAGCATATTGTGATAGCCATGGTCTACACACAACTTCATTGCATATTTTTGGAGACCAAATTTTTGCCAGACTGCTTCAAGCTACTGGATGCCATGTTTCTGTGATGGTTTCATCCAGAACTGCATTATAACATTACACTATCACTTTATTTTTAAGATGGACGCCAACTAAGAATTTTACCTGTTCTGAATCCCAGCGATACTGAAGGGTCTTTCTAGGACATCACTGACAATCTTGGGGTTGTGGTCATTCTTTTGATATGTGAGGTCAAAATTAACTTTCTTATTCTGACTTGTTCATCTTTGTATCTTTGATGTTAAACTATCATAACAAAGACTCCACTGACAGAAAATCCAGGTACAGGCATCTGAAAATGTTCAAAGGGCCAACTTAAACCACAAGATGCAGTGAAATAAAGACTGTGGCAGCCTGCTGGCCAGAAAAGAGAGTTTGTGGGTGAGAGGTTGCAGGTTCAATTCCCCAAACTCTGAGGAAAAACCCTTACTAAACCCACAATGACTCTTTCATGTCTGTTCTTAGTCAGACACCTGTATTAAATGAAAAGTGACACTGACTGAACCAAAAAAAAAAAACTGAGGAAACCCGGCGAGGAAACTTTAGTTTAAAGTTTACTCAGATGAATGTTACAAACATTATCGCATTTCCAAACCAGATAAAGATTTTGATCATTTGTAATTTGAAGTGATAGAAAATTACTGGAAACCAAGTCACTGCCTTTTATGACAGCTCTAAAAGGTTATCAGTAATCTGCTGCAGACTCGGCTCACAGGAGTCAGCAGTCAGGAAACACTCACAGTTTCAACCACCAAATCAGATTTGAGAGTAAAGCAGTTGGCAGACATCTGGTTTCAAAAGGTGTGTTTCCATGCAATTGTAGGCAGATATTCTGAGGATTGATTTACACTTGTCATTCTGTTCATTTGACCTAAACCCAGAAGCAGAAAGAAGTACATTTCTGCATTATTTTTGCATGTTCAAACAATCTTTGCAGTGAAAATAAGAGTCAGCTAATAAATTACAGACTATAAAAAGTAAACTGCAAATAAACCCCATTTTAACTTCTTAAGGGGAAACTGTGGGAAGAAAGAAAGTATTGTGAGGTACACATGTTTTGCAGCAGACTTGAAACTGGACTAAGGCTCAACAGTTTTGGAAAAGTTTGACCTACTGAAAAGTATCCACACCCTGAAGTAGATAGATAATGTCAGGGTAATCAAATCATTAAAATATTTGACGAACAGCAGCTTAATATTTCAAGTTTGGTCAGTTACAACACAACCAACCATAAGTTAAGCAACTGTCTACTCAACTGACAACCAATAACCAACCAACAAACTGACAACCAATCAATCAATCAGCCAACCAACCAATCAACTAAATGTCAACCAAACAAACAATCAACCAAATGACAACCACTAAACCAACAAGCTAACCAAGTAATCAATCTACTGACCAACTAAATATTTGTCAACCAACCAACCAACCAACTGATGAACAATCAACCCCGTAACCAACCAATCTACCAACAAGCCAAAAAATGTCAACCAACCAACCAAACAATCAACCAATCAACCAACCATTCAACCAAATGTCAACCAACCAACGAACTGACAACCAATTAACAAACCAGCTAACCAACCAACCAATCTACCTACAAATCAACTAAATGTCAACCAACCAACCAGTTGACCAACTGATGAACCAACAACAAATCAACCGACCAACCAATCAGTTATATGTCAATCAGTCGACCACAGCCAAGCAGTTGACCAACTGACCAACCAACAACCAATCTACTGATCAACCATCTTAATGTCAACCAACGAACCAACAAAATGTCAACCAACCATCCAACCAACCAGCCAACCAACCAATCAACCATCCAACCAACCAATCAACCATCTAACCAACCAATCTACTGACCAACCAACTAAATGTCAAACAAACAACCAATCAACTAAATGACAACCAATCAACCAACCAGCCAACCAACCAACAAACCTACCAACCAAATGACTAAATGTCAACCGACCACCCAAACAAATGTCATCCAACCAGCCACCGACAACCAATCAACAAAACAGCCAACCATCCAACCTATCTACCGACCAATCAACTTTATGTCAACCAGACAGCCAAGCAGTTGACCAACCAACCAACCACCCAGCTGACTAACAATCAACCAACCAACCAAGTAAACAACCAATCTAGTGACCAACCCACAAAATGTCAACCAACCAAATGACCAACCAACTAAATGTCAAATAAACAACCAATCAACCAAATGACAATCAATCAACCAAGTAACCAACCATCCCACTAAATGTCAATCGACCAACCAAACAAATGTCAACCAACAAGCCAACTGACAACCAATTAACCAACCAGCCAACCAACCAACCAATTTTTTTAACCAATCAACTAAATGTCAACCAAACAACCAACCAGTTGACCAACCAACCAACAAATCTACCAACCAACCTTCTAAATGTCAACCAACCAACCAACCAACCAACCTACCAACCAACCAGTTGATCAACTAATCAACCAACCAACCTACTAAATGTCAACCAACCAACCAACCAATCTACCAACCAACTTACTAAATGTCAACCAACCAACTGACCAACAAACCTGGATCAACCTTACTAACCTTCCAACCAAATGACCAACCAACCAACTGAGAACCCAATCAACTTCAATCAACCAAGAGAAATAAGAATTTAGAGTGATTCTATTACCTGGGCCATTAAAAACTAGAAGTACAGCCTTTAACACAAATTAGGTCTACACAAGAAGGAATTCTTGGCAAAAACGAAAACTGACTCAGTTATTGTTAAGAGGCAACCGTGACCTTTCATACTGGTAGAATGCAAATTCTATTAAAAAAGAAATTACCAATACTTCATTGTGTATCAAATGTCACTGCAGATCTCCACAAAGCATTAGATTTATGTAACTGATAGTTTGCAAACGTGTTTCCAAAAAGTACCAAAACTGCAGCTCCGTCATCACTGATGATGTGATAAAAGTAAAAAACCATGACTGCCTACTTCAACCATACACAGTACAGTCATCACTGCTACTCTAAATAACCCAGTGGAACTCATCATCAAATCTTCTCCTAAATCCTGAGAACTGACATCAGTCAATATTTCAATCGTCTCAAAACACAAATCAAACAAAAATAAAACACTACATTGCTTCAACTCTTTTTTCTGCTTCCAAAGTCTGACGTCCAAGTTTCAACCTTACACTTGGGTTTTTCACTAGTATAGAATAAGTCAAAATAAGAGATGTACAAAGAAAGCAGAAGAAAAGGACGTCTCCATGCTTGCATTACAAGCACAGATTTATGAAAAACTGGTGGTGATGGGAAATTTTTGGTGCTTCTCTATTTTGTCTTGAGAAATATAATCAAAATTAAAATAACTGGATGATAATTTTAATGAAAGAGGAGGCTTTCCTTGCACCGACATCGAGGCAGAGTATGAGTGCATATACCCATACATTTGGCTTTGTTTGATATAACCCCTTAAAACTTCTCCCAATTTGTCTCCAAGTGTTTGAGAGAGGAGCAGTTTTTCCCCTTAGCAGATATTATTAACAAGGTTCAGTGTTTGGAGAAAAGTCATGAGATAAGACTGGGGTAAGATGTGTTTTTTCTTCAGGGGTCTGATTATAGAGCAAAAACCGAACTTACAGTAGCTGATGCAAGGATGTGATAGTTAAAGGGAGCATATTTACTTCTCTGCTGTTACATGTAGAAAGAACTTCTCCGTATACAATGTGTGAAAAGTCCTCTCTGCTACTCACGTTATTGAAATGTGAAAATAGTTTTACATGTAGAGCTACCCACATACAAGTTTCCATTATGTCATCTGCAAACTTGTGTATGGTAGACTGTTGAGTTTCTCCTAATGTGTGGAAGTGGGTGTATCTCTGTTTTTTAATGCGTGTGCTTGACTATATATAGTTGAGACTAATCATACATGGAGAGTGGGTGAAATACTGATGTTTGTTGAACATTCATACTGTGGTTTTAAGTTGATGAAAGTAATTTGGGGAAAGCACACACTACTGGTGAGAACAGTGTAATGTTTTTTTCTCTTACACTAATGTCAGGGAGGGAAATGTCTGTAGTTTTTGTCCTGTACACCTCTATTGCATCAATCTCTGTTACAGATACATCTAAATGTAGGGAATGTGTATTAAAGGGCCTAGAGTGCAATTTGGATAATGTTCTGATTTGGAGGAAGTCTGAAATTTGATGATTGTTCACCATCACATGTAAGCAGGTTTGGGTGTAGCAGTCTGCATTGAGAGCAAAAGCAGGCAGAATGCAGGCTGACAAAATGACACCCTGATTCCACCAGCAGATGAAAGGCCAGTAACAAAGTTTACTTTGTACTTTTACTTTTTACAAATCACCACCATGATGTTGTCATTCCAGTTGACTTAAGACCTGTTAACTGCTGGAAACCTTTTTAAGGTTCACATCTGTAGAGTAGCTGTTTGTCTTCAGATATTTTTACATTCAATCTATATTTTTACACTTATTTTTGTACTGTATGATTACTATTTTTTATATTACTATTTTACCGGAGCACTGTAGGCTCTTTAGTAACAAAATTTCAATCCTCTGTATGTGTTACACACATTGCAGGTTTGACAATGAAGCTACCTTGAAACCAGAGTAAAGCCTCTGTGTAACTTAAATGTACACAAAATCTGAGACCTGCTGGAAACAAATGATCAGCCATTCCTATGGGAAAAGTTCTATCTTTTAGATTAACTGTAGGAAAAGATGATATTGCATAGATACTAAAGGATGTTGGACTTTGTGTTTAATATTTTACTGCAGATGAATTGTGATGATATCAATGAGAGTCCATATAATATAATAGTGGAGATAGTGGTGTAAACTACTGCTGGGGGCAATAAAGATTATCCAAATTTAACCAAGTAGGACAGAATCTACTTTGCACACACGTCTGCAGGGCTGAATCAAGAGACAAGGCTGGACAACAAATGAGAGTCCATTACTAACAAGTGTAAAAATGAACCTATATGAAGCTTTTGAATTTTTTGTTATTGTTTTTTTTGTTTTGTTTACATTAGACAGTGTCACTGTGTTTCTCTGTGGATCTTACTGAGGTCTAGCACATCATCAGTCTTGATGAGGTCTTCAGGTCTGGTCAATGGCAGCTGTGTTTCAGGTTCTCCCTGAAGCTGCAGCGATAAGGACCGCAGCATGAAGAAGACACGGATGGCCTGCGCACGCACAAACACAATAAAGATGTACCAACACAAACAGACAAGTTATAACCAGCAAACCCTCCTGTTTCAGCAGACAGTTGCAACTAAATGAAAAAAATGACAATAACTAAAGAACTGTTTTATCATGATAGAAATCTGGCTAATTACTTTTATCTGGCCATCTTGGTGTCACTTCTTCCAAGCAAAGATGTTGTTTCTGGCAACCACTAAGGCTATAGCTCACACCACTCCCAGTGTAACATAGTTATTGTGCTGGAATTGCAGATGTCTGTGAGTGTTTTGGTGCCCCAACTCCAAGACTCAACCTTATAAAGGTATCCAATCAAACAGTGAGTCAACTTCCCGAGTCGTACTCAGGGAAGACCTGGGCTTGGATAGTCACAACATAAAAAAAACCTCACAAATAAGAAGACTGACAAATATACAAACCAAATTACTAATTGAGGTGACTCAGGGTCAGTCTGACAAGAGATTTAAAGCCGAGCAGAGTTCTTCTACAAGCAGGAAAGACCTGTTGATGTTCTTATAACACCAGAGAAAGTTTGCATGCATGAAACCAGTTGTACACTCCTGATCAAAATCTTAAGACCAGTTAAAAAACTGCAAGAATTTATATTTAGCACTGTTGGACCTTAAGACGGTTCTTTGTCGAGCTTCAAAATGCAAAAAGAAGAAATGGGAACAAGAGACCAAAAGTTTTGAGCAGGTAATTTATCGAAAACAACAATTTAACTGAAATAGGCTGTTCATCAGCTGATCAAAAGTTTAAGACCACAGCTCAAAAAAACCCAAATACCTCCAAAAACAGAAATTAAAGTGTCAAAAACTGACTCAGCAATGAGTTGCTCCACCATTATTGTTGATTACTTCAAAAATTCGTTTTGGCATGCTTGATTCAAGTGTTTCCAAAAGGCTAGTGGGAATGTTGCTCCAAGTGGCAAAGATGGCTTCACGGAGGGCATCCACCGTCTGGAACTGATGTCCATTTTTATAAACCTCCCTTGCCATCCATCCCCAAATGTTCTCAATTGGATTTAGATCAGGGGAACATGCAGGATGGTCCAAAAGAGTGATGCTATTCTCCTGGAGAAAGTTCTTGGTCAGACGGGCCTTGTGAATAGTAGCGTTGTCCTGCTGAAAAACCCAGTCATTGCTACACAGACGAGGGCCCTCAGTCATGAGGAATGCCCGCTGCAACATCTCCACATAGCCAGCTGCTGTTTGACGCCCCTGCACAACCTGAAACTCCACTGTTTGATTAAAGGAGAAAGCACCCCAGATCATGATGGTGCCCCCTCCACTGTGCCGCGTAGAAAACATCTCAGGTGGCATCTCCTTGTCATGCCAGTAGCGTTGGAAGCCATCAGGACCATCGAGGTTAAATTTTTTCCTCATCAGAGAATAAAACTTTCTTCCACCTTTGAAGGTCCCATGTTTGGTGCTCCCTCGCAAAGCCCAAATGGGCAATTTTGTGGCGTTGAACGAGACGTGGCATTTGAAGACGTTTTTTGTTTTTGATGGACACACATTCGGATCCTCCGGCTCAGCGCTGGTGAGATCTTTTGGGGTCTACCACTTGATTTTTTTGTTCCATAACCCTCCGGATCTTTTAAGAAATGAAAAATAACGGTCTTACTATGTCCAACCTCAGCAGCGATGGCACATTGTGAGAGGCCTTTTTTATGCAGCTCAACAATCCTACCACGTTCAAAAGCAGTGAGCTTTTTTGCCTTTGCCATCAAGAGATGTTGACAGTGTGACCCCTTGACAAGAAATGACATGGAATCCAAATTTTCGCACAGATTTGGGCTTTTAAAGGCTGTGGTCTTAAACTTTTGATCAGCTGATGAACAGCCTATTTCAGTTAAATTGTTGTTTTCAATAAATTACCTGCTCAAAACTTTTGGTCTCTTGTTCCCATTTCTTCTTTTTGCATTTTGAAGCTCTACAAAGAACCGTCTTAAGGTCCAACAGTGCTAAATATAAATTCTTGCAGTTTTTTAACTGGTCTTAAGATTTTGATCAAGAGTGTATTTAAAGTCAGACTCAAAGCAATTTCCATGTATCTGTGTTTGCAAACACACCCTGCGCGTCTTCTCCACATCCCCACAGGGCAACCTCTTGACAAAGTCGATACCCGTCAGAGGGGTTCCGGTGGGTGGCAGCAGTATTGAGGCGTCCATCATCAGATACTCCACATTCAGAGGTTTACTCTGAAACACATACAGAATAAGAACAAGCATGTCACTTCAGGCAACCTCGTTTAATTATTGAAAGAAAACAGGCCAGAAATGTGACATGAAACAGAGACTCACTTACCGTCATGCTCCTGTATTCATCTTCAAACATGTCCAGAAAAATCTCCTCACCCTGTGAGCCAGTTAAAAACAGCACAGTCTGTCATAAAAAATTGGCACTATGAGCACTGCTGTATCCAAAGGGATGGCAAGGGGGGGCCACCTCAGTCTATGCATGAAGAGCAGTATGGAAATTAATGCTCTTAAAACACTTTTGCTTCTTCTAGAATCACTGGACTTTTGTTATTTGCATATCTGTAGCTCTGCAGAATAATCACATTCCTTTACTCTTTCACACGGCAGTAGCAGCTTTGGACAGATCAAAACCACTCAAACCCCCCTCTTTTAAGCACAAAATGTGTCATAAATCCTTCTTTTAAGGTGATGTGTTCCAGCATGTCAGGCAAACTGATGAGCATAGCAGTTGAAGGGGAATTCTGAATAATTTCCGCAATAAATTCATGATGTATGACCAAAACCACAGAAGCTGAACAGACACGTTATCTGGACACGCACAGTTGACAAAGGATAGGACAGTGATAGTGTTGTTGTCAGTGTTAGTCATTAGTTTATTTCCAACCCTGAAACATCCAGATAAAAATATTCTGTCATTCAGGAGAAAAAAGAAACAATGCAGATTCTTTAAACCAACACTATTATCCGTATCTTAACAAGATGTTATCAAACCAAATTAGATATTAGATATTTTGAAAGCCTCTCTGGGGTGAGTGCACTGTTTGTAGAGATGGCTTCCTAAAGGCTGATTTGGCACTTTTCCACCTCTCTGGGCCTCCATGGCCTTTTTGCTTTTTGAGTGAAAAGTCAGCCGGTCTACACTCCTGTGACTGATTCCAAAACTGATATCAAAAGACACACAAAATGAAAGAGAAAGCACTCAGACTATTTCTCAAAGATATGTAAACAAAACATGAGCTGCACATGGAAACACTATTGGTTTAACCTGTGGCAGTTTAAGGAAAACCGAGTCACTTATAGTCAGAGGATATTTTCTGACACAGATATGCATACAAGTAAGTAGTTCACTGGAGAACTAGTGACCTCAGTTTAGCTTGTGTGCTGCCTCCTTTGTTTTTCTTCCAAAATTATTGTTTTTGAGTGGGTTAGTCTCTCCCGGTGACTGTTTCCGCAAGGTTTTCATGGTATGACTCTGCTGAAATCTCAGAGGTCACGAAAAATAAACAAATAATTCAAACCTCAGTTAAACAAAGTCAGTCTGATTATGACTTTGTGGTTTAGGCTTCCACTTTTAGATTGACCTTAGAACTCTATGCTTTTATGTGTTTACACTCTGTCAAGTAGAGCACTTTTATGTGTTTATTGTCCAAAGAGTGCGTGATTGTGGTAAGTCGGCAGACACACTCACCTTATAGAATCTTCGCAGTAGATGCAGACTTTCTTCTCGAGCGCCCTGTAAACACAAACCTTAAAGTGAACCTGGGGATATTAACAACTAATCAAGTCTCAAGAACGTAATCAAACACATTAATACATATGACTGATTAAAAGGTGTTCAACTGCCACACCTAACCAACACAGACATGAAGTTTAGGAAGAGAGATTTTCTAAACCGAGTTTAAAGAGACACTGGCACACCAGTGTCTCTGCAAACCAGCTTATCTGGTGTATAAGTAAGAGGAATAAAAAAGATCTGGTTTTGTTTTTTTCAGGTAAAAATTGTGTTTTTTTCAACCATGTCATCAATAACCGTTTGGTAACATTTCCAAAGATCCATCACCGAGACTACTTTGTGAATGTCATTTTTTTTTTTTTTTAACCATTTTCCAAGGTCTGCAAATTCAAACACACAGTCCAAGCAGGAACCACAACCTTAACTTATGAAACTGAAGTTTCCTTGCAATGAACTTTTGTTACAGAAATGAAAATAAACAAATTAAAAAAGACAAGTATTTTGTCAAATTCTGCACTTTGCAACATTAAACTTGGAAGTTTGAACTCTGCCATGCTTCCGACAAATGGGGGGGGGCTGAAACTACGGTCATGTTTATAAAGTCTTTGCTCCCAACATGAGGAACAGTTTGTCTTGAGAACTCTCTCACTTCTCTTGTACAAATTATGATTATAGTCTTTATAAATTACAGGCCTAAGATGGCATTAGGGTGGAAACTAACCTGCGACTTCTTCACACTCAAAATAAGGACACAACAACAACAACAACTAGGCTTGTAGTTATATGGGAAACAATAGGAAAATTATATAAATGTTTTGGTAATGCGAGAACTTACAATCATTCTCTGAAATGAAAAGTTTCTGATACGTAAAAGCCTTAAGGATTAAAAGTTAAGTAGCCTTGAAATATCACTGACTGTGTCATCTCTGATAATAAATACACAACCATGATCTTACTGCTTACGGATAAGAAGGCAAAAACAAGCAACCGGTACAAGACAGAACCCTGGACACACTGGTTAGAGATAAACAAAGATCTGTACACAGTAACAGAAAAAAAACCATATAAATTTGGAAGGTTTGTGTTAAATGCTGATACAATAACTGCCACTGAAATGTCTGTAAACTCCCTTTACTGATAAAGCTCCCACTTAAAAGTGGTTCTTCTGTATATGCTCTATAACCCCACTGTCCACTTTGTCTGTTTTTCTGTTGTTGTTTTTTTTGTTTAAAATGTTTAATTTTTTAAGTAAAATAAAGTTTTAAAAAGGAGATTGTCAGTTGACTTTACCTCAATTGTTTTCGCTGGAAAACGTCTTTATTTTGGTTTGTTTTCACTGCACTTTTATCAGCGTGTCATTTGTCATTGTGTATGAAGAAAATGTCAAAGACTCTGGAGTCGAAAATATAAAATTTAAATGAATGACCAATAAATAGAAACAAAAAAACAAAAAACAACAATCACTGCTGGAATGATTACTTTAGACATTTCCAAGTTAATTTACTTGAATCTTAAACTTGAGTGTAAACCATTACAGACGAAAGGTTATTTGTCCCCCAAAAGCTTCCTCCTTCAAATCTCTGCAGAGCGCTAAATGAAGCAACTCTTTCAAACATCTTTTTTGATGCTTTTTGCTTTCAGAAAAATCAAAAAGCAGTTCAGTTGTTGTTGCACAGCAGTTAGTGTGTTCTCTACTTTCATTGAGGTTTATGATGATGTTTGGTGGAGTTGTGATCTGCCTCAAAGTCTTTTTTTGCTTGTTATATGAATCTTCTGTTTATATTTTGCAATCTAATGACCATTATTTTATATTTATTTGAAAGGTCAATTGAAATGGTTAAAAAAAGACAGTTCAGAGAGTAACACTTGACTGGCATTAGAAATGAAACATGTCATTTTCGGGTCATCACTTTTATTTACAAAGATCACAGTGCCAGCAGAGTGTTAGAAAAAGGGTGAAGTGAGTCAAAGTGCAAACATACACCGTTAGTTTTCATTTGACAAAACTTGCATCATTGTGGAAACAGAGTAAATACAGCACTTTAGTTAAAGAAACAAACCTTTGCTGCCTGAGGTTAGTAAAACTGCTGTTCCTGAGAAATGATGGCACATGTTTACGGGTTAAACAGTAGTCACGAAGTCCCAGATATACTGAACTGAACTGCTGCTGCTTCTCCTATTGATAGCTAATTCCTATTACAGTCTAAGTAATGACTGCTGTTATGGTGATGCCATCACATACTGTGCCAGAGAGCTAGAGGATGTTCTTCCTGTTGGGACATCCCAACAAATGACCTTTTACTGTAATCCTCCAACAATGTCACAGCTTATCTGATTAACACTGAATAAACTGAATCTGGATCTCCCAGCTTGTTTTTCCTGTCAGAGATTAGTAACATAGCTAGTCAGTGATTTCCTCAGGGTGGAGAGAAATAATACACAGGTCAGGGCAGACTCCACACTAAAGTTGGCAATTTTACAGGTCACAGTTGTGGTGTTTTGCTTTTGTTTGACAGAAGAAAAGGCCAGAAGTTGCAACTTAACAAAAAAAAAAAAAAAAGCAACAACTAAAGATTATAATTCTTGCTTAAACCTTCAAACTACTATGCCATCCAAAAGAACACTGTCTCAACATAAAGGGGCCCCTCTTTCCCAAAAAGCTGAGTCAGGAAAGGGAAATTCTTTTAGCAGAAACCCATGTAAACTTCACAATATCATAATAGAGTTCAACTTGAGGAAAAATCACAGAGGGAGGGATGAAGGTTTCCTGTAAATCCAGCACAGAGAGGAAAGAGGAATAAAGATCTTAACAGGGTTGCCCCAAAGAAACAGGAGAGGGAAATTTAAAAGATTCCCAGTAAGAGGAGGAATAAGAGGTCATAATTTCTGCGCAAGCCAGGTTAGAGAGGAGGAAAGGCTGAGTGTAAGGAAATCAATCATGAAGAGGAAGATTTAGAGCAGTCACATTAAAGCCGTGAAGGAGGAAAAGGAACACACACACACACACACACACACACACAGACAGACAGACAGACAGACAGACAGACAGACAGACAGACAGACAGACAGACACACACACACACACACACACACACACACACACACACACACACACCATGTGTTGAGCTGTTGAGCCACAACCACAAATGGCCAATCATTGACAAACCACCGATTCAGAGGAACAGGTTATATACCCTGTTACATTCATAAGTGATGCAACTTCCCACTGGCCTGCTCCAACCCCTCAAACTCTACGTGTGTTTGTGGTTGTATTGATTCTGAATATGAGAGCAAAAGCATTGTGATGACAGAAACTTGTACATGTGTGAAGGTGCTTTACCTCCAGACAGGCCAGATGAACATCTTTAATTATGCAGTCGTTTCCTGACAACACCGACTGCTTCAGCAAAAGGCAGCTCAGCTCCAAGGTAGCAAGACGCACTTTACCGTCTACACAGATTAACACACACACCCACACAGAAATTTGCAATCTGTCACAAGGATGGCTCACTCTAGTTCCTTATCACTTAACTAAGCAAAGTGTACATGAAATAATGTGCAATAATGCAGTCTAAGATGTAACAAACACACTAGAGTATTAAAACATAAAATGTTCACAAGATTTTTATAAATGTCCTGCATAATATTTTTGTTTTCACAAGCAAATCCTCACATAACACATATCGAAGGTCTCAACTTGACTGAACAGGCAGGTGGTAATATATTCTTTTTTTATATATGTGTGTTTGTGTGTGTGTGTATATGTGTGTTACCTGGCTGTGCTGCCTGGTTCATAATCCTGATCAGTCTCTCTACCAGCACCAGGCTGTAGGAAGTCCTCTCCTGGTCAGGAACTGGCAGCTGAAGGCGCTCCAGAAGATCTCGGTTTATTCCTGCGAACAGACCAAGGCCGGCCATGCTAATACATATAAATGCTGATATGGCATCATAACATACACAATGTGGAGTTATAGAAAGTAAAAAGAAACTGAAATCAATAGAAACTATCCTGTAAAGTGACATTACTGTGGTCTTACTACATAGTTCAGCCTACATACTGTACATGCACCAGCTCAGCTATAAAAATAAGGCCTGATACTACACAGAGTTTTCGACAATGCATTTTATCAGCTGAATACTATCTAAACATAGAAAGGTGTTTTCTATTTTAAGACCACGTAAGGACATCTTTTGCTCAGCATTAGCATTGTAGCAATAATATATAACCATCCTTCACAAAATATTAAAAGACCCACTCCAGCGAAAATCATGTTTTTCTTGTCGTCTACATGTTCATATGGCATTTTTCTGATGCTACAGGACATATCAGCGCCCCCAGAGCCCGCTATGGAGGCAAGACTTGGCGAAATAGAGAGATGATCGCAGAACAAGTGTGTGCATTAGTGGACTGCTATGCTCGTAAGAAAGCTAATTTTAATACGTCATCATGTCCCCAAAGACATTAGTGTCCAAGAGCTGAATAGCTCCTATGTTACCTGCTACTTCTGCTGCACAAGCAATATTAGGCTGCAAGCTAGCATGAAGAGGAGTGTGCAGAGCAGCGCTGTCTCTGCCCACGACTCAAATGGTGAATTGCTTATGAGCTACTGGAGCTCAGCAGAATCGAAGCCCTTGAAAACGACACAGATAACATGATTTTGACCAAAAACTTCATTATCGCAATTTAATAACCCACTGAGAACACTTTCAGAAGTAAAAAAAAAAAAGAGTGAGACTTTAAACACTGATATCCCGCTAAAAATTAAAAAGAATGAAGTAGCTTGTACTTCAAAACAAAAATATTGTGTTATGATGTAGGAAATAATGCAACCTAAATGTAAAACAGAAAAATGACAAGCTTCTATGGCTACAACTTCCTGTAAAGGTCTTATGATAAGAACTGAGAAAAGGAAAGTTAAAGTAATATAGCAGTCTCTAACTACATCCTCAAAAATGGCCATGCAATTAAACCACTATCTTACTGTAGCAGTTTGAACAACGGTGGAATCACACCTCAGAGCAGCAGACCTAGATTGAACTTTCAGCCCCCTGTCCTTCCTTTTTCTTAATCTGTCCACTGACATTTCCTCTCAATAAAGGCCTGAAAAGTCCCAAACCAAAATATAATTGATGTATTCAGTAGTTTAGTTTCAGTGTATTAAATTGACCTCAGCCCACATGTATCCTTTTCTGGATGGTTGACAGTTTATATTGAGGTCCTTGTAACAAGCATTTATTATTAATTAGACACTTAGAAGAAGCATAAATAATTAATAAGTGTTTATAAAAGCTTAATAGGCTCTGATTAATTCTTGTTCACATTTTATATACCTGTTTATATACCTTAACTCTTACAGAACATTAATATTACATTTAAATAGTCTTATTCATGCAATGTAACATCAAGTGAAAGTTATTAAATGATATTGAAAGCTATTATTAATAATAATAATAATAATAATAATAATAATAATAATAATAATAATAATAATAATAATAATAATAATAATAATAATAATAATAGTAGTAGTAGTAGTAAGCTTTATTGATCCCTGAAAAAACATTTCAATGGTCTATAGTCTCATGTCTGAACTCATCTACTATTTACAGAAGAATGAAAAACATCTTCTGAATCTTTATTTCTTGCAGTGAAGGGAGAGGAGCCGTTACTAAACACACTACACATTTCTGACAGTTATATAAACTTTTAACAACTATCACAAGTTTCTATACAGAGCCTTTAAGTACCTTACAAGCAATAATAATGGTGTTAATTATGCTCTGATAAACACTTATTCATGTTTATAAGAATCTTGTACAGTGGCCTAATTACTTTTAACTAACAATTCTTTTTTTTACTGATCCCACACTATCGCCCCCCTAAGGGAGCAGAGTTTGGAGTTCCTATTTTTTCTCCCTCCTCTTCCCTCTTGTCTTCCTTTTCTCCCATCAAAGAAAACGGAGCACCTCTCTTGTGACGATTCGTCAGTTCTTCCCACTTCTGTCCCCACTGTATGTGACTGTCTTTATGTTTTCTTGGAAGGGTCGAACTGGAAAGCATATTTCGTTGCTCTGCACTCGTGACATGTTCAATGACAAATAAATCCAATCTGAATCTGATCTGAATCTGAGTTGTGTAAATTGACTCCTACTCCTGTATAACAGTCAACTGAGGTCTGCGTAGACCTCTAATTTGGTTAACTAAACTTTCCAATAATCTGGAAAACCACTATAGCTAACTTCATCAATGTATGCTTATGTAAATGCAAAGACAAACCTTTGCTGTGTGACACAGCGTAAAGGAGGCAGAGGACAAACAAGGCATGGTAATCATCATCTGTGCAGTCCAGAGCACTGTAAACCATGTCTAGGAACGGTCTGCAAGGAGAAAGAAGACATCATGGACCCATCAAGTTAGGGCTGTGTGAAAGAACAACAACATGATTGTCTCTGTTTCAGCTCTTTGCTCGTACATGGACTCATGCTGCCATTAGTGCACAGACCCACCACTCTAATGCATATCATTTGAATGCCATGTGAATGATAGTGTTTTATACGCTGCTGGATATCAAATTTATGACAGATCTTTATTGCCAGGATGAACAGTTACACACTGAGTGCTGCCTGGTCTATTCCGACTTTATATTTTAGGGCTATATTTTATATTTCTTCCAATAGAGAAATTAGTTCAGCTGTGCTGGTCAGTAACTTACAAAATGGTTTTGTAAAATTATAAAAATGAATGGTGAGAAAATTGAGATTATGATTCCAATGTGAAAACCATCCCTGAATCACTGTTTCCACTTTGAAACCAGTCAAACAGTTCAGATATGTGAGCAAACACATACCTGCTCCTCTGTATGTGTGTACGGGTCGCAGCTGCCGTCTTCTCCTCATCGGTGATGTTCTGCTCCGTCAGCTCAGAGACCTTACACTTCTCCATCACCACCATCTCTATCTCTGTAAATGCCCAACACACACACACACACACAAATGCATGACGCAATTAGACAGACAGACACACAGACAGAAACCACACACACACACACTTTGTACTGGCATGCATTAGGTCCACTATTGGGAAGTTAATGTTTTCACATCACACTCTGTTGACAAAAACACACTTTGAAACAATCACAGAGAGAAACTTGGTCATCGTTTGCTTTGATGTTTACGGTCTAAAGTGCTTCCTTCTCACCTCTACTGTTTCCAGAAGATGAAAAAGTTACCCAGTCCTGTTTTGTGTTAAATGCTTCTCATTAAGTCAGACCAAAGTGATCGTTCACAACTAAATATGCATAATGTCAAAAGTTTCCATCTACCTTCAAATGTTTACTTTTTGCCTGGCAACCACTTTCATTTGATGAGTTTTATATTTACAGCCTCAATGTTTTAGTTCTTGTTTATTAAAGTTCTCTGCAGCCCACCGTGCATTATAAGAGAAAACCACATACTGTATCAAAGGTGTATGACAGAAAGTCTCCTGCTATGCTTATTTGTCAGAGTTTTGTGTAAATCGATTATTTAATGCTTTACTGTACACAATGACTGACAACTCTGCAGACTACTACTAAAATCTACTTAATAAGCTGTGATGCTGAGGAATCTTTGTTGTTTCATTCATGAGTTATGTCTATGTTTTGGTGAGCTGAGGAAGTGGGATGTCAATTATATGGCCCCAAGAGAGATGTCAGCATCTGTCGTGAGGGACATTTTGGCTGCACTTTTTTACAAGACAGGAGAGGAGACACAATGTCAGCCTTTCCGCAGTCAACAGTTTAAAGTCAGTTTTTAATTATGACCTTTCCAAGCATCACACAAAGTAGGAACCAAAGGCTCTGCTGTTCAGAATCTATTTAGTCATGGCAAAGAAGGAAAATTTTCAGATGAGTGAAATGGTCACATTTTTTGTTATAACACACACACACACACACACACACACACACACACACACACACACACACACACACACACACGTGCACACTCGTACGCAAATAAACACAAACACACACAGAGCAGAACTGAGAGACAGGCGGAGAGGTGAGGAGCACAGGATGAATGATGTATCACCGTGGAAATGGACAGTCAGCTGCCATGGAGATTGGGTTGGACAAGTGATCAGTGGTAGCTATGGTAACCACAGGGAAATAAATAAAAAAAGGTGCCAAACAGGGGAAGAAGCAACAACAGGGAGGCATCATCTCAAGACTAACCAAAGAGGAATTCTTTCATTACTTCAATTTCTTCAGCTTGCACCGTTTTCCACTTCTGCTCTTTCTCACTCTCCACTTATCACCATCCAGTTTTTATTGTTTTAACAGCTCCTGGAATCATGCACCACCTCAACTTTAGAAATTACATGTTAAAGATCTGGACTTGGTACAGTGATATTTTAATTTTGAACAACAGCAATGTTCATGTAAAATTGAGTACCACTCAATAATTGCTGACCCTTTCTGCAGGCATAATGTTTTCGTCTTAAACTCTTTGTGTTTTGAGATGAGGGCTGCTGCTGTGGCAACTGTTAAGTACCCAGGGTGCATCATGGCAGACTGTGTTTGATTGATGGGAGTAGAGAAACACTCATAAACACAGTCCTGTACTGCTGTGTCCAACGAGACACACACTCACCTTCCGCTGTCTCCCCACTCGCTCTGCTTCCCTTAGAACTCCCTCCTACTCCCTCTGTACCTTTTCCCTTCTCCCTCTCTCGACCTCCCTCTCTCTCCCCTCCTCTGCTGTCGTCATCCCAGCCTTCCTCTCCTCCTCCTCCTCCACCGCTGCCTCCTCCTCCACCTGCCCTTTCGTCGTCCTCCTCCTCACCCAGGTTCTTGTAGTTTGGTCTCTTTTGGGTTCTCTTGCGGCCACGGTGGCGGGACAGCTCGAGGGAACGTTCTAAAGACTCTGGGGGCTTGGTAAATCTGCGCACACCCCCTGCACTGGCCTGGAAGAAAAGACCGAGAACACAGCATGAGACATGAAAACTTTTCACATCTCAGGGAGTGAAATCATAGAGGAATTACTGTGAAGAACGTCAACTGCATAGAAAGATAGATGACACAACAGCATCACCCAAAAGTGAAGCTAAAATATCTGGAACTTTACTGCTCGCCCAAGTGTAGGTCAGAAACATCTTTGTTTTCATGCTTAAGTATGAATACAAAGCACCCGACCATTGTTATTTTAACACTATAATAACGAAAGTGCCCCACAGTCTCTGGTATGGATGCCAGGTCTGTTCATGGGCAAATCTTTAATCCAGTAAATCCAGTATTCAGTAAAGTTTATGTCATGTCTCTGCTGACATTGTTTACATTGATAAGGTATTATTACTATAATATAAGGCAGAGGCTAGTCCATCCCAAGGACAAAACACCGAGACATAAACAGAGTAATGTGGTATATGCTGTCCAGTGCAGCGAGGAATGCTCAGACCTGTACATTGGGGAAACTAAACAACCGCTTCACAAGCGCATGGCTCAACACAGGAGAGCCACTTCCTCAGGTCAGGACTCAGCTGTCCACCTTCACTTGAAGGATACAGGTCACTCTTTTGAGGACAGCGATGTACAGGTGTTGGCTCGAGAAGACAGATGGTTTGAAAGAGGAGTTAAAGAAGCCATCTTTACCAGGCTGGAGAAACCTTCTCTGAACAGAGGGGGTGGACTCAGGCACAATCTCTCTGGCACTTACAATGCAGTTCTCAGCTCTCTCCCCAGGAAGCTCCACAAACATTCACACCTGGAACCACATGACTCAGGTGGCATGAGTCATGTGGTCACATGATAGGAGTTGCTAACGACCCTTTCAGGATAACGACTTGGGGGGGACACACCGAGAGATGGGTTTCTACGACCCATTCTTTTCAACTCCAGCCAGTCGTTAACTGTCCCCCTTCTCCAGTAAGATAAATATCTGCTCCTGACACTAGCACTTTTAGGACTGAAGAAGCTTCTTGGATAAGAGGCGAAACGTCTTCTTAACTCTACACAGTCCAGTTGCCTGTTTTTAAGTCTTCAAGATGATGCATCTGTAGTCAACCAACAGGCTATAGGACATGAGCCTTCCAAAATCCATGATTTTGAAAAAAGATATATTTTTATCATACTGATTCATTTGTAGTTCTTTGTTAAGTTTATACTTATTTGATTTCTAGTGACTTAATGAACAAAAACAAAAAATACCGCCCAATACACACACACACACACACATATATTTATATATCTATATATATATATATATATAGATATACATATATATATATATTCACACACACATATATATATACACCTTTTATATGTATATATATATATTTCATGATGTCTCTTTTCATCCTCCATACATAAATAGAAAGAGAAAAAAAGGCATCCACACAAAAGAAATTACATAACTTGCACGTGTATATATTCTCACACTTGCAGACAAACACAGTGTCTTACAGTAAATCCTACCATGAGCTATCAATTGATCAAAGTCTATGAACACACACAAGCCACTTCCTCTCTGATTAAGTTCATCAGAGTAGAGCAGAAAATGACCACCTGACACACACACACACACACACACACACACACACACACACACACACACACACACGATAAAAAGATGGTTTGAGGCTGCAGTACTGGAACTATGACAAAGCTAGCTTCTCACAAAAAAAACCAAGACAGATTCAGACACAGGAAACAGCTGGTGGATGATAATATGCTGAGCAGAGGTGTAAACAGAGACTTACAGTAAACCTGAGTTATCACAATGACAAGAACCGTAATCTTTTTTTCTCCTTCTTTTTTTAGCTCCTTTAATGATGTCTATATTGGTGATGGTGTCTGTTGTATCCTGTTAAAAGCATACAAAAGAAACAGAATTTTCTACAAATTACTTTTTGTTAACAGTGATGTCAGAATCACTAAGTACAGAGTATAAATATAAATCTTTCAGGCTTGCATACACAACAATTTTATTTATTGAATACAAAAATGTGAAAACAATATCACCAATTTTATAATTAGTATCAGTCATGAGCAGCAGGTTTTTTTTATCGTCTAAAATAAACCTACACTGTGCAAACAGACTTCTCTACTGTTTAGCTGCTCCGCTACTTTGAGTGATTAACATCTACATCAAACACCTGATGCAGCAGAGCCTTAGGGCTTGTGTTGTAGTTTCTGATGAAAACACACAGTGCATGCTCTAGACACAAACCATAGACTACTATCAGTGTGTGTGTATGTGTGTGCGTGGTTGAGTGTATATTTTGTCCCTGCTAGCTGACTATCTTCTGGTAAACCGCTCACACTTAGAGCATATGCTGAGAAATCATAGGAGTTCAGTGGGTGTGTTACACAACAGACACACACACACACACACACACACACACACACACACACACACACACACACACACACACACACACACACACACACACACACACACACACACACACACACGGCATCATGTCATATAAAAAGTGCCGTTTGCAGGTAAACTAAACAAAGGGTGCGTGTGTTTCTGAGAAAAAAAGATACTTCTGCACAAACATGCAAATGGTGTTTTCAGGTGCCTATCTGGTGCACTTGCAAGCAAACGTGTTCAAAAGAGAGAAAGAGAGCAAAGAAACACACACACACACACACACACACACTTCTTTACATCTTCCAGGAAAGAGATTTGGGTTAGGTGAGCTCTGTCACGGCTCCATCATGTGACCTCTTTTCCTGCCACATCACAGACAAACAGGAAGCACTCTGTGACCACCTGTGCTGAGACAGATCCCATGCCCCCCTCAGTCTGTTTCATCTACAATAAATCAAACCCAAACACAGCAGCCATTTTATCTGATGTGGCAGGAACAATTTGCATTAAAAATCCAGAAGACCTAAGAAAAAAGACTTTTGTAAACTTTTTAGTATCTTTTGTATATCATCAGGGTTAGATTTAACGCCAACAACTTAACATTTTGACCACCTAGAATAGCGATGTTTTTACTGTTTGGGAAAATTTCCAGCTATAACATGCTTTGAGGAAACAGAGACATTTTTACGCACCTTCATCTCCTCACAAGTGTCTTTACCTGCCACAGCCATCAAACTTTCAACCTCCCCCAGACTGTACAGAACCTAGCTGACTGACTTTGAACCAAGATCTGAGAAAAACAACACATTAAGTTTAAAAAACAAAACAAAACAAAAAAATTAACTGCCGTTTTCAATGGGGCAGCCAAGGAGAAACCAGGGACACAGGAAGAGGAAAGAAAGCATGACATGCACCAAAGGGCGTAGGCTGGGAGTGGAGCTGGAGACTGATCAGAGGAGGACTTTAGCCCCTCTAGATGGAGTGCTTTCTCTACTGACCAAGCTCAAATAGTACATCACAGCCCAGTTCATGTTTTCACATCTCACTGTTGACCCCACACTTTGATTTCTACAAGGTCTAAGTTAAAGATGGATGCCATCCAGTCCTGGAGGGGGTAAGGGCTGATGTAGGGGAGATGGGGACTGGCAGGATGGTGGGCATAGTCAAGATAAGGGGGATTGTGTTGCTGAAGGTTATTATACTGTCAAAATGTCACCACTTGGAAGAGTAATCAATTTGCAAAGAGAAAATCTTATTTAAACATTTTATAAGGAAAAAAAAACGTTCTTTCAAATTGTGGGTTACATGGAATTCTCTTGGTGCTTTAATGTTGTGGAGTCAACAAAGCTCCAGCTGCAACATTATAAATGGCCCAAAACCAAGGAAGTTAAAAAGAACATAGATAGATGAAACAGAAAATGAGCAAAAAGCCATACAATGGTGAAACTACCTCAGAACAGTCTTAAACACTACATTTAAAAGTCTGGACAAATATTTTCTACTGATATATATTATTCTTCTTAAATCTCTACAAAAAACTTTGATGCAAAAGTCTAAAACTGATTTAAGTTGTTCTTGCACTGCAAATATCACTTGCAGGTACAGCTTTGGTTCCTGCTGCCTCTTGTTGTGGTAGACTGTTATGGTTCAAAGATCACACCTTAGCTCACTTTCACTGAAAAGGTAGGCTGCTTCTCAAAACAGCCACATGTCTAGCGCACATGTTCACACGCACACAAGCAGCGCAGAGAATAACCGCAGGGGTTCTCAGAAACGCTCACACCCACCTGCTTCATAAACAGATGGTCTGAAAAGTGAAGAAATCGGGAGGGATGGGCTAAAATGAAAGACGGAAAGAGGACTGAATGAGAGTGAAAGGTGAGGTGGATTCATTGGGGAAGATCAGGGGGTGAAAAGGGAAGAGTAAAAGACAGAGAAAAGAGGAAATAAGAGAGAAAGAGAAAGAGATTTCAAATAAAAGAGAGTGATACCGGTCAAAGAAAATAGAAGAAAAACTTTGAAAGTAATCTGCATGTCTCCACCTTGATGTGGGTGAATCATGCAGAAAACCATGACCCCACAGTCTCATAACCACCAATACGCACTCCTGGAACTACAGCCTGTGTGCAAGTGTCCATGTGGTTGCCTGCGTAGGTGCACTTGTCTTCTGTACTCCCAGAGTGTGTTTTTATTTCTGTGTGAGTGGTTCTGAATCATGTTGCGGGTGCTTTGTGTGTTACCGTGTTCTTGTGTGTGCTGTGTGTGTCTGTATGCGGGGTGAAGACAGACAGGTCTCCGTTGAGGATAACATCAGCAAGGGTGTGGACCATTGGCTGATAGTGGATGATCAGAAACACCTGCAAAACATACAAGACATCCTCAATCAGTAAAAGTAGATTAGAGGTAGAGCAGAGCGACAGGTACTAGAAAAACCAAAGGAATTAAGTAGTCCTCCTTTGTAATGCAGCAGTATTCATTTACTTTTATTCGTGAACATAAAGAAACGTGCATACATAACAGCACTTACACTTCTTGACTTACCTTTGTGAGTTTCAGAGCTGAACAAAACTAACTGAAAGTGTACAAAACCTGTCAACTTTTTCCATAAGATGCTCTCTCATAACCATCATTCAGTTAATACTTTACCAGGAGCCTGAAACCATGTGATGGATTAGCAAAATGACAAGCAGCCACACAGTTACAACACTCAAGAGCTCCAATGCTAGCTAGGTGCTTACTTGAGACAGCAGATAGAGGGACACCTGAGGGTTGATTCGCCTGTCGTCAGACTGGAAAAAGAGAGGAGAAAAAAGCATAAATTGCAAATGGTCTGGCAAAATTGGTCGTTTAGTAGCCAAGGACCATATCTGCTAACTTCTGATCATTACATTAGAGCTAAAACCCTTCTCTGCTTCTATTCATTGGACAACTCTGTGAAATCTCAATAAAATCTGGTTTAAGAGATGGCATATTATTCAAACCTTGTGTTTAATTTCATGTAATACAAAGATAACATATCATTTGTAAATGCAGTGACCATCCGTGTTCACACAAAATGATCTTTGGAATTAGTTGTGAGCCCATACAGTGATTTACACTTCAGAGTCCTGTCTGTTTTAATGTAGTGCCACAGTTGTCTAGTATTGCAGATTGGTCTTCTCTTTTGTGCAACTATTTCCTCAGACTCTCTAAATATACTAGTGATTTCATGCTAAAATCCCCAGACTCTTAGATCTGTAATAGATCTACTATTTGCTCAAGTAGTCTCTCACAGAGTGGTGGAGCCTTTTCTATTTTTACATTTGGGAGACTCTGCCTCTGAGGAATGCCTTTTTTAACCATGGAATGTTAGATACCATAAGGCTTGCGCAACTTTGTTAGTGCCGTCTCATCCCTGTCCCACCTTTTTAAAACATGCTGCTGTCAGTCAAATTCAAGATGAGCATATACTTTTCATAAAGTCATGAAACCTGCCATTTTTGTACTTTTTGCAATCAAACATAAAGTGGCAAAATCTGTTTTTATTCACAGGATCCTAACCTTTGCGAATGTTTGCTACTAAACCACAAGTGTTCTTAAGGGTAATCAAAGAAGCCAAGTATTTACTGACAGCAACTTGTAAAAAATGTGCTTTAAGGAGGATTTTAACAACAATGTTAGACATGAAATTTTCCATTTTAAAAAATACTTAAATATCTAATAAACAGATCAATCAATGACAAAAGGTATTCATAATTACGTGAGAACAATAAAGCCTTTGTCTAAAGGGAAAAAATGAAAAAAATAAACACACTGTATAAAAACATATCTTAGAAATATATGGGAGAAGCTGTTTCACGTCAGGCCTCCACTCACCAGTGAAATAAGGTTTTTATTCATGCATACAGGTCTAGGCAACATACCATTTCTGGGCTGACCAGAGAGTAGACATAGAGGGGCAGGAAGAGCCGGTTGAGGAGGTGGTCGGTCAAAACATCATTGAGGAATTCACAGTTGATGATGAGGATGTCATTCAGGTAGTGAAGGTGGTCAAGATGCTCCGCTACCAGGTCACTCAACTTCCCCCTGTTCTTATGTCTGAAGCACAGCAAAGGAAGAGGGGGTGAGATCTTTTTCAAGTGGAGTCGGTACTCATTTCAATTTGGTAGATCAGAGTTTGGGAGTTTTTTCTTAAAAGGTAACGACACGAGCCACTGTCGTACTATGATTAAAGTCAAAATTGACAATGATGCAAGGTAAATCAGGTACCATGCGCTTTGCTTCAACAATCAGTTAATGAGTATCAGAACATTAGGGTTAACACAAGTCTGACCTCTAGTGGCCACAGTGACAATCAGTACTAGATCCATCAAAACAGACGCAGCTTATACTCACTCTTCATCCGTCTGCACACACTTATCCAACTCAATGACATGGCTGCCGATAAACCAGACCAGGTTGCTGAAATATGGGACTGCTGTCTTATCTCGGATGTAGTGCAGCATGTGCTGGTTGTCCACTGGAGATAAGAGGGTCAGAATCAAGAGCTGGATTAGGGTTGTTGTCATCAGTCTGAATAAAAGCTCAGAGTTACACATACACATATATATGTAATTAATGTACCAAAGTCTCACAGTTCAGTATGACCAAAAAAGCTTAAAATATAAGATGCAAATTAAGAAAATTAACCAAACAAATTAAGCCAAAATAGGAGCACAAATCGGTCCAGTCAGTCCATTATAATTACAACACAAACAGAAGTGAGAGTCTGAGGGGAGCCAGATGAGCTGATATTTACCATGACAGTGAAACTAGCTTTCTGAGCCTTCACTCGTCACTGTCACACTCACTTAGCTCGATTTGAACTAACTTTGAACAATAAGTTATGAAACCAAACAACCATGAGAAAATGTTTAACGATTAATAAACTTATTTGTGCTCAAAGGTTCAAAAGAATTTCTGATTAAGTTTCATGAAACTGAGTCCATTTATAAGTGTCATTGCATAAAGCTTAAAAAGCTTCACCTCCCAGTTACTTAAGTCCGATTTGGTGACATTTGGTTGTTCATGAGGACTACGCGTGAGCTCCTCTGCCCATCACCTGGCTTTCCTAATCCTTACTCCTAATGCTTGATTTTGTTTAATGAATTAACTGATTAATCAACCACACAAATAATGCCACGCCTTTGACAACTCGATTACGTATCGTTTTAAATGTCGAATGCACAAATTTAAGTTTATGTCTCAGGCCAGTTTAAGTTTACGACTGAGACCCTGATGCAAAGCTATACATTATGCTCTCTTATAACCAGCTAATGCTAATGCTTGTTATGAGAGAGCAGGTTGGCTGATGGCGAATATATATTGCCAATATGATATATATTGTTTGTTAAATATAATAATGCTGAAAAATGGTGATCAAAATTGCTGACCTGCAGTAAACACTTCATAAAATAAAAGTAGACAGAAAAATGTTTGGCTCAGGAAAACACTGCAAGGAGAGAACCTTTAGGTATCTGCCCAGTTCTTAAGTAAGAAATAAGTAAGAAAAGCAGCTGACTGATATATCAGTCCATCTCTACTTTACATTATCCCCCATTCAGTGTCAGACGAGATGCTGGCTAAACTTTACACTCTTTAGAAATGGACCAAAGTTAAAAAAAACAAAAGGGGTGGGGGTTCAAGAGAGACTTGGCTCTTTAAAAGGGAATACTGTATGTCCTAAAGTTCAGAATAATTTAGCAGATTCCTGTAACACCCATGTCAAATAAGTTTCACAACTTATCACAGCAACATCTGCTTTTTCTGATACCTATACTGCATTAAAGCTCCACTGGCTCGAAATGTGCTACCACCTTCTTATACATTTGTCCAAATTAAGGCAGAGGGTATTTTCATCATGATAATCCAAAATCTTGGCCAAACTAAAGTAATAACTGAGCAGAAAAATCAAACATTTGATCAACACAAAAGCAGAAAAAAAGACAAATCACAAGCCTTCACTACACAAGTGCCATAAAAACAGAGGCATTTAGTGGATGAAATTAGAAATACAGCAAAGGAGATACTGAGTGAATAATAACAGTGAGAAAAAGTGTCAGACCCATCACCAAATAACAGCCGGTAACTGGAGCTCAGCTAAAATTAAATCTGTGGTCAAATTAACGCTGGAAAGTCTGAAAAAAAGCATGCAGGTTTTTCTGCATGGATGTAGGAGGGGGACCAGAATGAATCACAAGAACAAGAACAAGAACTGCAGATCTATCAACACCAATACATTAAAACAAGTACACCATTAGAAACAGACAGGGCTGGGTATCAACAACAACAACTCAAGTGTGAAGAGAAATATAAACTTTCAATCACAAATTTGAGGTGTTCAAATTAATGTTACACGACCTGCTCATAGGCTGGTGTTGATGTCAACACTGCACAGTGCTGCCAGATTGCGTCAGAGATACCCAGCCCTAAGATAAAGACTGAATGAATGGAACCAACTTACATGAAACTGGAGTTAGGCAGATGGGGCGCGCAGAGGGAGGGAGGGGCAGGGGGAGGGAGAGAGGGGGAGGGGAGAGACAAAGAGAGGAAGAAGTGGTTGTTGAAGAGGAAGAGGAGGGAGAGGGGGAAACAGACACAAGGTTAATGTGAGTAAAGGGGCGGCTGTGGAGGGGGGTGGAGGCTGGAAAGGACCCCGCTGATATCCTAACAAATGTACTGCAAACAACAACACATCTGGCAAAGGAGCAAAAGGAGTCACAAAAAAAAAAAAAAATCACATTTTACAGCTTATACACAAGGACATGTAAAAAATGGACAGGAGGAAGGCTATTGTTTGCGCAGAACTTGACTTTGGCATTTAAATGACATGTTGGTGAGCCTGTTGCTGTGGGTTTAATCCTTTTCCAGACTGTTTTTTTCTTTATGCAGTGCATTTAAGTCGAATCAGAAGGAAGCATCAAAAAGCATCACCTTAACTTTTCATCCCATTATACTGACCCATTTTAGCACTGTGGCACAGCACGTACTTCAATCCTGTTGTTTCATGTTGTTCATTCATGTTGTTTTGCCTCAATGAGCAGTCTCTACTACAGCACTAGATCAGGATGCAATGAACGGTCTAAGACGCAGGTTCAAAATCACCTGGTTTGCTCTTTGCTTTTTTTGACTTCATGCTTCCCTCTTTGGCTGATTTCTTACTATAGCACAGTCCAATGCCAGCCCTGTTTTGATACAATAGGTTACCTCAGATACGATACAGCCCGTATCTTAGAACTTTGGTTACTTCAGGCCATTTCTACAAGCTGTGTTAGTGTCACTGTTGGGAGTTGCACAATCACTCTACTGGAGTTATGATGCAAAGTTATCATGCTGGACTTAGACACACATTTAAAGAGACAAACAGGACATCAGAGTGTGTATGTTGCAGTGACTTTATGTTGAGGTAATGTCATTTAGAGTGAAGAATTGCATGATGTGTGGAGCGCCCCCTGGGATCGAGCAGCTCTGAGAAACAGCAGGAAAATGAAGCAGTGCACAGAGCAAAACAGACTAAAAAGAAATCCTTCATTTTTAAAGAACCAGAGCATCAATGCTGTGCAGCTCACCCTCACAGAGGACTTGAGTTATCAAGAGTGTGAGAGTGAGGGAGACTTAAATGAAAGTACATATTTCGGGAAAAAAAAAAAAAAAGGACTTCATTTAGCTGTTGGTTGATGCAGCCCTGTCAAAAATGAGAGACCACTCCAAATCTTTCCTGAAATCAGCATCTCTAGAAGCATGAAAGAGACTCTTTGCACTTATTGCACCGTTTTGGTGATCACCTGACACCAGTGAGAAAAGCCAGGATACTTGAATTTCTATCAAGTCACACAACAGCAACCTGTCAGTGAAATCAGGGTTGCTTCCCAATTAGGGCTGCAGCTATCGATTATTTTAGTAATCGAGTACTCTATCGATTAATCTGTCGATTAATCGAGTAATCGGATAAGAAATGTTTTGCTCTCACTGTAATACTTTGCATTGAATCACGTTTGCCTCAGAGCGGACTTAATGCATGGACCGGGTGTTTTCTTTTAAGGTGCTGCAGCATTGACGACGTGCTGTTGTGAAACGCCAACTCCGCCTTACAGTGAACGCACTGCACGGCGTTTTCTTTACTTTTCAGTGTGTAATGGTCCCACACTTTAGACACTTTCTGCCGTTTCCTCTGCGTGTCATCTCTTTCTTCCTCTCTCTGTCTGTCCTCGTTTCCCTCCATGATTGAACCAAACGCGCCATAGACATAATAAAAGATAGACCCCGCATCGGCCGCTACCACGAATGGGCGCTGTCGAGAAATGCGGCCGCCATCTTGGTCCGGTCATCCGCCTCACTCTGCACCGCTGTTTAACCGGCGGAATGAAGTCTGAGCGCATTAATGAATCATAGTTCGCTCAATACTACGTAATTTTCTTCCCTGCAAATGCCATTCAAAGAGGCATGATAGAGGCCATATTTTTTTTTGGCGTTTTCAAATACTCAGAATGAATAAAATGATATTTTAGAACATGGCAGCAGTGGCTGTATTATAGTATAACAATTAATCAAGGATATATTTAGGTTTAGAGCTAGGTTCCTGCTATGTCTCAATAATTATTAATAACTGGCGGTATTAATAGGCCAATTCAATATATATTGATTTGATTATAATTTTTTATATAGTTTAATTTTATTTATCCATTTGTAGACACACACAAATAATGTCATATAGAAGCACTATTTTAATAACTGGAAAATACACACAAATATATAGCCTACATATCAAAAAGATTTAAACACAAGAACAGCATGACAGGACAGCATCTAAACTACATATCAATTTGCTTGTTGGCTACACAGCACAGAGGAATCACTTGCTGCGAATTTCTCCCTCTAACAGCAATCTCCCACTTCTTCCTCAAGTTTTTGTCCTTAGGAAATCTTCAAAATGAAACAGGAGATCACCACAAAGAAATCTTTAATAAAACAGATAATAAAACAGAGCTCACTTTCTTCCTTTTTCTTTCTATTTTATTTCTTAACGTTTCTTAGAACCTCTCTCAAACAAAAGTTTTTCAATCTAATGCAAATCTGTTGATAATCGACCAAAGTTGCTATTATTGTGAATAAGCTAGCTGTTCGCAAATGCTGTTTCCTTTTTGGAGTTGACCGATAGTCTTCCTCTTTGGCCTACAAATGACTCTACAGTCAAGTGTAATGTTTAAAAAACGTTTAATCATAACTGTGAAAAGTTATTTCTTGAGCCCTGTTCTCTGCTGTCCGCCTGTTGGCACAGGAATACGCCGCACAGTGCTCCGGCATCGCTGAATGAATGAATATGATTGACCGGAGCGTATGGGAAGCTTGACCTAACCAAGATGGCGGCCGCATTTCTCGCTGCGCAGCACCCCCAGCGGGGTCTACCCTTTTATTATGTCTATGAAACGCGCGGCAGCGGAAGGAGCGGAAAGAGCACGCTGCTGCGCAACAGAAATAACCGTCCGTGTCAAACACCGTGCGCTGCACATGGTTCCGGATTTAAACGATTCCTCGAGGCATATAATTTGCCTCGAGGAATTTTATTAATCGAGTTACTCGAGTTACTCGAGTAATCGTTTCAGCCCTATTCCCAATATAACTCTTAGATCAAAGAAGAAAACTTTATCTGGAATTTGAAAAGCTATGAGAAATATTGTACACACTAAAACAAAAACGCTCACTGTATAGTGGTTCCAGAAAAGAGGACATTCTTGCAGTGGTCTCTTATTGTTTTCTGGAGCTGATATGCGCATGAGAGAGTCTACCGCCTACCAGGGTGTTGCATTTCCAGGTAAAATAGGGTTGAATATATCCCACATACTTTTTGTCTCAGTTACAGTTTTAAAACCCATTTTTATTATGCTTTCGTATTCGAGTCATGACTCTAAAAAAGGAAGCTTGTATCAGTAACAAGACATCAACCCTTTTATATTTCCGCAATTTCTCTGAATGGCTTGTTTGTACAACTAAGGGACCTACGCATATGCTGTTGGTCCGCAGAGTCTAAATATGCACATTTTCTTAAATAATGTTTTCCTTTGCAATGATTTCAATTTGGTGTTTCAATTATCAAAGATGAACTGGTACCATTTGTCAACCCCCGGGAATATGTTTAGTAAATACCTAGGGCCTCATTTATAAAACCTGGCGTAGGATCCATACTAAAAGTGTACGTAAGTCGAAAAGCTGAAAAGTGCGTAGGCAAAAAAAAAAATCTGATTTATAAAACCCTGCCTACGCACACCTGCACGCACTTTCCCTTTATAAATTGCAGACCAGCCAGAAAGTTGCGCAGCACGGATTTGATTCATGCCCCGCCCTCTCCACACCCAAAATTCACCATGTATGGTCATGCAAATTACCTCATGAACGTGATTTGCATGTAAATAAGCCTGATGGATCCATGGCATCTCACGCTTAATCATGGCATCAGCAAGTCGTAGAAAAAGAAACTTTTCAGAGACCGAGGTGGAGGTTCTTGTAAATGAGGTGGCGGCGAGACGGGAGACCTTATGGCACTGAGCGCAGCGTTACCGAAATCAAGAAGAAGTGGTCTGATCTAAAGGTGGAGGCAAAGTAAAAAGTGGCTTTGCACCGTCGGAGCGTGGCGGCGACAGGTGAGGATCAGAAAACACAAGCACGTGTGACACTCATGCATGTGTTCCAAAAAAATACTGCTCCGTTATCTACCGATACTTATGTGTTGAAAGTTTGTGGTGATAAGATTTATTCATATCAATCTTAAAACAAATGAATGTAAATAGAATTTTTTTTTTGCACATTTGTAAATTCAAATTGGCAAACTTTCTACACTGCCACAGTGGGGTCTGTGCTTTCTGCGAGCATCACTGCCTGGTACGGCAGCTGCAGCTCTCAGGACAGAAAGGCCCTGCATCGAGTCATCCGTTGTGCTGAACGCATCACCCGTACTGCACTGCCCGGCCTCCAGGACATCTACACCCAGCGGGGCAGGTCCAGGGCAAGACGGATTATCAAACACTCACCATCCCAACCACAGACTGTTTGAGTGGCTGCCCTCGGGTAAGAGGCTTCGCTCCATCAGAGCCAGGACTGAGAGGCTGAAAAGGAGCTTCTTCCCCCAGACCACTCGGATCCTGAACTCCTCATAACACACACCCCATAACTGACTTCACAACACCCTCTGAACAGCCTTTACATTATTATTATTATGGTTTTTTAGCACAATCGCAGACGTCACTTGTATTTCACTGCCACTGTACCTGTACATTTAGGCATGTGACAAATAAAACTTGAAACTTGAAAATTGTGCTGCATTGCGCACGACTGTCACTGTATGGCTTTTTATACGCGCGCTTTCCATTAACCATTGTTCTCACCTTGCTCCAATTGTCTCCAAAAAGTGTGTAAGCAAGGTGTGGAGTTTGCTTAAAGATGCGCACATTCCTACACTAGTTTTTTTTTTTATAAATCCCAACTCTTGCGTAAGAAGTGGCGTAAGCACTTTCAAGCCAGGTTTTGTGCGTAAGCAAGCTTTGTAAATGAGGCCCCTGGTCTATGTTAGACCCTTTGTTTGAGCGTCACTTATGAGCATGTGTTGATGTGCAGATAGTTTTACTGCAAATAAAACTCCGAAACACTGCAGGCGGCATTACGTATCAAATGAACTGTTAACAGCATACCTCTGCAGGACCTTTGACTTACAGTAGAAAAAAGAAGACATGTATGGCTAACATGAGTGTTTCTATTTGTTTCAGAGTTACCTGTTAGTCATGCTCATGCATTAGAAGTAGTGGCAGAAAGAAGACAGGAGTATGTAGCGAGGCGGTCGGCTGTCCCAGCATCCCATCAGTATGTGTGTGTGTTTGTGTGCGCTCAGAGTGTACACATGCGTGTTATCGGCACTCACCTTTGTAGACGTTGAGTGTGATGGTGCGAACTGCAATGCGGACCATGCTTTCGGGGTGGTTGAAAAACTTAATGGCCTCGGTGTACAGGGCAAAGTCATTAGTGTGCTGTGTGTGGAGACAGAAAGGGGGCGCCAGTGAGCAAGGCACTGAACTGCAAGGGCCCTGTTCAGGCCACACATGACCTCAGAGAGAGAGAGAGAGAGAGAGAGAGAGAGAGAAAGCAGCTAGAGAGACAAACACTAGGAGGTAACAGTTAAGACGTAATTGGGTTGACCATGAACCTGATGATTAACTGTAGCTGAGTAACTGTTCCAGAAATATTCAAACGTGAGCCCGGCCCAGTGCTTCTTCATGAAATATAGGCCTGGCAAACAGGAATTCAGAGGTAATACAGTGTGATCACATGATGCTAAAAGGGAGAAACCCTGTTCATCTAAGACTAAAAACCATGTAGACAAATATTTCCCTTACAGAAGCAATGAAAGTGTGAATGTTGACGTTCTTGTGGAAGAAACCAAAAGAAAACTTAAAGCAAACAAATCCTAAATCCAGGTGTTTTGATTCATCCTGAAACAGATTCACTCAAACAGTCTGAGCTACACCAACAGCCATTCCCAAAAGTCAAAACGTTTGTAGCATAGTCAACCAAACGATGCACTTATGCACTCTGTAAATATGCTAATCTGACTTTAACCTTCATCTCTCTCTGGGCCAGTGCCTGATCCCTATCCCAAACTTTCCTCAGTCACTGCGACCCCAAGCCAATCCCCGTCATAGGGGGGCTGAAGAGCCCCCAAAGGTCACAGTGAATGAAGAAACCTGACCCTGATACCAAATCCAAACCTGGACTGGGTCCTCTGGTCTCTCAAAGCTTCTAGTATACTGTAGATCTGAGATGAACATAAAATGATTATCTGTCCAAGAGCACCCTCTAGTGGAAAATTGTCTTTACAACGATAATCAAACTTGATGATGAGGTGATTTTTGAAACCAAGTTTGTCATGAGGCTCTTTTATTATTCAAATACGGTATGCTTTCAGACTGATCAAACCCATTTTGGGGCTGGTAAAACTTATAAATCCAGAAATTTGAGATTTTTTGTTTTTTTGTTCAAAAAAGGGAGGATTTTTCTTTTTTTTTAAATTTATAAATATAGGAAAGGAAAATAAATATTGTTGAAGTATTTCAACCTTGGCTCTACACATAAAGGTGTGGTTTTGGCCTCAGGGGCTAGGCTTCCATCCGCAGTGCACCAATAACTTTCCCCAGCACACACAGGCCAATGAAAGAACTAGATTCTGCTGAAAGAACCAAGGATAGCATCATCATGATTATTATCATCAGGTGGTCAATATGTTCCCATCACACACACACACACACACACACACACACACACACACACACACACACACACACACACACACACACACACACACACACACACACACACACACACACACACACACAGATTTAAGGCAGTTCTCTAATTCATCACTCAAAGACCTTTTTCAGAATACTGTGGTCATTCTTAAACATGACTTTAACAAACACATTATTCCCTCGTATGATGGAAATAATGACACCTAAGCTTTTGTAACAGCTATTGAAGAGAAAGAAACCTAACAGACAAGTTTGGTGGGTGTGAAAGGGGAACTGTGCAGCAGTCAGTTGGTAGATAAAACATTGATAGTCTTTCACAAAGGCAAAGAACAACCTTGTGGTCATTTTTGAGAATGTTATCAGCTGATATAAATATTTTACATGACTCTGTTACAATCTTAATAGAATAATCTTGTGCCCTACTTTAAAAGCTGCTTAATCTAAGCAACCGGCTGCCTATCTGGCTGAACTTATCCAGTTCATCCTTCAATCTCTCATTTCAGTCTCTCATCTTCCTATCTCTTTGTCTGGCACTGACTACGAACAATAAAACCTGCCAAGTGAAAGATCTTCCATCTCTCTCTGTCTTCCACCACCTGTCTTTGACCTCACCTCATTGTAGAAGAAGTGCACGGTGTGGTTGTTGAGTTTGAGTGACAGGGTCTTGAGGAAGGAGATGTAGTAGGCCATGATCTCTTCGTCCGAGAAGTCAAACTTGTGCACGATGATGGAGTTCACATGGTTGTTTGACAAAAGATAATCTGAGGAGAGAAGGAACCAGATCAGACTTGTTCATACAGTACATCACTGCATGTCTCATTTTGATCATCAGATGACCAGTAAGATTTGTCTTTTGACTGCAATGAGTCTTGTGTGCCAAGGAGACACTCCGTTTATGTAAGCATAATACCACAACTCACTTTTTGGTACCTCTACAAACCAAAATACTCATTGTCTTACTTTATGTAAGATATCTGCTTCCTGTCAAAATGACATATCTTCTGCTGAGTCTCTGATTGCCTAGCAACAACAGAAAATACAGCAGGCTGCTATGTAATGTCCATTTCAGCAAAGATAAGCAGTGCAACATGTCATGCATTTTTTATCTGACCAAACATCTACATCCACTACAGCACTACAGGACAATATATTACAACACTACAGTCACTGGTACTAATGGCATATTTTACTGCTCACATTTCACCTGCATTCAAACATTTTAGCAGTATCGTAAATCGAGTAAAAAAAGAGAGAACTAAAACAGCAACTAATCATTTGTAGGGGGACATAACAAAGCAGCAGTCTGGAAAAAACAAAAAACATCAAATTTAATTAAAAAAAAAAAAAGATGGTTTATGCAATGTACTGCATCACAAACATGTCTGTCTGTTTTTTGTTGATGTTTTTTTACAGCCATTTTTAATTGAATTACTCACACAGCGAAGTTTCATGACTGATGTTCTCAAAAAGTATGTTGAGGGTCTGGAGGAGCTGAACACACACGTAGCGGCCCGACTTCTGGCGCAGGATGTTCAGGAAGAAGGCAAACATGTTCTTCTCTAGGAAGAAGCTGAGCAGATGCAGGAGTGTAATAACAAACATGCAAGATTTAATTCAGAATGACTCAATCTCAAAATACAGATTTAGAAAAAAAGAGGAATTGTTTCTTGTTTGCAGCATCCTGAGGGACTAATAGTTATATCACATGCCATAAGCACATAATATTCCTGATTTGACTCCATAGATTTAAGTCTGTTGAATTTAAAGACCCCTCTCTATCCTCCCATGTTTCCATTCTGTGAACATCTGAAGTTTGCACATCCTTACATACACCCTAAACCACTATTTTGTGCTGCAATTTACTTCTCATAATTGTAAAATGTCTTTTCAGCTTATAAACTTCACAAAATTTCAGACTACAGTTCCTTTTTTTCAGATCTTAACACAAGTTACTTAACTTTGAGTTACCAGGATGCCCTTGTCTTTAAAATGAAATATCTAACATGGAAATAGTGCAGTTTTAACACAAAACTATATATTTCTAATGCCTAAAAAGAAAGCAATGGTGGTGGTTGGAGCCTGTTTATTTCAACGTTTCCTTCCTGATGGCCATAAGCACATTTTCAACACTTGCTGTGGCTTCTTTGCTCATGAAAGCAGTTTCCTGTGTCACATGAAAAAACTCCAAGTCATGAAATTAATGAACAGAATCAGAATGGTGACACATAAATCCTTTTAAAATTAAAAAGGAATACAGTCTGAGCCTGGCTGGGCCATCCAGTTGCATGAATCACTTGTGGGAAGGAACGGCAAGTGATTCACGCAATTTATTGGGATTACTGCAATGCTACCATAGAGTTTTACAAGACCAAAAATAGAAGAGGCAGAAAACCAGAGATGTATTTGACACATATATAGAATGGTTTCTAAAAAACCACCATCGTGACCCTGGTGGTACAAATGTTTCTATATAGAGACATGATTGAGATTATTCATCTTTTCTGTGATTGACTTAAGGTGATATCCCACTGAAAATTCACAGCTCATTTATGTACTAAAGTGACCCAGGTAAAAGGTGGGAGCTTAGTTCAGAAAACTACAGGTAATACAAAGCTGGTAATCTATATCAGCATGTCAGCATTTCTGCATCTAAATTTAAGGGAACATAATGGGTACTTACTCAAACACAGAGCTGTCATTCTGGTCACCCCAGATGAGGATCTCTGTGATAGAGCGAATGGTTTCCACCAGGAGGTTTCTGTTGTGGTCTGTCACTGTGGTGTTTTTTGTGAGGACATGGTACATATACCTGACAGAGAAACATGGCTTGAAGGTAGAGTGATGAAGGAAGCAGTATGTGGGTAGAGCTCATTATTTTAATATGCCCACCTACAGCTTAACAAAAAAAATGCTTGGGACAGTGGCAAGAGTGGGGTTTAACAGGGTCATCAAAAATAGTTTGTTCTGGATAAGAAAGAATTCTCTCGTTAATTAGTTGCACCTGTTGTGGTCGCGCCACAACTCTGATTTCGCCTGCTTGATTAGTTCTTAGCTTCCAAGGCTAATTAGTTACGACGGCCGCAAACACCTGTGCAGACCTCACGAGTCTTCGTGAGCCCGACATCAGTTTATATCAACAGTTACTGGTCGTATCGACCAGAATCATAAAAGCGGGTCAACATCAATCCTGTCAGAGAGCATATTTCCTTCTCAAAGCTAGCATTGACGAGCTAGCCCACATGCCTGTCATCCGTGCAGAGCAGAAAACATCAATGACAAATGAAAGGTCTGTTTGTTGAAGATACAGGGCATTTCAGTGATTAGAGTATGTCAGTTAATTTCATTTTGGCTCTATACAATTAGGCTATTGACCAGGCAAGAAGCAGTGCTCGACCGGTTACCATACATGCTAATGATAGCATATCTAATGCTAGCTACTCACTTCAAATGGTCCAAGGAGTGAATATTTTTCGTCTTCCCCTGTCCTCCAACCCAGCTCCGCGACCGACCAAACATGGTTATGGTTTAAGGGGTTTTCGTATTATACTGGCGATGTTACTCAGCATAGGTTAGGGTCCGCATCCATCCATTACACCCACTTTCCCGTCCAGATAGCTACTTAGCAAACAGAAGGTGATAGGGCTGTGTGACAGGATTGCGTTTTTCTTCCAACTTTATTGAACAAGCTTGAAATGTACAAACAATGCAGACGATGTAATCATATAAATCAGAGAATAACAAAAAAAGAAAAAAAAAATGACGGTGTCTTGACATAAAGAAAGTTTAAAAAAAATTTAAATGTGTAATTTACCATATAATAAATAAATACATTTGCTAAAAAACAACAGCAGCAGCTACTTACACTACTACTACAATGTGATAATGATGACGATTATGATGATGATGATGATGATGATTATTATTATTATTATTATTATTATTATTATTATTATTAGTAGTAGTAGTAGTAGTAGTAGTAGTATTTATGATATACATAACAATAACAATAAATAATAATGATAATGTTATCAATATCATAAATAATAATACTAGTAATAATTTATTATTATTATTATTATTATTATTATTATTATTATTATTATTATTATTATTATTATTATTATTATCATTATTATTATTATTATTATCATCATCATCACTAAATTTACCTTTGGGGATCAGTAAAGTTCTCAACTTATTAATGGATACATTTATTATTAATTTTATTATCATTATATGAATATTATTAATGACAATAAAAACTGTTTAGAACTACTATGTTTATGTATTTAATTTATTTGTTTATTTTTAATAACAAATTACCAACGTGAAATGGAAGTGCGTAAATGGTTTGTAGTGGAATGCAGTTCTTCGTTTGCAGAAGGCTGATACAGCACACAAAAACTTGTTAAAAACTACAAAAGCTCTATTTTTGTACTTGGTGACGTTTCAACCTTGCGACACAAGTCGCGAGGGTCCCGTTATGATGATAGACACCTTGAAGACCAATCACGACAGAGTCTGTCTAGCAATCAGCCAACCAAATTCCGAGGTCGAAATTTGTCGCTTTGTCGTGGAGAATGTTTTGATGCAGATGATAAAACTGTTAGCAGGGACGATCCGGTTGAGACATCGGCCGACACGTGTGCTGTAGCTGTTTGGTAAATAACTGTTCGGCTGTATCTTTACACAGCTGTACACGTTGCTGTCGTTGACGTGAGCGTTTTTTTCAGCTAGCACTGCATGCTACTGTTTTTAGCTTTGGCCAGCTGGCATGGCGTGAATTCCGCAATCCCAAAGAACCGATGCGAAGAATGCGATGAGCTAGCTAACGCAGTATTTTGATACTGTACGGTTATTATTAGCTATGAACGTCACGTTATTCAGCCCACCTGTGATATTGTCATTTTCTTCGGGACCCTATAGTTAAGGTAACTTCCTCTCGGTCACTATTTTCAGGACGGGACGAGGCGACATGGGCGTCCCAGCAGCCCCATCACCCCAGGCTTATTTCTAACAACACCACTCCGCCTTATCCTGGCCTCGCAAAGACTCAAGAACTCAAACTGTGGCCGTCTTTCTTTTCTATGACACACCCAATCTATGCCCAGCTAGATTCGGTAGAATCGCTGTTGGACGAAGTACCATATATGTTTTATTTGGGCCTGTTCTTTGTGAACGTCCTGATCCTCTACTATGCCTTTCTCATGGAGTACATCGTCCTGAACGTGGGGATAGTGTTTCTGCCTGAGGACATGGACCAGGCGCTGGTGGACCTCGGAGTGCTGTCTGACCCGGCCTCTGTCCCCTATGACACTGACACAGAGCTGGATGTGTTTGAGGGGTATCTCGAGTGACAGGGCGGTCCAAGAGGACAAAGAGGGAAATGAAGAGGTTGTAGCCTGGGGTAGACTGAAACCTTCCTGGGCTGTGATTTTGGGCAAAAATGCACCGAAGTGGACACTGTTGCTGCCTTTTTATCGTTTAGACACAGTAAAAACGTAAGCAGAACTTTTGATTATAAAGAATGAGAGTTAATGGTTACCTCTTCATCCCACAGCAAGACACTTAATCTTATCTTTATCCTCATCCTTTCTTTCATGTGTTGTTACAACAGATCAAGAAATACTTGGTTGACAATGTTATAATAATGTTTTATTGTACAAATTCTGTCTCACATATCTAGGCTGTCTCATCTAAAAACAAGGTAACCCAAGGATGAGATTCAGCATCACCATGCAGGCCAAATGAACAGTGACTCCCTCAGGATGAGCCCTCTGCACTGGATCAGCTGTCAGTTAGTCTGCCCCCTCTCAAAGCAATCAATATCAGGATCCAGTGTGCCTCACTGGACACAATGACAGATAAAAAGGAAGCAACATTGTAATGCAAACAGAGAGAGACAGCTGGTTCCCACGGATGACAAGTGAATGCTGCGGTAGATGCAGAGCATGACTCAGGTTGTGTAGTGCCGCCACGCCAGGCAGAAGGATTCTGACAAGACTTGCATTCACACGTAATAAATACTGAGGCTGTGGAAGTAAGTTACTGAATGAAGTGATTCTAGACTTAACACTTAAGTCCTACAGTGTGACATCTCAGAAGAACTGGCCAAGTGTTGAGAATAATGTGACACCTCACTAAAACGACTAATTTCCACTGTTCTTTTTAAGTTCTTTGAATAATTTTCTGCTTTGTAAGAAAACTCATCTAAGTGGGCCTGTTGTGTCCTTTGTGGCCAAGGTTAAGGACTGCTTCAGGGATGTACATACTCTCAGGAGTACTGTCGGGAACTCTTGGTGCCTGGTGAGACTTCACACCAATACTGGCCAGGACAGGACCACCTTGTTACACTCTGCTCTGTAATAAAAACAGTGATGCGGGGAGGGAGTGTAAAAATATGACACTAGGAATTTTGTGGTGTGATGCAGATTTGATTTTGCCCTTTTGATGCTCCTGCCAGAAATTTTTAGCTGGTTATTTGAGAGTCCAAAATTCATATAAATGTTTCTTTATGCGCTACAAAAGTAAACCAGACCATCAGAATTAAGATAAACTACTTCTTTATTGTCATTTATAATGTTTGAAACTGCTGCCTGGGGGGGCAATATCAAATGTGTAGGCTGATCAGATCAAATTGGGATGGTCTAGAGTCAGAAAATTGCCTGACTATGTCACCACACTGATGACAGCATCATGTAGCACATGCCTTAAACTGGTTTTTGAACCTGTTTTATTTTGTCATTTATATGGAAAATGGAACATGGCAGGGAACCCTCTAGGTTTTTCTTTCTGTATAAGCTGCATTTGACATCAAGAGGTTGTCAAATGATGAAGCACAACATGTGCCCTAGGATTTTAAACATCATAATCAAAATTTCCTCACAGGAGTGTCAAAGTAAACAGAAATTGGTCAGTCTTGGCAGCACACAGGTCAAAATTAGTCAAGTTATGTTAGTTCCATTGGCTGAAATCTCAAAAAAGACGTTTGATATTTTTCTTTGTCCCATAATGTTTTTAACATTAGATACAAAGCAAAAAAAAAAAGACACATGACAGTGGTTGCATGTCTTCTACTGTCTAGTTTCATTTGAATAAACTGTCTCATTTACTTTTTAAAACTGACCTTCAGTTTCAAAATTTTTTACCCTTGACAACTTAGCAATTCAACCGCTGAGTAATTCTTCCACCTGTCTGAGGTCTGGTTGAGTAAACAAGCTTATTTCAAAGACCAGTTTAAAGGGACAGTTCACTTAGTCTACTCTGATAGCATTGGAAGTAGCATTCAAAGTTTGGTGAGTGTTTGAAGGGATATTTTCTTACAGTATTCATGTCAGTATCTGCTGTAGAGACAAAAACCAAGCTTGAGCATTGGAATGTTCATGTGCATGTTTGAAACTCCCACCCAGCACTAGTCCAAGATTTCATGGCCTGGCAGTCAGTATTTTAAAATCACATCCTTATTAACCTTTCATTACAACAGACCTGCTGCTCTGCACTCAGTGTAGATGTCATATGGAACAAATATTTGCCTTTTCCACTCCACTAGTACACAAAATATTATCAGATAAAGACCCAGGTACATGTCAGCATTCTCAAATCACGTGGAGACAGCCATGCTGCAGCAAATGAAAAGGGAAATGTGAAGGAGCATTTTTGTGGAAACAGACTCTGAGACTGTGATTCTTTTTCAAGAGATCAACCTGTAATGATGGATGTAACCAAATTTTATATAGTATTTTTGGAGTAAGAGTGGCAGTAAGCAATAATATGAGGTGAAGTGCTGAAGTGTTTTTGCATTTAATGTAAATCAGTTTGTCTATAAAAGCTCTATTTTTGGCAGGAATAAATTTAATCTAAAACAGCATTGCTACTACATGACACTAAAGCTCAGGATACTTGAATACATAAAGTATTGAGAAACATTTCTATGTGGAAAAAGTCAGGATTATTATGGGAATAAGGGTGCTACCTGGTTTCAGACTGGGGGATTTCATTGATTTAACGAGTTTGATTATTCTGATGTTAATCTGTTCCAAGTAAAACCCTCAGATGGGAAGAATTTTTGGTTTTGTGTTAGTTAAAGACTAAAAGTGCTATTTTCCAGGCATGATAACGCACTATCGATTGGTTCTCTTCAGAGCATTTTGGTGTAAAGGTAACTCATGAGACTTTACCAGGACTGTGACAGCCAGCAACTGATTGTGCTTGTTTCATCCCTTCACTCCTGCCTCTCTGCAGACCTGCTACAATAAGCTGTGGATCCAAGAGAGTTTTATTTTACAACATGTATTTAATAAACTTTGAGCAAACACAAGCCTCCTGCCTCTTATTTTGCAAATCAGTCTTTGAATTCTGTAGGACTCTCAATAAGTGAATGGAAAAATTTCTTTAGATGACTTTTAACCCACAACTTCTTGGTGTCAGATTGCAGTTTGTCCACAAGAGGGTGCCAGTGCAGCAGATAAGTGCTTACTCGAACACTTTACCCGTTCTGCTGCTTGTTGATTTCATCATTAAGACCAAGTAATTATCTCTCCAGAACACATGATCAGTCTTGTTTTAGTGTCTTAGGATTGGCTCCTTGTATGTTTAGGAATTGATTTTGAAGTTTTTCCTGCTACTTTTGAAGCCATCAATGGCTTGTCTCCAAGTTACATATTAGACCTGTTACAAGCCGATATGCACATAAAGATCCTCAGACAGAGGTCTACAGTGTGTGGGATTTAGAGTGTTTGCAGTGAGGGGTCCAAAAGCTCTAGAACGAGCTGCCTGAGGGGATCTGGTCAGCTGAGTCAGTGATTTCTTTTAAATCTCTTCTTAAAACTTTGTAACTCTATTAAGCACTATGAAGGGATGTCAAAAAGCCATCTCTCTTGCAAACCTTGGAGGTCAATAAGGCCTAAATTCAGAGAGAATTAATATTTTGGCTTACTTCATTTAGTCACTGAATTAATAAACTTAACTGAAAATGTGGGCGGAGGTTAGAAAACCCTGGGAAAGTAGGAGAAGGGAAGTTTGAACTTTTGGTACAGCTGTTAATCCCCTATTATTAATGCCATCTTTTACATGACTCAACAGTGTCTTAGTTTGCCTGCTGTCAAAATAAAAGCCCCTAAGTATAACATAGGGTATCTGTAAAGATAAGTGACTCTAAACGGTCAATATAAATCTCAAGTAACAGCAGGTTTTACTGAAATTGAACTTAAGCCAACGAACAAAGCATTTGTGCACATGAAAAATATTTCTTCTGTCTGTCTTTTACCTCTAGTCTGGATCCTTTATTTTTCAAATGATACTAAATAGCTCCTATACTTCAAAAACCTGGTACACAACTTTAATAGCTTGTTTCCTACCCTATTATATATGTATCTAAAGTTCTTGAAACAGTTGCTTCTTAGGTTCATTCCCAATTATCTGGAAATTTCATGAACTATGCTAATATGGCTCCCAACCCTTCCATAGCACAGAAACAGCCTTGATAAAAATCCCTGATGACATCCTCATGGCAGCTGAGTCAGGACTTTTGACCATCCTCATCTTCCTTGATCTGAGTGTGACCTTCATCACCATCTCTCATAACATACCCATGGATAGACTAGCCTCTATGATAATCATGACATACCCCTTACCTGGGTCAGATCATATCTCTCAGGTAAAACTCAGTTTATTCAACTTAAACCCTTAAATCCAAACCTCCTAAGGACACAAATGGTGTTCTACAGGGTTCAGTCCTGGGGCCTCTTCAGTTCATCAATTATCTACTTCCCCTGTAGTCATATCTTCTGTAAATTTATCATCGATTTTTATTGCTATGCAGATGACACCCAGCCCTACCTGTCAGATTGCCTACAAGAAATCAAATGCTGGTTCTCCTGCAATATTCTTAAATCAAACAGGGATAAAACCAAGCTTCTCCTCATTTGTACCAAATCAACACTAACAAAGGTTGGGATTAGTCGACAATTTCTCCTCCCCCCAGGGTTGAGTCTGGGTGTTGTCCTCTGCAGCACACCATACTTCCATACAGACCCTCACAATTGGTCTTTAAGGAGAAATCCATCTGTGAATCAATAAAAACTGGCCAGCAATGCATGACCTATAGTTTGAGAAAGGCTGCTCTACACAATCATGAATTTTCAAGTAATGAAGCTTGAAATATGCAGAGTTGCTGACGCCATTGGACTGTTAAAGGTCAGTTGGCATCCAAACAGAGAACAGAAACTGTTTTGTAAGGAAGTGAAGAAACTGTTTAATACACTAAGATACCAATCACGCTAAATAAATACTGTAAAAAACAGGACGACCAAAAACATGGATTTTAATAGAAAATTAAACCTTTTCATTTTATTAAAGTGCCAGCTTTGTTGAGCGGTACAAAAAGGTGCAAACAAAAACAGTGTTTCACACAGACATAGAGTATAATACAGTAAATGGAGAATCAGTGTTGAGACAGAAGTAAAGAGAAAGCACAAAATGACATGAAAAGTAGACAATCCCACAGTACAAAAGTTGCTTTTGACAACTTTTCAGCCATTACTATAGAGTTATAAACATATCTACACATATCCATCAGCTGCCTAAGCACTGCAGGCACAACCTAGTGAGACTGACTAAAGCAGCAAAGCAGTGTCCATATTTGTTCTGTTTCTTCCTCATGCCCTCTATTTGTTCCAGACTTGAATATTATGTAGTGTAAACATGACTGTAAGACAGATGTACATAGCAAAATGTTCACATAGTTCTAATGCCATTCAATTCTGCTGTCCTGCTGCTGGAGTCGCTCAAAAACTCCATAAGGAATACACTGGTTCCACATCCTGAGAGGACAAGAAGAAGCAAGGTGAGAAAACAAAATAGTTATTAAGGCAAAGACTGAGAGATTTTGACAAACCCCTGATGCAGATTAGGTTCTCTTACCTTAAAGCCTTCATTTTTTGACAGTTTCTCAGACTCGCTGCCAGGCTTTGTGCTCCAACATCTGTGAGCTTGTTGTACTTCACACTGTCACACAAACAGGTCACACTTTAAACGCCCCCTCAGAATGTGTCACTGTCTCAACTGCTGCAAATCCATACCAAATCAATACTCCAATTTACATACAAGGCTTACGAATCTTGTACTATTTCTAAAAGGAGTCCACAATCAAAAAGTGATCCAACAAATGCATTCAAAGATATATGTCTAATTCAAATGGGAATTATTTGGTCTTACTCTAACTCTGTCAGTGAAGCCATGTGCGGGAGGACTGATGCTAAACTCTTTGCCCCTTCATCTGAGATCACATTACTGTAGAGGCTGGGGAAAAAACAACAGAGGGAGAAAGAGGGAAGTGAAATCAAGTGGTTTTAAAGGGTTGTTTTGGGTGTTGTAGTGTAGATATTTATGTCTCTGTGTGAAAGTATGTTTCCATTACATACCTTAAAGAGTGCAGTTTGGGCAGGTCTCTCAGGGTTGTTGCCAGTCTCCTTACCCCCTGGTCTCCAATACAATTCTGTGACACACTGGAGCACAAAAAGTAAGAGCAACCAGTTTTATCTATCAAGTTGCAAATTTACTCAGATTGAGTAATATTGACCAATCTAAACAGGAATGCTGTGGTCTGATGATGATGAATTCCTCTCTTAACAGATGTCTTCATGCAGGTTAATTGAAAGCCAGTTAGCATTAAAACTTCCCAACTCCGTGGTATGCATAAAAATATCTCTATTCAACAGGCTCAGAAGATGTTTTCTTCTATAGGCAGAGAGTTTGAGCAGGACCCAATCCTTTGATTGACAGCTACTGACTCTGTCCCAAAAAACTAATGATGTAATTCATTTTGGTTGTGTGTGCAAACATTTTGCCTTTTTTTGTCACATACAGGGCAGCCCAATTCCATGCTTTTTCTGATACCATTTACAGTGGCCCAACATTGAGCAAGCAGCTGGAACAGTGGCGAGGGAAAACTGTCTTTAAACAGGCAGAAACCTCAAGCAGAACTAGACTTATTGGTGGACATCTATATATAGTGTAGTTTCAGAAAAAAATAGTTGATGCACTTGATCCTGGATTCTGGATTTGAACCATGCCACTGAACTATGACAGTAGCTGGTAGAAACTTCTCGAAACCACCTGATGCTGATCATTTTAGACTCTGAGCTCAAATAGGTTATTGACTTTGTATTTTCATGATCATTCAAGGCTTAGAGTAGGTAGGGGGTGTACTTACTTTAGTATCTCCAGGTAACTGAGAGAGACTAAAGCATCAGCCAGTCTCTTTGCTCCTTCATCCTTTAGTTTTCTGTTCTCCAGACTGAGGTATGACAGGGAGAGACATTGTGTCAGACACAATAATCAAATTAAAAACCACAAGTTATTGATGCACTAAAGGAACTACAGACAATGATGTGTGTATTTACTCTAAGTGTTGTAGGTTCTGTAGACCAGGCAGGAGCTCCCACAGCTTGGGAAGAGCCAGAGGACTATTTTCTGGGCCCAGTCTAAAAGAAAAGACAATGTCATCACCATGATCCTCATCAATACTTTGAATGAGAATGATGGCTGCCAGAGCTACTCACTCAAACTCCAGCTTGTGTAACTCTTTTACGGCTGGAACGCCATCCGCCAAGACTGAAACTGATGGACTGGAACTGCAATTAAACACACTCTTTAGCAGCTAGAAAATGCACTTCACATTTTACAAAGTGTAACTTGGCATATCTGTGTATGTTCCTGTGTGTATGAGGCATATTACCTGTCTGGCAGCCTCTTCTGTCGGTGTATGTCCACCAGCTTGGCCAGGTGCTCTATGTGACACACCTGAGTGGCTTTCAAAGGGTGGATCTTGAATCTAGAAACTGCCCCTTGTAGAAGCTCTTCTTCTCCGCTCTGTGCTAACTGCTCCCATAAGGTGATGACATCAGCAATGCATGCTCTAGAAGACATTCAGAGGTTGACATTGAAATAAGCTAACCCTATGCATGTTGTGCTGCATTAATGAGGTGTTGGACAAATTCAAAGAGTGAGTTACCAAGTCGGTAACTCTGGTAACAACAGATATTTGGAAAGATTTTGGTGATGTGCTTGTTATCAATATGACAGGCAAACACTGTATTGTTGAAGTTTAGGAACTTTTTGTTGACTTGTTAATTGCAAATCAACTTTTGGGTTGAATACAATTTTAATATTTGGTTGTTGCCCATATAGAGATATAGGTAACATTAAACCCCCCTTTTTGAATTGAAAAACTGGGATCATGAAATCCTTTTGATATTAACAGTGATGTTTTTTTGGTTTAAGACCAACTTCAGTGCTTTGAAACACTATCAAGCCTGCAAGGCCAAAGTTAGCCTGAATTCTGATATCATCCTGGATTAGTTTACAATCAGGACATATCATATGCTGCTTGTCCTGAATTGAGCCCCACCTCCAAATGCTTGCTGGGATTAGATAGTAATATGCTCCTTAGCCAAGGAAGCCACATGTATAAGGTGACCAGATTTATGTGATGAAAACCAGGGATATCCAGGAACATCCAGGGGGTGGGGGGTGATCACAGACAACATCTCTGTACTACTTAGTAGTAGCGCACGCACCCCGTAATAACCCCCCATAAAAACTGTTGTTCAGGACCGCATGCAACATGCTTACTAGTGCTTCCTACCTACTCGGCAACCGTAATAACCCTTGTTATAGTCTACATGCAACATTTTTGTTCTTATTCATGAAACACTTAAATTTGGGACATTTCCGGGGACAGCTTTAGCCAGGGACTGGTCATCGAATGGAAGGACTGTCCCCGGAAATCAGGGACGTCTGGTCACCTCACACACCATTTAGCTGCTATGCTACTTGGCTGGGTATTAAAAAACTGTTACATTCAGGCAGCTCAGTACAAAACCTGACACAGCGCATGTCAGCTGTAAGTGTTTGGATTTGGGTTGGGTTGTGGGTTGTAATCTGTACCTGTATGTCTTGATATTGTTGAGCCCTACTAGAGACCGTAGCCCAGAGACCTGTATCCCAGAGTCCTCTAGGCCCAAACAGAAGCTTCGTCCTTCAGAATGATCGCTTTCCAGAACATTCTGCATGATGAACACGTCTGACGGGTTCAGTGGAACTCCTTGAAATGTAAGAACTTCTGGAAGAATCACTGTTAGGTTAGCAACTAATGCTGTGTCCCCTCTGTCAATGCTACCATTACGTGCTTCATACACATAGTGACATGCTTCCAGCATCTGGACAGGGCTTGGGTCAACCTGAGGAAGACTGTCAAGGTGTTTCTGTAACAAAGCCTGCTTTCTTTCCACCATATTTCTGAAGGCTGTCTCAGGGTATGAATGCAGTCTCTGCAGCTCTGTGTGGTTGTGGAACAAGAGCCCAACTGCGAGTCGCTGAGTGAGGTCAAGCTCCTCTCTCTGAGGTCGCCGACGGCCCTTTGGATTGGATTGGAAGAGCAGGGTCTGTAGAAAAGCACGGTCTGATACAGTCCTGAGGAAAAAAAGGGAAACAAGAGCAAAGGAAAACAAGAGGATAAAGCATCAAACTGAAAGAGAAGCTAGGCTTGGAAGTGTTTATACAGAGATTTTCCAAGTTTATCCACTTAGACAATACTATTACCTCGACAAGGACAGATGAACCGCTGCCAGGAAACTCTGAAGGAAAGGGTTTGCCCATGACAGGATGAGATCATCACCATTATCGGAACTTTCAGAGTCAGTCTGTCTGTTCTTTTCTCCCTTTCCCCTTTCTTCTCTTTCCTTGATTTCATCACGTGAGACCTCTACCCTCCTCTTCAGATGGTGAGAGAGGAAGAGCCCAGTCCTCAGGCCAAAATCCTTAAGTTTGGCCGATAGGTTTCGTCCGGTGAGGGGGATTGAGGGGCTAGCTTTGATCCCCTCCCATGCCAAGGAACTCAGCTGGGTCAGCAACTCCATCTCCTTTCTTCTTTCTGCTTCCCTGCCATCACTGATGAACTCTTCATCATTCGCTTCACCTCTCTTTTGGTGTCTTTTTGCTCTGCTTGCTCGTTGGGCGCGAGAGCGAATGTAGCCTTTGGATCTGAACTTGGTCCGAGTACTTTTTTGTTGGGGACAAGGTGAAATATGTGTATGTGTTTCTTCTACAGGTGGTGCAGATATGTGTGTTTGAACTTCAGCCTGTGAGTAATTGCTATTTTTGTCCTTTTCCAATATTAGATGAAGAACTCGATGGCAGAGTGCAGTGAAAGTTCTGGGTAGTTCCTCCAAACTGTTGGTCTGTTCCAAAACAAAGCAGACCAACTGACATAGTCCTGGGTTCCAGCAGAGGAGGTGCAGATAGCTACAGTCTTTTAAGATGTCCATTGCAGAGTCCTTACGAGTGGGATCAGTGAAGTACTGGGACAAGTATGTTTCAAAATCTACAGGGTTGAAGCCACACATCTCCAAAAGGCTGTCTGTTCGTCGGAGTAGCTGGTTAGCAGTGCCTCTTGGTCGGGTTGAAAGCAGAAGAGTGCAGCCTGGAAGGAGGACCCTCTGAAGGATGGAAGAATATAACTGTCTCACTGTGTACGTCTGTGCTTTGCTATCTTTCTGCAGTGATGTTACCAAGTCTTTTTCCTGAGTCTGGAGCAGAGTTTCATAGTCCCGCACCTCGTCAAACCCGTCAAAAATGATAAGCACTTGCTTGGGGGCAGCAAGGATTTGTGCATACACTTCTTCAGGGTCCTTGCAGGATGGGAGAAACGAGGAGTAGTTTAATAAAAGAGTTTGAAGGCTGAGGTCTGAGTCCTTTGAAGTAACAGCTTTACCATCTAACAAGAAGAGAAAGTCAAACTGGGGGATGCAGTCTCTGGACCAGTCAAGACACAGTTTCTTGATCAATGTGGTTTTTCCCATGCCAGTACTGCCAAGTAGCAGTAGGTAGCGTTTTGGTTTGTCTCCGTTTAAGCCTTTGAAGATCTGAGTGGAAAATGAAAATATATGGGATTAGTCAGTGATTTTAGGAATTTCTGAGATCCTACTTGGCCAACTGAAAGATGAATCACATGACCACTAATGGTAACACTCTTACCTGACTCCCGTTCAACATGTGTTTTTGATGATCTGTGCTTCCCATGGTGAGCATCTCTTTGTCCAGGAATTTGCTTGTATTTTTTCCAGAACAAACAATCTCTCTCTGGCACACTTTTACATCCACATAATGAGAGGTCAGGTTAAGTCCTGCCACCATATCCTGGCAGGTTTGACCCACACAAGCTTTTGCTTCCAGGATGTAGTCCTTCACAACCCCTGAGATCAAAAAACAACTTCAAAATGAATTCCTTTGACACGAAATGAACTTTATTGAAACAGTTTATGACAGAGGGGTGGAAACTTGCCTGGGATATCAGGGACAGTAGGTGAGTTTGGTAGAGCTGGTTCCTTGTAGGCAGACAACTCTAAATGCATAGTCATGATAATAGTTACATGGCATTAACTCTACAAGCAAAATGAGCTAGAAAATTGATTAATACTGATTCTCACCACTGCTGGGGGAGAGGGGGTAAGCAATCGGGGTGGACATAGCCTTGCTTGCGGTGTCCGACAGAGATCCTGGCGGGGATGAACTCATTTGGACGGGAGCAATTGAACCACCAACTAATATTTCAAGAGAGGACAATCTAAAAGCCTGTTTTTTCATATTTAGCAGTTTTTGAGCATTGCTGATTTTTTTTTTATTTTGCTTAAAAGGCAGAGCAAATTGTAAGACTTGAACCAAAAAGGACACAACATCAAAGAACATAACAAAGCTCACCTGGCGAGAGGGGTGGCAGCTGGTGTTTGCATGGTGGTGATGTAGCAGGAACTAAATGAACACATGGGTTGGATGCTTTTTAAACATGCAGAGGAAGTGCAATAAGAACACATACAGCTCTGGAAAATTGGAGGGACCACTGTAATTTTTTCAGAAATCAGCATCTCTTTAAATATGACAGTCAATTTATTCCAGTGTCTGTTGAAATTCAACACAAGCACACCTTTTTCTACCTAATAGGGTACTGATAAGGTGATCACCGGAACCAAATCTTAATTAAGGAGGAAATATAAACCATTTCTGTGGTCATCACTATCCTGTTGCAATAGGACCTACTGGAACAGTACTACTTATACATCCAAAGTAACTGGAACAACAAAAAAATAAATAAATAAAAAAAACTATTGACCATGCCAAAAGAAATGAAAATTTTATGTGAGGAAACTGAGGGTTGAACTCTGACTTTACTGGCAGAGGGATACAGTGAGCGTCAGGGGCTTCAATTCTTAAAATTTCTCATTTCCAGCTTTGTCTAACACCTAGTTGTCTCATGGTTAGACAGAGACCCATAGAGCCTTATAAGCCACAATGTCTTGCATTCACAGTGAAATTTGGTGAAGGATCAGTGATGATATGGGGATGCTTCAGCAAGGCTGGAATTGGGCAGAGTTGTGCATGGATCAAGCCATGCAAGGTTATCCTGGAGGAAAACTTCCTGCCCTCTGCTCTGACCATGTTTCCAAACTCTAAGTGTTGGTTTTTCCAGCAGGACAGTACTTCATGCCACACAGCTAGATGGATAAAGGACTGGATGAAGCACCACCAGATTAAGACCTTGTCATGGACAGCCCAGTCTCCAGACCTGAACCCCATTGAAAACCTGTGGTTGGTGATCAGAAGGAAGTTTGATGGTCACAAGCCATCAAACAAAGCTGAGGTGCTTGAATTCTTGCACCAGGAATGGCAATAAGTCACCCAACACCAACAGCGATGTGAAAGAATGGTAGAGAGCATGCCAAGATGCATGACAGCTGTGGTTTTAAATCAGGTTATTCCAAAAATTATTGACTTCTGAACACTTCCTGAGTCAAAATATTTGCAATGTGTTGTTTAAAAATGAAAGTGATCTCTCATTTTCCGCAGTATTTGAGGTCTAAACACACTGGTCTCTTTTGGGTATTTTAACTGTTTTTCATTTTTTTGCAAATAAATTTTCTGAATGACAATATTTTCATTTGGAATTTTGGATTTATGTTGTCAGTATTTTATAGAATTAAACAAAAATGTTTATTTTACTCCACCATATGCCCATAAATAGAGAAATCAGAGAAACTGATTATTTTACTATGGTTTCTTATTTTTCCAGAGCTGTATACAAGAGAGCAAAGCACAGCAAGTTAATATACAAACGACCTAATTTTGAAATTGCAAACAAAATTTAGAGGAAACAAATCAGCATAAATTTAAGATTCAAGCTCAAAAAGGAAGCACATACCAGCTATGTACGATGTGATAACTATGAGAGAAGTGAACTGATGCATGTGACACCATCCTCATATACAATTATTGGAATTAGCCTTATGAGACAATGTTCAAATCATTTAAACAAAATGGGTCCGGGGACAGAACCCTGGGGTACTCTAGATGTAACACTTAAGTAATCCCACTCCATCCAGTAGTACTATATGTTTAATTGGGTCAAAGTACAATAATGGAGTCTGAAACAACTGGCGGTTCATTGAGTGTGTTTACTTCACTCACCAAGTATATAGGTAGGTGTAGCAGCTGCGCTGGAGAGAGGGAGTCCTAAAACTGGTGGCGGCAGATTCAGAGTCTGAACCACATGATACCCTGGAGCCTCTGGGATTGTGATGAACTGAATGGAGGGGTGGAGGTGAAGGACTCTTGGTGGTATGGTAGAGAGGCTGGCTGTTTCTGCAGAACTTGGCTCTGATCCTGAATCAGCCTCTAGAAAGAACGTAGTGACAAATCCCTAATCATTCAACAACATATGATTACCTTGGAGTTATCAAAATGAGATATTGAACAGGAAGGGAAGGAAGCTACTGATTTTGTTACCAATTAAATAATCAAAGGAGCCTCTCAAGTCAGATTTAATGTTTTAACTAAGAATTACGTCCTAAAAACACGTTCTAACACATTCTCTGGTTGAAACTGTTATCAAACTGAGAATTTCTAAAAGCAGCAAACTGATGTGAGGAAGTTGGTTATAGGTGAGAGTTCTTCTTTCGTTTTATCAATCTGAGTCTCCATCCAACAACACCAAACTTCCTGTTTTAAGCTCTGTTTTCAAGTGTCATGGTGAGCTGAGACAATGTAGAAACCAGCATCTATTTATGCCATAAGCATAATGTGCCAGAGAAAAGTCATGAAGTTAGCCTATCTTTCAAGTGGTAAAAAAATTAGCCTGTACAAAGTAAACTTTTTTAGTCTTACTTAGCATGATGTCAAACAAAAGTTTTATGATTTGGAATCAGATTTAGATCCATGTTGAAACATGTATGGTTATTAATTACAAAAGAGATTTTTTTTTTAGTATCTTCCCGTTTAAGATTGACGTAAACTACGTTATCCATGTGTGAAATCTCAGAATTTTACAGCTGGAAAATAGAGATCTACTTTGTGTTACAGTTGGCTCAGCCAGTGCCTCTTTGGTTTTTGATCATCCTCTAAGAGTCAAAAAACCATTATGGCTTTTTTTACTGTCAGTTTGCCCAATGTTGGGTTACACACAAAAAAAGATCTTCTGACAGACACAGAGAGACATAACACTGATATCAGATTGGTATTCAATAATGGCAAATCCCCAAAGCCCAAATACCTGGGTTATAAAGTGTATTCCTAATCAGAGACACTTGATAGAGTCTTACACTTTGACAGACATCCACTAAGATTCTTCCTCTGAGCTCAAGTTTTAGTATTTATCATAAGTACATAAAAAGGTTCAACTTTCAGTTCAACTTGGTTTGCTACAATTCAATTGAAATAAAGAATGATTTGATTTGACAATAGGGTTTACAGCTGATAGCCTTATTGAGTCTACAGTAGATTGTAGCCAACTTGGATGGGACATCCTTTCAAACTAATATAACAGACTGTAAAATATTTTGCACAATTCCTTTTCTGTTGGATATTATTGTTGCAGGGTCAAAAGGTATTTAGTAGGAAATCCTGGGGGGAAAACCTCATACATATTTCCTATGAACATTTAACTTCGGCTTTACAATGATCATGATTAATTTCAGTTACAATATGAACTTACAGAAAAATAAACACATTGTAAAACCCCAAGTTTGCTGTAACTGAAAGATTAAACCATAGACTGTATAATTACTGGACGTATCATCAACATCACCCATTTGTTGGTGAAGCTGAGTTTTGAAGCTTATCAGCAGCACTCACCATATATTTAAATGCTGACTCATCCTAACTTTTGGGTAACCTACCAGGGTGGGCCTTATAGCCTTCTTGGTGTACCTGTCTGCCAGTCAAGCAAGCCAATCTTGTAACTTTGATAGCTTTGAAACTAACACACTACAAAAAAAAAAGAAAAAAAAAAAAAAAGACCTCCCCATACTGTGGGTGCCAGTAGAGCCCTGAGCTACTCAGACCAGAACTGCATTTTTAACCAAGCTGCAAACACTTTTATTTTCACTCCAAAAACAGCCTTTTTGTTGAAGTGTATTTGTGGTTTCTGGAGCTTCTGCAGCCTCAAGCGGGTGCTGGAGGAACTGTAGTTTTTAGCATTTCTACATCAGCTCCATTTTTTAAGACAGGAGTTTGCTGCTTGGGTTCAACACAGCACGCAAATTTTAATGCATGATTGGATAGAGGCCTGGGTACAATGTTTGCAATGAAATCTTAGTGGCTTAGGGGCATTGCGAAAAATGGATACTGTGTAAAACCTGTAGCTCATGTATGTCATTTTGGTATTATGTAATCTCAAGAACGTAACAGCATAGTAATATAGCAATATTTCATGCAGCGAAAGTTTAACTTTCACACTGTAATAGAGTTTAAAGCCATATTCCTGCTAGATGAGTTTTCAAACCCAGTGATGGAAACAAAATCCAGAACAATCATCTCAGTTGGTTACCTGCTGCTCTTTGTCTTTTTGGCCTGGGTGGTGTGTTTTCATCAGTGCATCGTTGTGATCTGGGGACTTGAAAAACCGGAAATGCCAAGAAAAAATTAAACCTGCTGCAATGGAATCAGTTTAGACTTGCAGAATGTTTATGTACCTCTCAGTCTTCTTCTCCTGTTATTTGTTTGTTCTGTAACTTTGTCCTTCTGTTTCTGCTGGGGTTCATCTTGGCTGGGCGGCTTTGTTGGATTACCAGCTTCATCTAAAGTGCCCAAACGAGGAAACGAAACAGTCAGTGGAGCAACCAGCAAATGTAGCTTCTAAGAAATGTTTTTGTTTTTCTCATGAACTGAAGTAGTGAAGTGAAAATCCTGTCGCTGAGGCATGTTTTTCTATCTTGATCATCTGAAAAAGGAAGTGTTTGGCTGAAAAAAAAAAGGGCAACTAACTCTTTATTTACTTGGAGCAGATGTTTCATAACCATTGTGTTCTGTTGGCACTGGTTTTAATTCCTTGAGCTGTTTTGATTGATCGTACTTCAAGGATTAGATTAATCACCCTTCTTTTGATTTAAACTAGGCTGGGCACAATAGTTGAAGTGACAAAACTTTTATTACCCATAATGCATTTTTTACCTGACAAAAAAAGAAAAAGAAAAAAGGAAATACAGATAGGATTTTTGCTGCATTGCTTTATGTACTGCTGTATTTTTTCACAAACCAAAAGGACGAAATGCTTACTGTTGTTGCTATGTTCATCCCCACAATTCAGCCAGGGATCACCAAAGAGGACATCTGTGTCTGAGTAAAAAGAGTGCACAATGTCAGACTTTGGGCTCTATTTTCGTGCCTCGCCGGCGGTGCGGTGCAGGTGTTGCAGTGCAGGTGCGGCGTAAGTTAGGTCCGCCGCGCCAACAAGGCGTGGCCAAGCACATTTTGGTATTTTGGTGAGCGGCACAGCCCGGCGTAAGTATCACCCCTCCCTTACTCAGCTCCTCCCAGCAGCGTAAGTCGTAAAGAGGGAGGAGAGAAGGCGTGGAGTGCGTTTAACCCTTAGATGCATAAGTGGGGTCAAAAATGACCCTAGCGCCATTTTTTTGCAATATGTTTGTAATTTTTAATTTTTATCATTTAGTCTTCCATGTATTCCTCAAATAGGTTCTCTTTGACATTGGGCCATTTGGATTTGTATCTAACTGTTTTTTTTTTTAAGTTATTGCATTTTTTGTATCAGTACCCCACTTTTCCATACGTGGGGTCAAAAATGACCCCAATCACTTTCTATTTTTATCAACTGTGACTGTCACGCATACATTTACTGTTGATCCACACATCTAATCTGAGCAGTCTCACCACCCTGAAGGTTATTTTTACAGGAAAATAGCAATGCATGTAAATATTATCATCATTTTTATACCTTGTAAAATATGTGCTGCTAGAAAATATGGACTTATTTTCCACATCCATGGATCATGTGTGAGAGAGTTGTGATATCATCCTGAAATTACTACTTTGAATAAAACAGAAGTGATCCACTTCTACAACCACATGAATGGGGGTCTAGAATAAATATTGTAGACCAGATGGTTGGCACCTACACCTGTAAATGCCAAATGCAGATGTGGCCCATGCTGCTGTGGTACAACGTGATTAATATTGCCACCCTGAATGCCTACTCCTTTTTAAAGCTCAGCACCCTGAATTCTATGCAGTTGTCACTAATGTCCGATGGCGCTGTCTTATAGAGCTCTCACATGAGCTTGTGATGCCTTATATTTAAAAGTCAACTGGAAGGTTACCCTACCCATGCCTACTAACCTACATCACTACAGCAAAGGAAAGGTATGGGATGACTAAAGCTGCAATCCAGCAACAGAGCGTAAACAGACAGGGCCAACAAAAGAGGAAGAGGTGTAAGATGTGCCCAAGAAACCAAGACCATACAGCCAGCAATAGGTGTTGGAAATGCAGTGACCTTACAGCCAGAAGAGGGTAGGCTACTTTGTAACAGCAGCCTGTAACAGCGAGGATAGAAGACAGTGTGTGTTTTTGTATGTTGTTTGGATGTGTGACAAGGGGGCAGAAAAACACTGAAAGCTAAAGTTTTGACAGCTGTATTGATAGCAAGTTTGTGTTCAAATGAAAGATAAAAAGAAACTAACATGTAAAATATATAATCATTCTGGTGTTGAAATCATATTTGTAGGTTGACCTTTTTCACGTTTCTCAAAGCCATTTTGTCCTAAAATGTTAATAAGTGATAAATGAACAAGTCAGACATGAAATAATTATTTTGTTGACCAAAATATAATAAAAATCATCATCTTTATCTAAAATGAAAGACATATTTTTTTGACAATTTACAGCTTAAAACGCATTCATTCTAATTGGGGTCATTTTTGACCCCACTCATGGAAAAGTGTAGGTATTGGTCGGCCATGCATCTAAGGGTTAACACACCTGAGACCTGTTTCGCCAATCATATCAGCTCCTCTCCTCACCTTTAAATTGCCACCAGTGAGGAGTATTACAATTTTCATGAAGTAGTCAAAGAGATCGAGAGATGTCTGAAGACAGTAATGCCACACGATGGCGACAGAAGGCAGCCCCTCAACAAGTGTCACTGTAAGCGCTGCAGAGGGCATCCTCCACACTTTCTCAAATAAGCACAGAGGGACTTGGTTTGTGTAAGGCTGTACCCATTGGTAAGACAAACACACGTTTTCACAAATAAAGACACTCACATCAAGTTGCATATATTTAAACCTCACGTGACAAAGGTAGGTTGTGCGCACAGATCACAACATAAATTCCAATAATGGCATTAAAATCGGAACCACCTGTGCGTAAAGGTCTCATGATGTGTGGCCTGGCTCTTTCTTTCATAGATGTTTGCATATAAAATAAATTTGGCTCACAAAACTGAATATTATGATATTCGTATGTAAGCCTAACTCCAGATTGAATATTCTTAGAATTTAAAGGATGTGAGGACATTAGATAAACAGGTAGTTTTGAATGAAAGTTTCTTTTACTTTTTTGTTCAAATTTTCGAAGTAAATAATTCATCTGATCACTAAAATAAATCATCTGTTCAGCCTTGCCGCCAGCATCAGGATGGGGAGAGGACACAACGACATGTCTGAGTCGAGCTGCGCGGGGAAAAGGAGGAAGAGCGAAAGGGGGACAAATTAAATATCTTGTTAACTTCATCGTGTGTGACTGTTTACTGGATATTTAATTTAATGTTGTTTCAGCTGTGTTGATCCGTTCAGGTTGTGTGTCCAAATGTGTGCCAAATGCGCTCATCAGATTAGATACTGATCAAAATATATCTTTAGATCTAAATGTATTTGCTGACTCAGAATATTAGTTGTTGTTGATTATTTATTGCACTGAAATGTGCCTGACACTGTGGAAACCTGCTGGTGAGGCATCAGCAACGTATGTGCACTACACCGCTGGTCTACCAAAAAAACACTTGACCAGCTGCACTCCGCCTGCGCTGAAAGTTGACCAGGGTTTGAATCGGTGAGCTTTCGGCGCACTTTTCACGCCGTCAGCGAGCACCAAAATGTCACTACGCCAGCTGATTCTGTCGATACCTCCCCCTGCAGCGCCACCACGCCCAGCTTGGCAGACCTTGGTGTGCCTCAGTCTATGAAAATACTAAACTGGCTGTGCACCAGGCTCCGCCAGACGAAAATACCACTGCGCGGGGTGCGCCACCATCCGCCGCGCACGAAAATAGAGCCCTTTGTATTCATGATTGAATAACCATGTTTTATATTTGTGTTATTCAGCATTAAACCCATGTGACTCAGTAAATAGTAATTATTTGGTCAGAGGTTGAGTTTAATATGTGTTGAGATTAGGTGTATCTTCTTTTAAAAATGTGCATCTCTTATATGCTGCACTGTGTATTCTGTTCTGTGTTGTACTGTGGTTGATTTTGTCAAGGGGAGACAGTGCTGTGGAATGAGTTTCCCCATGAGGACAATAAACTTAAAGTCTAAGTCTTACCTATCGTCTTCAGGCAATCATCACTTAAGTACTCAGATAGATCCTCTGAAACAAAGACAATAAGCACAGTCAGAGCAACCCTTTTTTTTCCTTCCATTACATTTTCTTTTAATTGTGTAAATATTCCTCTTTTTGGACTGTTTAGAACTTTCTGATACAGTCAAGGCAGCATCTCTGACCAACCACCTCAGAGTGGTCACAGGCTTCACAGTTTTTTACTACTAAAAATGTGCAATATTGTCATCAAGGATTTTATTTTCTTTCTGTAGGTCAAAAACTGCTCATTTTAATCTGTTACAAAGCCAGTAAAATGACCTTAAAGGAGCTTTAAGGCAGTTTTGGATTATGAAATAGCAGTGCATGGTAGTACAGTATTTTATCAGCCAGGCTAAATTTGTCAACATTTGGAAAAGTTACAGTTGAACAGGATGTCTGGTCTATCCACCCTGAACCCTGATTCAGTTTGAACTGTTATGCTGCATTGTTACAGTAAACTAGAAATTCTCCGTCCCTGGGGGGTGGGGGTGTTTTGCAGTTAGCGATGAGTCAACTTTTTCTTGAGAACAATTTCCCAAAATCTTTTACTTTTCTTCTTTAACACACAAGCCAATGAAATCCTCAACTACAACTCACTTTAAAAGGCAATGTCATTTTTTTGGTATGAGTTGTGTTTTGAAGAAAGTATAGAACAAAGCAGAGCTCCTGTCATTTTAACATGCATATAGTCATTTATCACCAACCTGGTAGCATTTCAAAGTCAGGATGACAGTGCAACAACTCCTGCTCCAACTGGTCCACCTCCTGCATCATGGCACCTGATTACACACAAACAATGAGTGAAGAAATCAGCTCAAAAGAAAAAAGCTCAAAATATCAGCAAGATATTGAGGAATCCAAAGCGACATGCTGCACTGAAAGAGTTCTAGAGTTTCCTGCTATCAAGTTCAACATGTTCCCACACTGAGTTTCTAAATTTCCTCATTCTTCAGCTGTCACAGGTGGTGTTGATGCTGTTTTTCTACTCCTCTCATAGATAGTAGAGCTGCATTTGTTGCTTTGCAAGACTTGCTGCATAAACATTTGAGTATCTCCTACAGCAGCAAAAATGCTGAAAGACTAACACTGTTTTAAGAATGGAAAAAGCTGGACAACAAACTAATCCAGTCACTTGCTCACTCAAACTTACAGACTGCTCACTGCTTTACTTTCTGTGCTCCAGCTTTATTTACTTTGCACTTGTAGACTATATCTGATGTGGCGGACGTGACATATTTTTTTTACCTTTAGCACATCTCTATTGTGTGGTGTTGTCAGTTGTGTGGTCTCCCCTCTCGGTGTTGGATTTGTCTGCCTAGTAATGTGACTGTATTTACTAATAGACCTCCATATTTATAAAGGACATACATACAAATACACGTGTGGTAAAAAATAAATAAGTTGTGTCACAAAGTGAAACAAAGGCACAAAGAAGCACTTTGTTTCTGGTGGCTAAATTTGGTTTGCAAACTCAGCACTGACACATGAGGCTGCCAAAAAAGGAGGAGATTTGAAATCTTGTACTTGGATACAGACCAACTTAATCAGTCAGAAGTACAGCTTCAAAACATGTGGCCAACAGCAGTAAATTCTTGCGTGTGATACAGAGGATAAAAAAAGGTGACTTGATCTTAGGAGCTTACATAATACGAGACTTGTGAGACTTTGTGCTGTGGGAGTTAGGACTGTCTTTTATGGACTTGAAATTCATAATAGAATTTTTTTTTTTTTTTGGTTTTGGACCCTATTTCAGCTATCAAACTTAGTGTCAAAATAGACACCAGCATAGACGCCAGCAGCAGTTTTAAAACAGTCATCTATCATAATCTATTTGCTTGTGAAATGTTTCTATTTTTCATCAGAGCTTTTTAAAACACCAATATTAGCTTGTGAGGTGGTGGCTAAAGCTAACATGTTAGGTAACATTCAGTGGCTGTCCCTCAGTCAGGTTGCTGATTTTAAAATCTTAACTTTCAGACTCCTCCCTACCTGAAACACATCAGGAACATGGTAGCAGTCTCCTTTTTCAGCTTTCCACTCCCACTACTATGTTATAAGATTTTTACTGACAGACCAGTAGTGAAATGATGATCTCGCTCCTGTGAGAAATTCGATATGCCCCCCCACCCCATTAGAATCTAAACAGGTGCAATTCACACCTCATAATTAATGCATCAGATTTCATATAGCGCTTTATCAGAGACCCTCAAAGCACTTTACATTGAATACATCATTCATTCACTCACACAGTCACACTTTGGTGGTGGTAAACCACCTTAGTAGTCACAGCTGCCCTGGGGCAGACTGACGGAAACGTGGCTGCCATTTTGCGCCTATGGCCTCTCCGACCACCACCACACAACACTCACAATCATACACCAGTGGAGGACACACACTGGGAGCAAGGTGGGTTACCCAAGGACACAACAGACAGACTAGGGATAGGGGGGAATCGAACCGCCAACCTTCCAGTCATTGGACGACCGCTCTACCTCCTGAGCTACTGCCGCCCAATAATACAAGAAAATCCAAATTATTGTTAAATTAGTGTCGTTCCCATTGCCACTGTGTTTCACATATCAAATTTTCCCATGATTATGTACAGGACAGACAGCCTGGAAGGTCTAAAAGTAAGTTTCACACCAAATGTGTCTCTGCTTGACACATTTAAACAGGTGACGAAAATGACCTTTATCCATCCCATGGAGGGGAAATGTGCAATGCTCAAGGTTTGTTCCTTGTTTGTTTTCGTTTATCGCATTGAGTCAAATGACAGAAAAGCAACTAAGATAACATCTACCTATCTGTCTAAAACCTTTCAGCTGCCTCAGCTATGTACTGAGACAAATATAGAGTAAACTAATCCAAGCACACGTGTTAGCATGGCCATCACAATCACTGAGTGGTTTGGTTTGTATGTGTGACCCAATTATGCTAACTTAAGTCAAACTACTTCTACTTGCTGTCAAGTGTTCTCAGATAAAATTGAAACATATACTGAGTTCATCAAGAGATGTGGCTCTATTGTTGTATATTAGACTGATGCAAGTCAAAACCACTTCCTAAACACACAGCACTGCAAAGGGGGTTGTCAAATCTATTTCTTCCTGTCTGCCAAATTTGCTGATTGGCTATTCCAGATGTAATACACATGAGGTACTGACCATTATTTCCTTTCTATGATCACATTACAACTTAAACCCTTGTTACATTACTTGTGCTAATGATAATATCCGGCACGTCACTCTGATTTGAGTGCTAGTTTGAACAGTTCCATGGTTAGAATAGTTATTTGGACAGGGTGGACCAAAGCCATTTTTCTATCCTCACCAAAGAGGTCAAGCTAAATGAAAGAGACTACCAAGCTGCTACCAACACCACATAAATGCCAGTCATGATGACTACCTATGTTTGGTAGGTGTAATAAAACACTTAATCGTCTGGTGATCTAAGTCTTTTGAGCAGGGGTGGATGATGCTGTCATCTACCTCCTGCAAAGAGGACCTGAGAGAACCAAGCACTGGGCAGCTCTTTTCGTGACAGGCTTCTTCACCTGCAGTGTGTGACAGAAATACTGCAAGGCCTTCCTTCCTGCTGCAGTCAGACTGTTTAATCTGGCCTGCTTCCAGGAGCTCAGGTTTTTAGCACAACTAACAGACAATAACTTAATATTATCGTCATGTGCAATACACATTGGCTATGTGTGTATGATATGTATAGAAACAGTTTTTCTTACGACTTTTGTTTTCCTCTTTTTCTGTACAGCCCTTTTGCATAGCCCTTTTAAAATCAGCTTATCTGCTGTGTGCACCATGAGAGAGCATCTATTCTTCTGTGTTTGCTCTGCTGATCCTTTGCTACTGTTAGCACTGTGGTATGCATAAAGGTTGATCTTGTCCTATTTCTATGTTCTTAATGCTTGCTGGTCAAGGGACCTGAATGAAGGTGCCTGCACTGGTCAGTGAACACTGCCATATCAGATATGTTTCTCCTGGCCTTGTGCCTTCTTGGCAAAGTATTTAATGAAAACAAAACTAGTCCTACTGAATAGAAGTATCTATGTCTTTTGGGGCAGTAGCAGATTTTTTTTCCTGCTAATACATAAGCTCAAGTTAAAGTGAGGCATGAGGCAACTACATGTTTCAGGAAGTTTGGAGGTTACAGTCTGGTGGTTGCCTGGGTTAGTCAGGTGTAGGGCTTAAAATAACAGCCTCTATTAAGGTTTACTCACATTTATCTCACAGCTCTTCATCTAAATGTCACTCCACTGAGCTCTGACAGAACAAAGAAGAGATGTTTTTTTCCTGAATTGTTAAAAAGTTATTGTATGGATAATGGAAATATTTACAGTAAAGTTATTTTGTGTGGAAGTTATCTGTAGCCTGCATGGTTTGCTTCGTGCCACAAAGTTTTTTTTAGGTGAGGGAAAAATTTAATTCAGTGATGGCACTGTCAAAATATAGGGATATGGCACCTCCTTATGGAATGTTTACGATGAAAACAGAAGCCAAATAAAATTATAATCAGTATTTCAGAATAATTCACACCAATAGAGCATATTTGGTAGGATGAGTAAGACTGAATCATTCTGATCCATAGTGTATCTTATAACTACTACCGGTGATTGCTTCAATGATAAAAACGAGTTTCTTGGTTGACTTCTAAAAAAATAAATAACAAGTCAGTCTTTTGAATGGAAAGGAAGGGCTCATTAAGGTCTAGCTCCCTTCTATACAGTCCTATTCTGCACACACTTTCGTTTCTTTCGCTGGAATTCCCCTGAAATTCCTCATTTGCACCAGACTCCTAGCTAGGCTGCATCGGTGTTAGACCTCCCCACAGTGACGAGCAGATGTTGATGGGAAGACCCTAGTAAGCCACCTCATGCGCGCTAGTAAGGGGTAATGGAGAACCGCCGAGTGCGCCGACGTTTAAAGCGCAAATTCATTGAAAATAATAACGAAAAGAGACGCCAAACAACTTCTCCTACAAATTTTCATTTGCAGTCAATATGAGGAGTTCTATTCCACAAACCAATTAGCCCATTAAATGCCGTTTTAGAGTTAGATTAATTGAACTGAAAAAAAAATCAAACAAACAAACAAACAAAAAAACTAATCAAATACTATAATCAAGATTAAATTATGCCAAACCAGCTCAAATCCATAAAATAAATGTAAACAACAGGATAAGACCCCGACATAACCTATTTCCTATCTGTGCTTGCGCATTTGGGTAGGCAGACGCACGACTCATCATCCCACTAAAATGTGGATCACTTTTACCTGCAAGGCCTGCCGCTCTGGTTGATGCTGTAAATATAAAGAAACCCACGTTGTCCTTATATCCGTGTGTGGTAAACAGTCCGTCAGAGCATCAGCCGTTGTACAGGACCTGAATTTATCAGCACTCCGACTTCAGTTGGTGCGCAGACCTGCGTCTTACATAAACCCAACTTTTACTTTCACTTTTATGTTGAAGTGACGCCAAGCTGAGGGGCACAAGGGTGTCATTAGTGATGAGGGCAACGGCAGCAGTTTATTTCTCAACCACAATATAGTTTAAGTTTGGGTCTTACACACGAATGAAAAGTTTGACAAATTCAGCACCATCCTCGTGGGACAGTACAGGGGTAACATGACTGTTATCTTCCTCAGTTAAATCTGTAAATGTTTTAATCTTCAAAATGTGCTTCATCATCACCTCATTCTCAAATTTACGGGTAGGTAGTATCACGACAGATAACCGAGATAAACTGCTGGCATACTCTCAAAAAGATAAAAGTTCTGTTTCTAATAGTTCTTCTCCTCACAGCTCTGAGTCCTAATAATTCACCTGTAGTTTATAAGATAGTCATGCAAATATTTAGCCAAACAGTGTTTTTTTCAGGCCTTCAATCCCTTATATATCTCCAGCAATGATAATGATGATGAATGTATTTCTATAACAACGTTTTATAAGATGGTTAGCAACCCTGTGGACAAAGCACTTCATACTTATCTTGAGCTCCATATATTTAGGCAGTGTTTTATCAGAAAAAAATCTTCTCTTGATGGCTTTTGACAATCAAGCATATCATGTTTTGTGAATATTAATTTTGGACAGGCTCTTCCTTAAGTTCCTCCTTTTATACCAACCCCCTCTCATTACTTTGAGCATTAAAATTTAGGTTATAAAAAGTCAACCCACAGTAAGGCATTCATATGACTTTCAGTCTATTTGATTAATGCCAGGAATCACTACACAGGAGCTTAAAGTCTCACTTGAGCCCCTTTTCCGGGCGAATGACTTGGCTTGAACTCCATTGACTAAGACCTAGAACTGGACATCAACTAAGCTCAGAAGTTGAAGAGGAGGACCCGGGATTCGTTGTTGATACAGATGTATAATGTATCTAGTTAGTTATATATATTTATACATAATTATTTAATGTACAAAGTTTTAGTAACTTATTTTAGTCTTGAGTGAGGGGTTGAGTGTTTATCAGTTTTCTGCATGTGCATCTCCACAAAGTCTTGATCAACAATGGCTCCTGCCAGGATGTGGGGATGCCACTTAGGCTATAGTGCTAGAACTGTAGAGGAGAGGACAAAGGCTATGCAAAAATCTGCTATAATGCACTCAGAAAAGTAACTGAGACGCCAAAGTTACTTGTTAGTTCTACCGTTTGCTAGCTGCCAGCTAACTATTCTGTTAGCCTCTGAATTGACTCAGCCCTTCGACTGAATATATTCATTCTGGTGTTTTAGTGTTTCTTGTAACCGCTAAGAAGCAGGATACTTTTTTGGAGCAAGTGTCCAGACAGAACTTCTATATTTGCAGCATTGGTGTTACCACCACATGATAGCAGAGATGTAACTCAGATGCTTCTTACAAAACACATTCACACACAGCAGTGGATAAAACAGTAAAGCCTATTTTGTGCGATTTAGAACAGTTACTAATTCAATTTCATTCTTTTTTCATTCTCCTCGCTGATGGAGGAAATGTCAGTGCCTTGTTCATAAATGATTTGAGCTATCATATAATTCTGCATATAATCCTTATTTTATTAGAGCTATCATTGAAAGAAGTTTTCCATAATTGTGTCAAGGAGTTCTGCTTCCTCTGGTGTGACTGATTTAAGCTCATGTCTGAAGTTTCTCTTCACAGAGTATGAGTGGACAGACACGTTCACCTATCACTTTTTGAGCATACTTTACCAGCACAGTACTTTCAGATGTCCTTTACTTGTTTCAGGTTCAAAGTGCTTCATGTTGAATATTTGTTAACTTTGCTTCAAATCTATCATGGCTCCCACAAGTTCAGTGCATGTGTAAGCTCTGTGGCAGCTTTTATCTGTTAAAAATCCACGACACAAACCTGCTCTGTACAAGGAAATAGAGGGACTTTTGGTTGTGGTGGAAAGTACCTGCCCCACCTGTACAACACACACACGCATTAGTTAATACCTGCTGGTCCACTGATTATATAACACCAAATACAAAAGTAGTTTCTGTGTAAAAACAGAGGAGTGTCTGCGTATGAACACACTGCTTGGTGCCGGTATCTTTGAGCTGCGGCTTATTAACAAAACTTAGTTTGGAATACTTCAACTTATATCTTCATGCTAAAAGATCAATCATTAGCTAGCTTAAAGTTTTAAAAAATCACTGCCACATCTGATTTTCAGACACATGAATGCCCTGTGTTGAAACATTAAGTTGTTCCCACCTTTAATAGGTAAACCATGGCAAAGTCCAACATAGCAGGTCAGTGTTTAGCACAGGAAATATTAACCAAAAATTAAGCCCAGAGGTGGAATTTGCCATTTTGCAGGGTTGTCTGGTATGAGGTATTATTATTATTATTATTATTATATACCTAGTTTATTACCCAGCCTTTGGTCTGTCAAAACTCCAGAGAACAGCACTTAACTCTCTACAACAAAGGCTGTTAGAGCTGAAACTCATCAAATTAAAGCTCCCATGAGGAATTTCAAGTGGTGTTAAATTAGACCAGAAATAATGCCAATGCTCCAATTAATTTTTGTGGACTGCAATAGATTGGACTGGAGTGAATATGAAATTTCAGTTTTCACCAGGGGGCAGTTCAGTTTGCAACAGGAGTCAAAACAAGCATTGCAACACGTGTACAAAAGATAAATTCACACGTATGAATTTAATATTGTGGTGAGATGCCTCTTCTTCGTGGCTTTTTTGCTCCCTGTGATCCCTTGTATGTCTTCTCACCTCCTTCTCCTCTATTTCTCCACAGTGTCTCCAGCCCACACAACAGCCAGCCAGCAAACTACACTTTCTCTCATGCCTTTTTTCCCTGAGTTGGACATTAAATACATCTTTAATTTGCTATCTGCCTCTGTGTCTGCTTCTGGGTCCACAAGATACACCACACGCCACAAATATGAAACTCACATGTGTTAAATAAAGATTTATACAGGCAAACAAGACCACCAGTGATAAAAAGAAGCATTTCCATGAGGTCATGTTTTATCCTCAAAACCCTTACTGCAGGCTAAGTGTCAGATGAGGTTCATGGGGATTGTCTTTTCCAAAATTGTGGTTAAGTGAGTTGTTGAAAGAAAAAAAGGTGCCCAAAAGATGAAATGAACATAAATTTGGTGCATATGCAACACGTTTAAACAATTGATATGTGCTCAATGAGGATATGCAAAATTTTAGTTCTAAGTGACCTTGAACTTGGTTTACATGCATACAATCAGCAGACAGAAAACAGAAAAGGTCCTCATTTCAAATATACTTTCTTTCAAAAAATTGGTCTTTAGAGTCCTTCATAAAAGTAGGGAGTGAGGATACGTGGGTTTTTGAAACAGCCCTGGTCTTTTATTCTCCCATTGCAGAACTTTTTATAAAGAACAAACATATTCACTCATGTTGGATAGGATGGGTCATACCTGTTCCACCTCAAGGTTGGGTCTTTGTAGTACATCAAACAATGAGTTCGGTCTAGACCTGAGGCCTGTAGTACGAATCTGGATTAACACATCCAGGGTAACTCTGCGACAACTCGCTCAACTTCACCGGATCTCCGCGATCCCGATCAGCTGTACTATGAAGCCGGTTATCAACTCGATAACTGAATCCAGGTGTGGCCACTTCAGATCTGTGCATGCACACGTAAAGGGGGTGAGGTGAGTGCCACTGGACCAATCTCCACAATGAAGAAGGCTGCACGTCATTTTTCACAGCCGAAGAACAGAGCATTATTTTACGCAAATACGAGGAGTACCGCAACATTATAACAGTGAGGAGCAGGACAGCCACAGTCACAAAAAGCCGGAGGGACTGCTGGCAAAAAAAAACACTGGTTGTGTTAATTACATTTGTGCGTTCATAAATTTATGGCCCCCTAATATGTTGTCATGCAGCGTGTGTGATCACCTCCATCATTGACCTCATTATTTCAGATACAACAGCAGTGGGGAAAAGAGTACGTGGGAGCAAATAAGAATACATCTAAAAACATCCTTTAAAGTAGTTTGTAAGTTTATTTGAAGATTTTATTTGTACATATTTCAACGTGTTAACAGTGATTTCCTCACACTGCCTTTCTTTCTTTTTTTTTCTCCATCATCTGATGGTAACATCATCTGCAGACACATTTGGGGTTAAGAGTTTTCTAATCTGCTTCAATAAATTCTGATTGATGACTAATATGCCGCATGAAATTGGAACTTGGCAAATATGAGTGCATTGCTTCGACTTCATGCTACCTGAATATTGAGGCCGACCAAGGAAAACCTGTAACGTTCATAGAGAACGTCATCAGGTAAATCAAACGGATTTGAATGGTCATGAATATAATGCTCTCGGCGAAGCGCTCCTCTCTCTATCCATGCAACGATGTCCCTGGGATCCAAAAGTGGGCAAGCCATTTTCCAAGAGATCTGATTGGTCAGTAGGCGGTCTTTTATACCTGCTGAGATCTTATGCTGAAACATAACCTGCTCCGGAGCAGGTTTGGTGTTCCGTGTAAGTTACCGGGGCAACGGACCCGGATAAAAAGAGATCCACTTTCCTAATACGGAAAACCCAGAAGTTATCCAGAAGTTATCTCCCTAAAGGGGCGTTCAGACCATTGTTGCAAATCTTGGTCAGCCTGAGACAACCAATCAAGTTTTATTCATACAGAGCCAAATCACAACAGTCGTTATCCCAAGACACTGTCCAAAAGAGCAGAGGCCTATACTACGAAGCTGGCTTTGGTCTTAAGGGGCGTTCAGACCAGCTGCAACCTGACGCGACTTGGCGACGGCTCCCAATGCAAAGTCTATGGCCAGCCGCGACCTGACGCGACTTGGCGACCGCCGGCTGCCTGCAACGCGACCTGACGCGACCGGTCACCGAGGTCGCAGGACGCCCATCCAACCAATCCAACTTGTGGGAGCTGCTTCTGGAAGCGTGGGGTGCAATTTCTCCAGATTGCCTCAACAAATTAACAGCTAGAATGCCAAAGGTCTGCAATGCTGTAATTGCTGCAAATGGAGGATTCTTTGACGAAAGCAAAGTTTGATGTAAAAAAAAAATCTTATTTCAAATCCAAATCATTATTTCTAACCTTGTCAATGTCTTGACTCTATTTTCTATTCATTTCACAACATATGGTGGTGAATAAGTGTGACTTTTCATGGAAAACACAGAATTGTTTGGGTGACCCCAAACTTTTGAACGGTAGTGTATTTATTTCAGTGAGCGGACCGTATTATGAAAACATAGCTAACTGCCCCTGCTTGCTAGGCTACATGTTTCAACGTATGTGTGTGTGTCTTTGCAGTGGATGTGTGCCGCAAGCGGTGGAAGGGGCTGCGGGACGTTTATATGAGGGACAGACAGATAGACAGGCGTTCCGAAGCTGAGATGGAGCGCCTGTATTTCGTGTCCAGGCGGGAGATGCTGCTTCCCACCCGGGCGAGGAGGTCCTCGAACTGCGCCGTCGACACATGGAAATACCGCTGGAAGCGGCCGTCATCCAGGCGGAGTTCCTGGAGCAAGCGGTGAAATTCACCCAGCTCCGTCCTCCTCCGGATGGTTTCATGCACCCATAAACGCCTGCGGCGTCTACTGCGGATGTACAGATATGCGGCAGCACTGATGAACTGAAAATTGAGCTAGAGACATGGATGACGTCACCGGCGACCAGCCGCGACCTGCGACTGCAGCTTTGGACCCGGTGTGAACACACCAGAGCACCCCGCGACGCGACGTGATCGACCAAAGCGAGGCGACCAGGTCGCATCGCGTTAGGTCTGAACGCCCCCTTAAAGACCTTTGCATTGGGAGCCGTCGCCAAGTCGCGTCAGGTCGCGTTTGGTGCGTTCAGACCAGCCGCGACCTGACGCGACTTGGCGATGGCTCCCAATGCAAAGTCTATGGCCAGCCGCGACCTGACGCGACTTGGCGACCGCCGGCTGCCTGCGATGCGACCTGACGCGACCTAGCGACCGGTCGCCAAGGCGCGTCCCCGAGGTCGCGTCGCCGAGGTCGCAGGATGCCAAGTCGCGTCGCTCCCAAAGTTCAAATATTTGAACTTTGGGAGCGACTCCGTGCCGCGACAGCCAATCAGGGCTCTGCTGACGACAACAAACCGGCGAAACAAGGAAGAGGAGAAGAAGAATCACAATTGAGGAGCAGTTAATCACATCCGTTAGCTACCACCCGGTGCTATACGACGTGGGTTGCAGGCTGTACCAGGACCGCAACGCCAAAGAAGAAGCATGGGGGAAGGTGGCCCGTGATGTCGGGCTTTCTGGCAAGCTTGTTTGTTTATTTATTTCAGTGAGCGGACTGTTTTATGAAAACATAGCTAACTGCCCCTGCTTGCTAGGCTACATGTTTCAACGTATGTGTGTGTGTCTTTGCAGTGGATGTGTGCCGCAAGCGGTGGAAGGGGCTTAGAGACGTTTATATGAGGGACAGACAGATAGACAGGCGCTCCGAAGCTGAGATGGAGCGCCTGTATTTCGTGTCCAGGCGGGAGATGCTGCTTCCCACCCGGGCGAGGAGGTCCTTGAACTGCGCCGTCGACACACGGAAATACCGCTGGAAGCGGCCGTCGTCCAGGCGGAGTTCCTGGAGCAAGCGGTGAAATTCACCCAGTCCTCCTCCGGATGGTTTCATGCACCCTCCGGATGGTTTCATGCACCCATAAACGCCTGCGGCGTCTACTGCGGATGTACAGATATGCGGCAGCACTGATGAACTGAAAACTGAGCTAGTGACATGGATGACGTCACCGGCGACCAGCCGCGACCTGCGACTGCAGCTTTGGACCCGGTGTGAACACACCAGAGCACCCCGCGACGCGACGTGACCGACCAAAGCGAGGCGACCTGGTCGCCTCGCTTTGGTCTGAACGCCCCTTAAAGCTGATGCCATGCTGATTCTTAACTAACTTTTTACATAACAGGTCTTTAATGGACTTCTTTGTCTGTGTTGCACCCTACCTCCCAGCTTCCTGTGCTGACATGATTTATTATTTATATCTTGTTGCCATGGATTGACCCAAAATGAAACTGAAACTAAGTTACACCCTACTCTCCAAATTCTGTCCAAAGATATTTTAATGAGATTCAGCAGAGTTGAAATTTTTAAAAAAGACAAAGTAAAAGCTGAAATTGAAAGCACCCTAGGGTTTGGGTGAGGTGCCTGCCTCGACTATATAGTAATCAAGCCTTTGGAAAACCCAGATCATGTTAGAGAAGAGAGAAAACAATAGACGACTGAAGGACAGAAGTAAAAAGCAATCATAATATAATGAGTGTGACTCACCCCAGTGGGATTCCGACAAATCTTTGTCCCCTTTGGTCTCATTGCAGTCTAGTTTACCATCAGTGCTGCACATTCTGGTACTGTAAGGAGTCCCACTTATAATTTTTACATTATCAATGACACCTAATTCTGTGCCAAGATCTCTGTTTGGGTAAAATGAGCTTTCTGGTGTATCGATATTTGTGTCCTCAGATGTACAGAGAGAAAAGAGACGCTCAACACCACATTGCTCCTCAACTGGTGAGAAAGAAGGGTCCTCAGAGGCATTTGTTGTCCTGTTTACCACCATGCAGACATTGTAGTAGTCCTTTGGCCTGTCTGTTATGCTTTTGGTGTTTGCATTTGCTTTCAGAGGTGAGGCATGTCTAAATACTCTGGAGACTTCCAACTGATTCATGTGAGATCCAATTGTCCAAATGCTTTCATGCATAGGGGTAAAGAGGCTGTCTGCCAAGTCTGTTTTCTCTGCTTCTGTGGTAAAAGAGTCATCATCATACAAATCCAATGTCCTACATGCCATGGCAAGCTCTGTTTCCTCCTTCATACTCAAGAAAGTATGCTGTGCCTCATTGCTTGTCTCTTTGTTTCCACTTGTTGCAAAGTTAGTAATGGTATGAGGGACCAAGGGCTGCATCATCCTCTGTCCTCGGTCCCAGTGCTGCCACAGGGGCACAGCTATCCTGCGGGCTGCCTGCTCTACCTGCTCTAACCACACCTTCTCATTGTCAAAATTCACCTCCAACGCTCTCTCACTGCCACATGCTGGCTCCTGCTCTGATTGTGCACTTCTCAGCAGTTGTACCAATTCATCATCCAAGCTGAATTGGTTGTCTTGAACTCTTGGTGCAGAAAAGAGTTTGTGGTCCAGATGGAGTTCGCCATACAGGGGGTGGTGGCTTAGCCCTGAGCTTGTGCAGTTAAGTCCACGCATTAATGACTCTGATCTTGTTTGGTTTTGGTCATTTTTGGCAGATCCTACATGCCTTGATGAGAAATATTCCCTAAACAGGGTGGGCTGACCTTGGTTGGGGTCCCCACAGGTGGTATATCCTTGGAAATAACTCCAATCAGGTCCTGATCTTGAGGCTTGTTTGCTGTGAATTCTCTGAGATGCGATCTTTGCTGGAAGCTGGTGAAGACATAAGTCTTTGGCGTAGGCCTCTGAGATGATCTGCTCCCTGACCAATCCATCTATCAGAGCTTGTACCTCAGCAGGAGAAGCCCATGCCAGAGCCAGTCGCACCCCTTCTAAAACTTCCTCAAACCTGGCCATGGCCACAACTGCTGCACTCTGGTCATTGAGATTGTACTCTAATGACAACCAGAGATGACTGACTCTTAGCTGGTTGTCTTTAAAGATACACAGGGATTTTTTTTTTCTATGAATTTAGGAGGCGTTCTGATTTAAAGAGGGAGGTGTTTGTAGGGTTGGAGGAGAGTTCTGTTTTAAAGAAGTGTTTCTGTTTCGGGTGTGGGACTGTATTTGAGGCTGATTGACTGCAGGGAGGTCATTACGAGGAAGTGAGGATTTATAATCTATGCCAAGAACAGTTTTTTTTTAATGAGTTATTATTATTATTATTATTATTATTATTATTAGTCTCTCTTTAAACTCACAGCTGTTGTTTATCAGTTGAATGTGTTATTTTTTTCTGTTGGCTACTTGTTGTTCTGACAGGTAGTCTAAAATAAATACTTGTTTACCTTCTCTCCAAAACCATAGGGTATAGTATCTCACCCAACAATAACCAAGGAAAACAGCCTTTCAACACATAATAACAATACACCACTGAATCATTCAGCACTTTTCACCAGAAGTGTTATAATAGTGATAATCAAAAACTGTAGTTTTTTTTTTCAGATTTATTAAAATGTTTGATGTTTTGCTGATTTTGGGGACTTGAATTTAGTTTTTTTGAAACCCTTTAAGAAATCCTTTCCACATCATATATTGTGTAATCCATGAGTAGAAACACCCAAGTTTACAGCCAGGGTCCCTTTTGAAGGTTTCACTGTTATACAACTGGCAAGACTCAGTTTATTTCAGATTTCCCTGCCTTAACCACAATGTAAGAAACATTGCAGTTATTTTGTTGCACAACTTTGCAAAATATTTGATTTGAACTCAGTTATTTTAGTCAGAAATAACTGTTTTTCAGTGCTTACTTGGTTTAAGTGCAAAAAACACTTTTGCTATGCAGGAAACTTTTGATAATACCCCTAAACCAGATTAAATCTGATGCACTGCTTGAAATGTTTTGATCTAAAATAAAACTGGTTGTTTGAGTGGAACTGTCAGCCCTAATGTGTTAAACTTCAGTGTGATTTCTGGTCTTAAGTCAGGTATTCTTTAATTTCCCTTTCTACCACAGCTGTCTGCCTGCTGCTGCTGCTGCTGTGATGAAAAGTCACAACACCACTGTGATGCCAAATGGTACATCTCAGTTTTGAAAGAATTCCCAGTTTACAAGTCAAAGGTAATACGCTCTTTGTGTCAAACGTCACTTTAATATCACCAATCCACTTTGAAATGAGTTACTACCTGATAGCCAAACATACAAGTGCTGCTGCACAGGCTAATGCCAACACTGTACTGCATCACTGTTTGTTTTAATGACATTTTATGTCTCTTTGCATGCACACCAAACCTGTATGGAACAGTGAAAGAAACCAAAATGGAACTCCTGAAGAGTGCAAATGTGGTCACATTTACCAAGAATTTATTAATATTGGTAGCTGAAATATTTGTGATAACTGTAAAGCCATTTCTGCATATTGCTGAATTTTTAGTGTTACCCTTTATGTTAGAAAGAATCCAAAGTGGAACTCCAAAAGAGAGCAAATATTGTAATCTTAACCAGGGGTCCATGAGAGTTGGTAGGGTCAGCTGTTATTACTACATTGACAGTAATTGGCCAGAAGGAACTACCTTCTGTCATTGATATAAACAAAAAACCATTTTGAAATGCCACAACTACATTTAAACATGGAACAGCCCTAAATTAAAATTAAGTAGTCATAAGGAAGCAGATACTGTATTTAAGTCTTTAACTTGTGAATGTCATCTTGTCATTGTAAATCTGCTGTCACTGAATGACTGATTGAGATCATCTGTCTCATATCAACAGACTTCAGTCATCCTAAAATAAAACATTGTCTAAGAGGAAGAGACAGTGTGAGGTGTGAGAAACAAATGCACTGTGTGGCTCATAGTGCTGTTGTTTATCTGTTAACAGGATGCAGATGTAGTTTCACATGTGTTTTTTGTAGAACCCTGCAGTAACTACCACTATGTGTGACAAAAGACACCCTCCCGCCCCACTTAAACACGACTTTTACTTCAGCTGTACTCATAGCCGGTGTGATTATCTGAGAAGTACATAGAGCAAACACTTCAACATAAAAGACAAGGTCACCATAACTCCTTTATTGTACAAAATAGTTTTAGTACATTATCGAAGCCTCAAAAGAATATATTTTTTTTCCCCCACAAGTTACAACAAAATACAAATCTATAAAATCTGAATTATATGTCATTAACTAAGTTTCAACCTGTCAGAAATGCAGAGTTAGCTGGCCACTTATATTTGAAATATTTTCTAAAATTATCTCAACATTGTTGTCTTCTTGGACATTTCACACACCTGTTGGAGCCATTTTGACCTAGAGGAAGGGTGCTTGAGGGGAGCAAAACAATATTAAAAACTAATTTTGTATCAGCCAGATTAATACGATCCATTGCCAAGTTTTTCTCTGAAATAGTTTTGGGGTGTTTTTGTCCGTATTGAATTATTCAGCTGAGAGGAAAGGAAATGTGTGGTATAGAGAGAGGGGAAGGACATGCACCACAGTTGTGGCTCGAAGTCCAACCAGCCACCGCTGCAGCCAGGACTCTTGTCGATGCTCTGGGACTGTGCAATTTCACCACCAAGTTAAATTAGTGCCCCACTTTTTCAGCTCGTCAAGTGTCAAAAGCAGTTTAGACAGTATGAGTCAATAACTCTTCCACACCCCACTACTGTATGAACAGATTTGTATTCTTGACCTGACCCACATCTAGGCTTCTTCATGCAGACAGTATATGTATAATATGTGGACTTTATTGGTAGTTTTGGCCAGATGATCAAATTCAAAGACAGACACTTGCACATATTCTAGGTCCATCAAAACTGACGTGAAACATTTGAAGACTGTTTTTTGCTTGAACTGTCATAATCACCTTTAACTTCTTAAATTCATTTGTAGGAAAAAATGAACTTTTTCAGGACATTCTAACTTTTTGAGTTGCCCCCGTATGTTTGAGAGGTCAGAAATATAACAACACAAAAGTGCTATAAAGCCCTCACAAAGAGCCAGAGTCTGAAGTTATGTTTTAACATTGCATCATCATCACTTTTACCTCACCATTCTTTGGGAAATCTCTATATTAATTTCTTTGTAAAGCACATCTTGTTCTGGTGATCTTACAATAAAGCTATCAGTACACCAAGTTGAATATACAAAACCTTGAAAATATCATGACCGTCAGCCCTGCACTGCAAGGTCTGACCATCTCAGTGGAAAGCAGCCCACTGACTTTCCTTTGTGCATTTCTCATTTCTATCAGGCTCTCCTCATCTAGCCTGTCTCACATCATCAAAGCTGGTTCAGGTGTTGCTCTGCTCCATGGAGCAGTATTCTTGAATACCTGTGGGGGGAAGAAGAGAAGGGTATTAAGTTAATGATGGAGGCAAAAGTTGTGATTGTGATTGAGTTTTTCATTATGTCCCTGTATAGCCGTCAGTCAATCATCTGATACACAAACCACATTTGATCCTTCAACTTTAATCTCATGCTACATCGAATTTCGATCCATGGTTCTTCCTCTTTTTTACACTCTGCTTCCACTTTGTAGGGTGATCACTTCTTCTTTCAATACATTTAATGGAGAATTGAGATATAAAGTAAAACATGTAGTCATCAAAAATCAGAGGGGACTTCACTGGAAGCCGGGATGTGCGTCTAACTTCCTTAAATTGGAAAATAATAGTTACAAAGTCAGCCTGATGATGACGATGCTCAGAGTGATGATGGTGATGAAAGAAGACAAAACAGTGACTTGAGGGCGTGGGATTGTGTGTGTGTGTTTGTATTTCTGCAAACACTCACTCTGCACAATCCTCAGGTAGACCTGAGCAGCAGGAGAGTCAGGTACTTCACTGAGGAAAGACCTCCCCTCGTCACAGCTCTGTGCGATCCTGGGGTCCAGAGGTACCTTTCCTAAAAGCCGTAGATTTAAATCTTGACACATTTTCTCAGCGCCCCCGCTGGTGGGAGGGAAGATCTGTGACGTGTTCTATATGACAGAAGACAGACAAAAATCATTGTAATACATGCATTATCAAACTCAAAGACTGTTCATGATATTCTATATTTATGCCAAGCTCATAAATAATGAAAATGCAGCTGGTTCCACTTGCTTGGTCTCATCCATTTATGTCACACAGATGGGGACAGAGGACACAATACATATTGTAAAAAACACTTCCACTTCATGTGCAATAGCTACAAGTTACATCGAAAGAGATCTCTACTGTGTACAGATGTGGCTGTTTCTAGTGAGCACAACAGAATGAAAAAGAGTCTTTGAAAACAAGAAGAGGTAACAATTGCATTCAATATTTTGTCTATAACTAATGGCTTTTATGTGTAAAGGACAAACAGAAAATCCTGTTGTATTGCAGCAGGAATTCCCCAGGCTTTGGGCTTTGGGCGCCTGAAACAACTTGCTCACACACCTCCTATCTAGTATTTAGTAAGGTTAGTCCCACTGAGATCAGAGGTCTCTTATTCCACAGGGACCTGACCAAGAATGCCAGAAATGCAGTCTGGATAACAAAACAACCTCACTTATACATGACTGGGGCCTAATCCACTAAATCTACCCAAGAAGACATCATATAATTCACAAAGCACAAAGAGTTTAATGCTTCTGTGCTCAAGTGTTGTTTGCATGAACTGAAACCGTTCATTTTGTCTTCATTTAAAACAAATAAAACAGCCTTATTGTTAAAAAAACAATCTACAAACCATCAGAGGGACATTTACACCAACTGTTTAGAATTAACGAGCATCTTCACACTAAACTCTTGTGGATGCTGACACTGCTATATATATTAAAATTAGATTGAAGTCCAGAGCAGATTAACAGCTGTCTACTTTGATAACAACAGAAATTCATAACTAATTGATTAGTTTGCTACTTTCCTGTTGAATATATTAACTTGGAACCTAAACAGCTGTCCAATTCTCATCAAATTGTACCTGAGCTTTTCCCTATGATTTAAATAGATATGACAAACACAGCTTACTGGAATCATACATCTACGCCCACTCTGTGCACTGGGCCATGTTTGACTGAACATATATGCATCTGGTTGTGCGTGTGTGTTTGTGTGTGTGTACACCACTGCATACCTTGCATTTTGGACACACAAAGCCGCTCATGTTCTCCACCACACCGATGATGGGCAGCTTGACCTTCTGACAGAACCTGATCTCCTTTCTCACATCCTGCAGAGACACCTCCTGCAGAGAGAGGAAGACAAACACAAAGTCTCACACACATTCAGGGGGAGTTCAGCACGCCTCCTATTTTAGCTTGCAAATAAAATGTAACTTATTCCCATTGTAGGTAAAGATAACCCTGACCAAAAAAGCTTGTGTTGATGTTAACTATAATTATTTGAAACTGACACAGTTTTTCGGAGGTTCAGAGAGTGAACATGTATAACCTGATGTTCCTGTTTTACTGCCTTTTATTGCCTGGTAGTTTCCATCCTGCATTTTTGCTCTGTGATTACTTGTTTATCTACTTTTGAACTTTTTGGTTGTTTTATTTCTGTATCTTTGAGGCCAATCCAGAGACAAGTATAGCCAACTACTCACGTTAGGAATACTGTGTTATGTGGCGTCTGCTTGCATATTTATCCCAGTGCAAATAAGCATAAGAAAATAATGAATAAAGACAGAGAAATCCACAATAAGGGGAGATGGACGAAGAGGGCAGAACAAAAGAGAAAGTATGGGTTAAAGTGAAAGAAAAAGGGTTGGCCTGAGCTCTTTTCTCACACAGCTGTGATCTTGTTCCTTGGGGGAGAACAACTCCCCGGTCTAAATATCTGGTAACAGACAACAAAACCAAAACAATGTGATATCAGCCAGACCGGATCTTTCGTTTTTGTACTTCCCAGTTTGTGTGTGGTTGAGTTTGGTAAAGTGAGAGCTGGGGGAAAGAGGAAGTGATTCTTCTGCTGTCTGACCTCATGAGTCCCAGTCTATATTAGGAATCAGGAAATGTTTGTGCCTCAAGTGTAGTATGCACTACTTAGACTACTTAAGCATGCTTAAATAAAGCATAAAAGAACAAGAACATGGTGACATTTATCGATCATGGTAAGAGAAAAGATATTCACTTTTTCACAAACTACAGTGGGTGGGTAAGTTATCATGTTAGACCCTAAATACATGATAGCTTATTGATACTGATGGTGACATGCAGTTTATCGTCTCATCTGACTTTTCACTACAGTTCTAAAGACTGTTTCGGAAATGGTACTGATGTGTGCAGTTTGTCCTCTTTTCTACTTTCATGTTGTGAAGCACTTTGTAACTTCCTTATTATTATTGTTGTTGTTATTGCTATTATTATTAATATTACTATTACTACCACTACTACTACTACTACTACTACTACTACTACTACTATGTGCCTGCCAAGTTGAGCAAAGCTGGCAAAGGGATTGCGTGATTCATTTCTGACACAGCCAATGTCTGTGTCACAGGTGAGCTGCAGGTTGTCTTTACTGTCACCATGGAGATGATCCCCACTCAGAGCACAGGGCCTGCCCACCTGGTCTTGATTGACAGCTGTCTTCCAGACACCACAACACAGAGACAGTTGGATCGCCTTGAGTTTCAAGTCAGTCGGTTTCAAGTCAGATTTATGATAAATCATCAACGCTTTGATATATCAGCACCATATTTGACATGTCCCCTCGTGACCCCACTCTGAAGACATGTCCCACTCTGCAGCCATCTTGGATGTCCCCACCATCCCCAAACAGGAAGTAGCCCTGAACGCATTAATGCCCTCATGTATTTCCACCCAAAACATGGCCTAAATGTGAGTAAATCAGCAGCAAGCAGCAGTGAATCAGCAAGCAGGCAGGCACAAATCAAAATTTCCCTGGAATTTTCTAGTTATTATTATTGTTATTATGATTATCATCAATATAATTATTACCTGTTGACAAGCGGTGAAACTTGTACATTCGGATAAGAACTGTGAACACAGAAATGGGTTTGACAAACCACAGTGCTATTTACTGTTTACACAATCAAAGCCTCCAGAATGGCTCCAGTTAGTGACATATTTTCCTTTCTTTGACTCCTTTTGGCTCTATTTTTGTAGAGTCTTTTTCTGGTATATCTTTAGCTTGTGTACTAGCTAAAATGTGTACATCATGAGACTTAAAAAAAAATGGTGCAGTCTCAGTGACGTCACCATTTAAATGTTGTCATGGAGCCCAAAGATGGTGGCGGCCATGTTGGGAGTTCTGTAATCTGGAGTTTTGGAAGTTGGGTACATTGCACTGGCTTGTGGGTATGTCAAGTAAGCCTCTTCCCTGATTAGGCCTAATTTTACACTCCACCTTTATATAACAGATGAGTCATAATAAAAAAAGTTAGCCGGTTAAGTTCTGTCAAATAAAGATATGGAGACCAGGAACATTTTGTGGCTGGCTGTAAACATGATTTACTTGGCTGTAAAATTGGACATGTGAACATGGACTCAAATTCCGATTTCCTTGGACTTTGGAGTCAGCTCTTCGTGGAAAGTCAAAAGACTGCATTTTCTTTTTTACTTCTGCATTCTCCTTTATTTACTTTTTTTACTCCCTCATTTGCAATATTGAAGGCAACAGTGTGCTAAGAAATTCCATTACAGATATTTAAAATGCATTTATTGAACAGACTGTTTTCAAAGAGGCGGACAAGGCTCAGGCTTTCGCTCTAATAGTAGCTTCATGTCAGGCCTTATTCTTTAAAAACCCTTACTTCAGCTTCTGTTTTAAAGTCATCATTTCAGCTACCGTCTCCCTGCACTGAGTCCAGCACTCTGGGAACCTCCTCCACTGTTGCCTTGTGATAAATTCATGTTTTTATGATTAAAAAGATCACTAATTGACCATAACCAAATGTGGCTTTGAGCCAAAAAAAGACAAAAAAGAGCAGAACACTCCTGTTTGGTGGGGGTTGTGTTTATTATGCCCATATAAGGAGATTCACCGATCGAAAGCCTCATGATTTGAGCAAATCATATGCAGATCTTTATTAGCTCTTATGGTATCTAGGATTACTCCAACACCTGTTCCTGAAGCTCTGCTCTGTGTTTAGTGTTGCCATCTTTATAACTTCAGATTTATATGTATACGCACAAGACCACCTCTTTAAAGGTGAAAAGCGTTTACCAAACAGTGTGTTGGTTGATGATATGGTTGCTTTTGTACTGTGATGTAAAAGTGTTTTTCATGTTGTTTGAGTGTATTAAAAGTTGATAGGGTTGCTATGGAAACAGATTTACTGGCACTTGTTGAGCAAACACATTGGAGGTTGTTTGGTCCTGTTACAATCTGTGAATCTACTGCAATAAATGAGGTTTAAAGTACCTGTAGTTTGATTTATGTCCAGAAGAGGATGCCAGTGAAAGCACAAAGATTTGTTTTGGTTCCTGTTGAACCTTTTTATTGCTTTTACTGTGTTTTATGTACACAAAAGACAAACCGGATCATCCTGTAATAAAATGTGTTGTTGCATTTTATTCTTTTAGAAGAACAGCTAACCATGTGACATCTCAAAGAATGTGATATTTTCTAAAAGACCCTTAAAAGTCTTGCAAGTAGCTTTTCTTGACTGAGACTTCACAAAAGTTATAAAATGGGCTAAAATGTCTTTTTAAACACTGCAAATTATTTGGTGAGAAATAAAAATACATCTGTTTGGAATCCTTGAAGGATTGCAGAAGTGATCGATTTTTGAATGACACTTTAATAGTAACATGCTAGTTTCATCAGAATAACGGTCTCTTACCACATGATGTGGATTGAAGATTTCTAGAATTACCCACTCCTACAGCACGCGGTAATTTTGGTGAACATCTGACCTAAGTTGAACATGTAGGTGGACATCTGTTGGCAGTCAGAGCAGGAGTGGAGGTTTTTCAGTTGTGTCTTGAGTCACGCTCCTTTCTTTGTCTGCTCCTTCAGCTCTGGTTTCTATGTTACTATCATAATTACTCACAAGCATTACAAAAAAAAAAAAAAACACCTGCAAAACTACATGTCATTGTAACTGAAGGAGCAGCAGTCAAATCAAGGTTTGAAAAAAGGCCATGTCTGTTGATAGGTGCCATGAGTGCTAAAAATGCTCTACACTGCTAATTGTTAGGCTTGGATTAGCAGCTTGGGCTTCTATTAGTTTAACTTTATAACTTCATGCTGCCTGGTGTCAATAGGAGACAGGCTTTCAATTATGTTTGAGTAAAACTTTTGCACAGAAAGATAGGTTTCATTGTTATTTCAGTGTTTGTCTCTATTGTTAAAATTCCCGTGAAGAGTGTTCCACTCTTGATTTTGGCACCCCTGTGACAAAACAGTCTTTGCTCATGTTGTCTTATATATCCTTAACCACTGTGTTCTGATCAAAAATATCATTTTGCTGACTGCTGACAGTCGAGTATATCAGTTGTTGAGAACATCTGATGTGGAAGTCATAAAACAGCTTTTTCCCCAGCTGCTCAACTGACACCAATGCCCTTTGCACAGATTTAGTTATGAAAGTTTATGAAATAAAAATCATCTGTCATGTTACCAATGGTCCATACAAAAATGAATTGATGTGAGTTTCAGCCTATTTAATAAAAGGTCAAAAAACACCTCATAGAAGCTTTAAGCCAGCACTAGCAATAAATTCCTCTCTGTGTGCCGTGGATTTACCAACACTTATGCACTAGTTTGTGCTTAACCCTGCTTTCACCATTCCTCAGTTGACTTTCTCTTCTCCTTCTTAGGCAGAAGTAGAAGTTTAACTTCATGTTTCCCCTAATACGCCTAAAAATCAACCAAGAAGTGTCTTCCTCTTACAGCCAGACAGCATTCAGGAACCCCCTGCTTTTTCTGTGCTGCTATGGCGATCAGTAAATATGGTGTTGAATTTTGGTGAATGCAAAATAAACAGCAACTTTAGAGGACAAACAACAAGATAACTAATTCATGTCTAATGAAGACCTGCCTTTTTGGATAAAACGTTCAGCCATACGGAGCTAAAAGACCCCTGCCTTGTATATCTCAGCATGTATGTGTGTTTTACCTGTGGTGTGGTGATGATGACCGCTCCATCGACATGGGTGGAGCTCAGGTATTGCACAATAGACAGGTGCTCATCTGAGGTGCCAGGGGGTGTATCCACGATGAGGAAATCCAGATCACCCCAGTCAACATCCCTCAAAAACTGCTTGATCATCCCTGATTTACACGCACTGGTTATAGTAGTTATCATAAAGTACATATATAGTTCTTACACACACACACACACACACACACACACACACACACACACACACACACACACACACACACACACACACACACACACAGACACACACACACAGACACACAAATGATACCATTCTTTTTGGGTCCTCTCCAGATCACGGCATCGTCAGGGCTGCCAAGCAGGAAGCCGATGGACATGACTGCCAGGTTTTCCTCAACATACTGTAACAAACGCAGACACGCATTATGAGTGGGAGAGCAGGAAGACGCTCAACTCAGAGTCAGCTTCATTTCATTATGTACAAGTTTATGTATTATGTACAGGTGCACCTCAACAAGTGAGGAGACAGGGGAAAGAAATGTCCTTTTGACTCGTAACTTAGTTACTGAGTTACTTTCACATAATTTTTATCTAAGTGGATGTATTTGCTTTAATTTGATTATTTTAGTGTAGAGATATAAAACTAAACAAATATCATTTCAAATCATCAGAATAAATATAAAAACATGATTAAAAAACAGAAATGTCAAACTTCTGAGAAGTTCTGTCAATTTTTTACAGTCCTTCACCATGAATTACTGCGTCAGTATTGTGCGCTATAGAGGTCACCAGTCTGTGGTTATTAAAAGCAGCCCTCAGCTCATCTTTAACTATGGAGCAAATGTTTCTCTTCCTCCTCTTAAATATACCTCAAATCTCTATGGGCTTCAGGTCAGTAGAGTTAGGCCATCCAGGTAAGTAAAATCATTATGCAAACCATTATGTAGTAGTTTTCGCATTGTGGGCAGGTGCTTAGTCCTGATGGAAAAGGGAATCCAAATCCCTGAACACTGGTTATGAGACAATCAACCCTTTTCAAAAGGTGTCTGTGTGGAGCAGCTCTTCATGCACAAAAACCATCCTGAGTCCATTACTTACAAAGCACTTCCGAGTTCTCTTGAATCAACAATTTCGACCAATTCTCTCCAGGATTCACTCATCCTAGTTGCTTCTGCACCTTTTATTCCCACACCACTCCCCTCTAACCACCTTTTCATTGTCATGCTCTCATATAGCTCTCTGTAAACAGCCAACATTTTCAGCAATGACCAACTGAGACTGACCCTCTGTTTTGTCTTCCTCATGATTGTGGTTTTGAGTACTGAACTACACGAAGAGGAACTTACTCTGTTGGATGGTAATGAACTCAAACTCACCATGAATGATCCTCATTTGTTGAAATAATCTTTCTTCCATTTTTGAGGCCAAAACCAAAATTAAATTGAAAAACTACTTGGAATGTTCAGTTTTGAGTTTGGTCTAGAATACTGAACCTTTGTTACACAAATGATGGAAATATTGACATTCTTGTATTATACTGTTACTTGTTGAGACGTGCCTTTGTAAGATGAATGTAAGAAAATAGTTTGCTTTCTCCCTGATGTTCAAATGACTGATGTTTTTATTTTGGACAAAGTGAAGTCAGTGCATCAAACCTCAAAGGTAAGAGTTTGCTTAGCTTCAATAATGAAAGACTCATTTTTTTCCCGTCTTTCAACAGCTTCAGCTAATTCAAGTATCTTGGCACATTTGTTATTTTCTTTTAAAAGGTACTGAGCAAAAAATTGAAGCTTATATTTTTTCAGAAGCCTCTCTGGATTTTTTTATTTACCAATTACTCTTTTCTTTGTTAATATGTAAAAAGAGTTGTTACAACACTATGTATAAGATATATATAAAATTGAAACATTCAAATGATCAAAAACATTAAAGTTGATGTGTGTAAACTAACTCACCACAGGAGACCAGCCTGAGCCACTCTGGTGGACCTGTGTGTAGACAGAGAGAGGAGGAGAACAGAATACTGACTGGTTCTGAAGTATAAAAAAAAAAAACGGATGGAGAGTGAATGTGGTGGAAATAGGATACCCTAACCAGGAGTAATGTATGTCAGAGTACACCTCAAACTTTGCATCCAGATTCCAGATTATTTACTGCTTATTTTTTGCAAATCAGAATAAGTGTGTCATAGTTTTATAGTAAACATATCTGCCCACCTGCTCCCCCTCTAAGCCCATGATTCGAGGGGCAGACGGACCACAGATATCTACATCCAGCAAGGCAACCTGTTAACAAAAGCAAAGACTCGTTAGTCACTGTTGCCAAGTGTATAAGAATCTTATTGAATGCCATCAACAAGCCGTGGTGGCCAGAAATGTAATCTCTAAATGTAAAGACATAGTTTTGGTTGCATGTCTTATTGTGTGGTTGATTTATTGCATTGCATCAGATATGGTTGATACAGCATTTATGGAAAACTAAGGAAGGCAAGACCAAGGTGCAAACTTTGAAAAATTTTCAAATTTAAGATTTTTCATCAGCCTTTGGTGAGAGTGCTGCTTCATTCAACAACTGTTTGCCATGATTTTATTTTAATATTTTTTCATCTTGCTTTCAGGTTACTTTAAATCATAGATCACAGTGGTGGCCAATAAGGTTTTCTCCAGGGGCACTATGACTAAATCCAAAATAGACTTATTTTTAAAAGGCGGCAACAACAGATATTACAGGCATGTACTACATTATGTGAGCATGCATTTGCTAAGTTAAATGAACATTTTCCTCACGGACCCTTGTTTGTTTTTTAGACTTTTTCTTGGAAGTACACTACAGGCCAAAAGTTTGGAAGCAAGGCCATTACAGGCCGAACAGTTGGAAGTAACTTCAAGTTTTTGTTCACAATACTTTTTTAAAAATCCAGCATGAGTTTTATGCATTTTGGGATGTATTTACTCCATGATCAGATGTTGCTTTCATTGAAATGCACCATTTTACTCCATTTACCTTTAGATATACACCACAGGCCAAAAGTTTGGAAGCAAGATCAGATTGTACAAAAAAAAAAAAAATCATAGTTTCATATATATATAATTTGCAACACAATAAACATGACTATTGTGTAAAGAGTAACTTATCAGAAGACATTTTGACTATAATTATTCGGTATTTGAGTTATTGTTGTTTAGACTTTACTTTCTTTAAAGTAACCTCCTCTGGCTTTAACAACAGCTTGGCATATACCAGACATTCATTCCACAATTTTTTGAGGTATGTTCCAGGGATTGCATTCCAAGCTTTCTTAAGTTCATTAAAAGGAGACTGCTGAATCGTGGGGCGCATTTTTCTGAACGATCGATCCAATTAATCCCGCACAAGCTCAGTTGGAGAAAGGTCTGGAGACTGAGGGGGCCAAACCATCTTTGAAAAACACTGTAGGGGACATATAAGTCTAAGATGAGTAGCACGGGGTGCTTGAGTGCGTGTGTGTATTGCAGAGGCGGTGATTCACGTGGGAGTGGGTGGGGCACGTGCAGAAGTGTGTGTTTAAAGGTGTGCACTTGCCTGTGACACAGATGAGAGAGTGGGATGAGGGATGGGTAGTAGCCATAATTTTGGTTGACCGCCACGCGGCTGCTTTGCCACGCTTGTGAGTGCTTCGCTACCGCTACCCACTCATTCATTCATCACCCCTTTATCTGCTTAATCCGCTGATCTTCACGTTTCCATTCATCCATTTTTGCTGCGCTGTGATAACTCTGTGCTGTTTGTTGAGTAAAAGCATCAAAAGCATCTCTGGATCTCAGCCTATCAATCATCATAGCCTCCCGCAGCGCGTCACAAAGTTGCGAACTTAAGGACCCAACCTCATACTTTCTCGGTGGCTAAAAGGTTTGTTTGGAAGCCGCAACAAACACCTTCCTCTTCTTTTTTGTCCAGGTAACCTTGACAGAGCTTGGAGAGTGCTTAGGCTCATTGTCTTGCTGCAAAACAAACTTATGAGCCACAAGTCTGAGTCCAGATGGAACAGCATGGTGCTAGAGGGAGTGGTACTGTTCCTTCTTCATGATACCCTTTACTTCAAACAAATCTCTTACTCTATGACCTGCAAAACATCCCCATACCATGCAACTACCACCTCCATGCTGAATTGTGGGTGTAAATCATGGTGCTTTCAGACGTTCACCAGTTTGTCAGCGGACATAGACTCTTTGAACCAAACAGTGCAAACTTGTTTCTAGTCATCATGAGTCCAATTTTTGTGAGCTTTTTCCCACTCATATCTCTTTTTCTTGTTCTGTGGACGAAGTAGTGTTTTTTTGCAGATACACAACCCTTCAGACCAGCCATTCTCAAATGTCATTTCATGGTTGTCAGAGATATGGGTTTCGACCTTGTCATGTTGATTTCCTCCCTTATTTGTGGTGACATTGCTATGTTTATCCTCTGTTTTTGTAATAAATATCTTTCTCCAGACCTTTCCTCAGTCTTTCCCAGACCTCAGTCTTCAGACCTTTCTCCAACTGAGCTTGTGCGGGATGAATTGGATCAATCGGTCAGAAAAACACGACCCACAAATCAGCAGTCTCCTTTTAATGAACCTAAGAAAGCTTGGAATGCAATCCCTGGAACATACCTTAAAAAAAACTTGTGGAACAAATGTCGGGTATATGCCAAGCTGTTGTTAAAGCCAGAGGAGGTTACTTTAAAGAAAGCAAAGTCTAAGCAACAATAACTCAAATACCTAATAATTATAGTCAAAATGTCTTCTAATAAGTTACTCTTTACACAATAGTCATGTTTATTGTGTTGCAAATTATATATATGAAACTATGATCTTTTTTGTACAAATCTGATCTTGCTTCCAAACTTTTGGCCTGTAGTGTATCTGAAGTCTTTAAAAAGTCTCATCTTTCCCTCTGTTTCATTTAAATGCTCAAGAAAGAAATTCAGTCCTTTAAAATTGTAATTTATGCTTCACCTTCAGTACCATGGTTACTCAAGTTTCACTCCTTCTGACCTGCTATATTTTACATCTATCACCCATGCAAAGACTAATTTATAGATAAAGGTCCAAAAAGCTAGTCAAACACAAACAAACACTTGGCACTAACACATCTGTCTTCGAGGTAATGTAAATGACCCTGAACTTCTGTTAAACCAGTTCTACAGTGACCCCTACTGGCAAAAGAGAGTCTCTAGTCTCTGGCTAAAATAACAGTTCAGACCAAATCTGATCGACAAACTGCATCAGATTTGTTTTCCCAAATCTTCGTTGGTGGATTTGTGGTTTACAACACTGATAGAAAATTTTTACCTCCTTTGTGATGTCACTTGCCAGGGCATGAGCCAGGTGAGCACTAAAGGTGCTCTTCCCCACTCCGCCTTTTCCAGACAACACCAGGATCTTGTGTTTGACGTTTGAAAGTTTTTCTCCTATCTCTGCAATGGCTGGGAACAACACAGGGTGGAGGGGATGATGGGTAGATAAGAGTTGTTGTGGGAAGCAGCAACAGAAGAATTTCCTCTTTTTTCTGCTATAAAGTAATCATTATGCCAAGGTGATGTAACAGCCTTACCAGGGTCTGGGGCCTTGGTGGCTCCAGAAGCACACAGTTTCTGGTTTGGACAGCCCTGACATGGTGATGCCTTTCCTGCCTGCTCACTCTTAGTGCCAGGGCAGTCTGAAAAGAATCATTACAGACAAGTCATCAATGATTCTGCGTTTTTAAAAGCAAATAAAATACTGCATTCGCATTTTCATCCCCCATGACTGGCTGATGAGATATCAATTTAAAACTCTGAATGAACTACAGTGTACATGAAAAGTCTACACACCCCTGTTCAACTGCCAGGTTTTTGTCATGTTAAAAAAAATTAAACCAAGATAAATAATTTCACGTCTTCCACCTTTAATGTGACCTATAACCTGTACAACACAATTGAAAAACAAACAGAAATCTTTCAGGGAGGTGAAGTAAAAATAAACAGCCGAGATCATGTGGTTGCATAAATGTGCACACCCTTTAATAAGTGGGGATGTGGCTGTGGCTGATTTAACCAATAACATTCAAACTCAGGTTAAATTGGAGTCAGCACACACCTGTCACCAATTAAAGTGCCTCTGATCAACCCCAAATAAAGTTCAGCTGTTCTAGTAGGCTTCTCCTGACATTTTTGTAGCCACATCTTCCAGCACAAGCCATGTACCGCAGAGAGCTTCCAAATCATCAGAGGGATCTCATTATTCAAAGAAATCAGTCAGGTGAGGGCTACAAAAAAATTTCTATAAATTTCTAGAATTAACTATCCCATGGAACACTGTTAAGACTGTCATCATCAAGTGGAGAAAATATGGCACAACGGTGTCATAACTAAGAATAGGATGTTCGTCCAAAATTGATGATATGACAAGAAGAAAACTGGTCAGGGAGGCTACCAAGAGGCTGACAGCACTGAAGGCGCTGCAGGAATTCTGATAAGTACTGCCTGTGTAGAACATGTGACAACAATCTCCCACTGTCTTCATATGTCTGGGCTATGGGGAAGGGTAGCAAGACAGAAGCCTTATCTTGCAAAGAAAAACATCAAAGCCCGGCTTGATTTTTGCAAAAAGACATCTGAAATCTCCCAAACGCATGTGGGAAAATGTCTCATGGTCTGATGAAACCAAAGTTGAACTTTAAAGGCCCCACTGCAAAAGGTCTATTTGGCGCAAAATCAACACTGCTCATCACCAAAAGAACACCAGACCCACAGTGAAGCATGGTCGTGGCAGCATCATGCTTTGGGGCTGTTTTTCTTCAGCTGGAACTGGTGCCTTACTCAGTGTGGAGGGAATTATGAACAGTTCCAAATACCAGTCAGTGCTGGCACAAAACCTTCGGCCTTCTGCTAGAAAACTGAAGATGAAGAGGAACTTCATCTTTCAGCACGACAATGACCCAAATCACACATCTAAATCAACAAAAGAATGTCTTCACCGGAATAAGATTGGGACTTTGGAATGGCTCAGCTAGAGGCCAGACCTGAATCCCATTGAACATTTGTGGGGTGATCTGAAGAGGGCTGTGCACAGGAGATGCCCTCGCAATCTGTCAGACTTGGAGCATTTTGCAAAGAATAGTGAGCAAATATTGCCACATCAAGATGTGCCACGCTGATAGACTCCTACCCAAAAAGACTGAGTGCTGTAATAAAAAGCCAAAGGTGCTGCAACAAAGTATTAGTTTAAGGGTGTGCATATTTATGCAACCAGGTTATTTTAACTTTTCTACTTTTTATTTTTCCCCTTAAAGGTTTCAGTTTGTTTTTCAACTGCATTGTACAGGTTATAGGTCACATTAAAGGTGGAAAAAGTTGTGAAAATATTCATCTTGCTGTCATTTTCTTACATCATAATGCTAATAAATAATAGCACACTTGATTTCTGTGGTACTTTTCAAAGTATTTAAAGAAAAGAGTTATATAGTTTGTGAATAAATAAACTCTGTAGACTTGAGAAATACTGCTTCACACAGTCATAGCAATATTTCAATTTAAAGCTAAAATACATTACAAGAAAAAAAGGCTGATGGGTTTGAGTATTTCCCTAAAAGTATAAACTAATAACAAGAGAAATATATTAGGAAGACTATTTTAAAAGCCTAAAATATGATAGATTTGAGATTTCAGGCAGCTTGATGTTGAGGGGTTAGCTTGTGAATCAGACGTGGAGAGTACCCTCATGTTATGTGTGTTGCTCTGTGTAACGGAGCAGTATGTTATCTTTTATTCTCACTGCAGTTTTTTTAACAGAACTGTATGATATCAGTGAACAGATATATGACAATAACTTTTTTTCCTATCTGATTTTGGGGAGAGGGGTACAGGTAAACTAATAACTGCGCCACAACTGCTGCATTCACGTGTTATCGGAAATGTGATATTCATATTGTCACCTAGAAATTTTAATCTTAAATGCTCCAAAGGGCGGACAAACAATTTTGACGACGGAAAAATTTCGGAGTCCTGGTCGACCTTATTGGCATAATATCCTTGTACATCTTTGGGAGAAAGACAAAATTTCTCTTTAATAGTAAAACTGATAAGGACCTCATTGGTCAATGTTAACTGCGGGTTTCTCTGTATACAGGGTTTTTCCTGCGTTCAAAATTGCGTGGCGGCCGCCTCCACCTAATTTTGTGCCGCCCCCGGCCAGAGCGATTGATTTCGCTCAACACAGCGTAAAGCTCCAGCTGTGTTGATTGAGTGTATGATGTCCCTCTGCTGCAGCAACGTATTTTAACTGCAGTTGCAGCGTTGCGCCACTATAGAGGCGCTATATCAACAGCAGTGCACCGGAAAGACCTGAAGCCTCTACCGAAGAAGAAACGGATCGAATTTTTTCAAGTTTTTTTCCCGCTAGTTGGTGCTATCGGCGTCCTGATTTTCCCTGGCGGATGGTACAAACAGGTAAATACTGCTTGTCTTTTTTGCATCCAAGCATGACGTGTTTATTTAAAAAAAAGTTTCCTCCGTTTTTTAGCGTTGCAGATATGACAGGCAAAATCAGCCAGTACTTTAAAAAGCGACCTCGCGAGGAGGAAAGTCAAGAGTCCAGGTGAAACACAGCAGAGAAAAAACGTAATAGGCAGTTAAAATGCTATAATTCATAGTGGTGACAACGTGGAAATTTGTGTCAGGTCTGAAAGTACTTCACAAGGGACTGGTGATCGCGAGGGTCAGAATGCAGGACAGGACGAGTCGGCGAGGCGAGGGTAATTAATTAATTAGTTTCCAATTAGGAGCATAACAACGCAAAGCCAACGTGTACGTGGTTTTTATTCCTCTTTCCAGATTTTCTCAAAAACACAGAGCCAGTGGCTTTGACAAGCAGTGGCTCAATCAATTTACCTGGCTCAGGCATACTGAGGAAGGCATGCACTGCTATTTATGCCAAAAGCACTGTGCCCCAACACAGCAGGCAATTGCTGCCTCCTTAGTGAGACAGCCATCAACCAACTACAGGCTGGACACATTAAAAAGACATGAGGTGATAGCCGTTCACAAAGCAGCAGAAGAGAAGGAGAAATATATTAAAGATGGTAGTACCTAAAAACACTCAACTAATAAATAATAACTAATAATTAATAAAAAATAAATAAAACTAAAAGAACATAGTTTAGATAGTTTAAGAAATAATTAGTTGTCGTTTTTTTTTTTTTAGGGAGGACACTGCAGCGTATACATATATATAATATATGATTGAAAACACTATCACTCTTCATGTCTGTATCAGAATAAAAACAAAAATACTTAATGCATGATGAATTGTTTTGTTTAAGGTGAAGACACCTCTGTGGAACAGACTGAAGGAGAGGCACTTGGATGTCTGTTGTAAGGTGGCTGTTGATGGACCAGACCAGGAGGCCTTGGACTACAAGGAGTGCATGAGGAGGTTCTACAGAATGAAAAAGAGGAGGCTGAAATGTTCTGTCTGGTTGCGAGATGTGTGGATGAAGTGTACTTTCAATTTAAAGTTGCCAGCTGATTTGTGTATGTATATAGTTTTAATAAATGAATGCTTTAACATGATAATGGTCACACTCTTTTTTGAACTCTTAACTTAAAGTATGTTGCCTGTAAAAGAAAGTGAGACAGTTGAATTTACAAATATATGCACGTCATGGCGCATGGTCAGGATGGTGCCACCTCTGCCTCAATTTGAGCCAGGAAAAACCCTGGTATAGTTCCTGAAATTAAAGTAATCTATAATATCGTATTTTATTTGTACAATTTTATTGTTAACGAGACTCAATCCCAGTGTTGGAATAGGACGGAATAAAACGAGAACACTGTTTGGCACCCCACTGTATCCGAGCATCACGTGAGTGTAAGGCATGATTCAGCACATTTTCAGTAAGAAGAGAGTCAGTTCACTGAATATATAAATTCTGTAGACTATATTAACTTTTTATTTCCATTATATCTGTTTAACCAAAATGTAGCAGGTTGTATTTACTCCCATCGTTACAGTGAGCAGCCGAAAGAAACATTTAACAATTGCGTCAGTTCAGTTTGATAGTACAGATAGGGTCTGGTTTCTTCTGAGAGACCTCTGCAGTGTTAAAGAAAGCTACTGTTTAATATTTAAACTAACAAGGTTAAAGAAACGGGATGAAAATGCTAAAAGGTAGCATAAATATCAAAGTTAACACAGCAGAGCTGTGAACAGAGACGTTCTTAACAGAGAAACGTTTTTCAAAACGCCTTACTGAGCGGCTGAAAGGGGGAAATTGCAATGATTTTAAAATTCCTGAACTATTTCATTAAAAAGGTTGAAAAACTCACGCTCAGGTGCATTATCGGGGATGTCTGCCATGTTCGCTACAGTGCGCTGCGTCTTCTTCTTCTTCTTCTTCTTCTTCTTCTTCTTCTACATTTTCTTCCAGACCAGTTGTTGGCGGTTGGCAAATAACGTTATGGTGCATTACCGCCAACAACTGGTCTGGAGTGTGGGTCTGGCTCTTAATAATATTAATGAAAATTAAAAAAATAAATGAAATAAACTAATAATAATAATAGTAATAGTAATAGTAATAATAATAATAATAATAATAATAATAATAATAATAATAATATAATAACAAAATAAATAAATAAAATTCTTTCTATTAACTCTGTCTTCCTTAGGAACCTGATTAATAATCAATATGACTCTTCCCCAGAATTCCTCTGTATCAAATCCTTTAGATTGTATCTCATCTTGATTTTACTTGAATTCCTTATAAGGTTTCTCCTTTCAGCCTCATATTTTGGGCACTGCATCATAACATGTTCTAATGTTTCTTGACTATTGCACTGATCGCATGTTCCATTGTTGTGTTTTCCTATTTTATGTAATGTACTGTTCAGTCTAGTATGTCCAAATCTTATTCTAGATATTCTGGTTTCTTCTTCATGAGTTCTGGTGGTTTTTCTCATTGTCCCTACTTGTCTTTGTATTCCATAAAACCATCTTCCCATTTTCTCCTTATCCCACTGCTCCTGCCATCTTAGTTTGATCGTATGTTTAATTATGTTCTTTACTTCTGTTTTGCCAAATGGCACTATAATATCCATTTGCTGCTTTTCTGTTGCTCTATTAGCGCATTTATCTGCCATTTCATTTCCAACTGCTTCTATATGAGCTGGTATCCATACTAATACTACATCTAACCCTAACATTTGAATCCTAAACAATGTTTGTTTAATTTCTATTATCAAATCTTGTCTGCTGTCTGAATGGTTTTGATCCAAGCTGATTGTTGCTGAACTTCAGTCTGAACCTGTAATTGATCTGAGTGGTCTCACATCTTCTTTCCACTGCAGTGCTACCAGAATTGCTAACATTTCTCCTGTATATACCGATAGTCCGTCCTCAATGTGCTTTACAATGTTGACCTTAAATTCTGGGACAATTACTGAAACACCTACATTGTTTAATATGTTTTTTGATACATCTGTATAAATTTGTATATAACTATAGTATTTCCTTTCAATGTAGTCTTGTATGATCTGTGGCTGTCCTATGATTTCTTTATTTTTGGTTTTCTTCTCCAGTAATGTTCTACCAAAGGATCTGGTAGAAGCCACGGCTGAATTGTTGGTAGTGGTACAGTTGGGCTGATTTTTATTTCATTTATTTCTAGTTCTTTTGTTTCAAGCTCAACTGTCCATCCAAAACTTTTTATCTTTCTTTTCTCCTTTTCCCAGCACAGTTTTAGTACTTCTTGAGTTGGGTGATTCGCCTTATTTCCTTTTCAATTTATCCAACAATAATTCGACAACTGTGTTCTCCTCAATTCTAAGGGCATTTCTCCTATTTCTACTTGAAATGCTGCTGTTGAGTTTGTCCTGATGGCTCCTGTGCATAACCTTAATGCTTGATATTGGATCCTATCTAGTTTTGCCAATGCTGTATTTCTTGAACAGTGTTTACCTATTCTGACCTGAATCTTTCTTCTATCTTAAAAGTCATCTTGAAGACTTAAAACAGGCAACTGGACTGTGTAGAGTTGAGAAGACGTTTTGCCTCATCCAAGAAGCTTCTTCAGTTCTAAAAGTGCTAGTGTCAGGAGCAGATTTTTATCTTACTGGAGAAGGGGGACAGTTAACGACTGGGTGGAGTTGAAAAGAATGGGTCGTAGAAACCCATCTCTGGGTGTGTGTCCCCCCAAGTCGTTAACCTGAAAGGGTCGTTAGCGACTCCTGTCATGTGACCACATGACTCATGCCACCTGGGTCATGTGGTTCCAGGTGTGAATGTTTGTGGAGCTTCCTGGGGAGAGAGCTGAGAACTGCATTGTAAGTGCCAGAGAGATTGTGCCTGAGTCCACCCCCTCTGTTCAGAGAAGGTTTCTCCAGCCTGGTAAAGATGGCTTCTTTAACTCCTCTTTCAAACCATCTGTCTTCTCGAGCCAACACCTGTACATTGCTGTCCTCAAAAGAGTGACCTGTATCCTTCAAGTGAAGGTGGACAGCTGAGTCCTGACCTGAGGAAGTGGCTCTCCTGTGTTGAGCCATGCGCTTGTGAAGCGGTTGTTTAGTTTCCCCAATGTACAGACAGACTGCTCTCCAAGCACTCAAAGAGTCCATCAGAACTTGGTTGGAGGGACAAAACTGACAGCCACACAGACACCAACATGCAAGAAAAGTGGGTGAAGAATTTGTCAGACAGGGTTCTCACTCAGCCGGAAAAGGAAGTCCTTTACAAAGGACTAAATTTTGCAGTTACCCCAGAACAGATCCCGGTGGTAGACCTTATCACAGCCACGGAGTCAGCATGTTGCATGTTGGTGTCTGTGTGGCTGTCAGTTTTGTCCCTCCAACCAAGTTCTGATGGACTCTTTGAGTGCTTGGAGAGCAGTCTGTCTGTACATTGGGGAAACTAAACAACCGCTTCACAAGCGCATGGCTCAACACAGGAGAGCCACTTCCTCAGGTCAGGACTCAGCTGTCCACCTTCACTTGAAGGATACAGGTCACTCTTTTGAGGACAGCAATGTACAGGTGTTGGCTCGAGAAGACAGATGGTTTGAAAGAGGAGTTAAAGAAGCCATCTTTACCAGGCTGGAGAAACCTTCTCTGAACAGAGGGGGTGGACTCAGGCACAATCTCTCTGGCACTTACAATGCAGTTCTCAGCTCTCTCCCCAGGAAGCTCCACAAACATTCACACCTGGAACCACATGACCCAGGTGGCATGAGTCATGTGGTCACATGACAGGAGTCGCTAACGACCCTTTCAGGTTAACGACTTGGGGGGACACACACCCAGAGATGGGTTTCTACGACCCATTCTTTTCAACTCCACCCAGTCGTTAACTGTCCTCCTTCTCCAGTAAGATAAAAATCTGCTCCTGACGCTAGCACTTTTAGAACTGAAGAAGCTTCTTGGATAAGAGGCGAAACGTCTTCTCAACTCTACACAGTCCAGTTGCCTGTTTTAAGTCTTCAAGATAACCATGACCTGGATGAATGAGAATCTACATGGACATATCTTAAAAGTCCTTAATCCAACTATGCATTTGGCCTTTAATCCCCAATTTTGCTAATTTAATTAATAATCCTTACCTCCATAGCATATGCCTTTTCAATGTCAAAAAGTACTGCTACTACACTTTCTTTATTGACCTGAGCTTGGATAAGAGGCGAAAACGTCTTCTCAACTCTACACAGTCCAGTTGCCTGTTTTAAGTCTTCAAGATAACCATGACCTGGATGAATGAGAATCTACATGGACATATCTTAAAAGTCCTTAATCCAACTATGCATTTGGCCTTTAATCCCCAACTTTGCTAATTTAGTTAATAATCCTTACCTCCATAGCATATGCCTTTTCAATGTCAAAAAGTACTGCTACTACACTTTCTTTATTGACCTGAGCTTTCCTTATTTCATGTTCTAGACATAGTGCTGGGTCAATTGTATATTACTGCCTCTTCTGAATCCACTTTGTATTGCTGAAATATATCCATTATTTTCCATATAATATGTTAATCATGTATTGATCATTTTTTCCATTATATTAAATACATTTGATGTTAGTGCAACTGGTCTGTAGTTTTCTAGTTTTGTCCTGACTTTCCATGGTTTGCCTATTGGTATCACTACAGCCTCTTTACAGTTTTTTGGAATAATCGAATAGAATGTCCTTAAATGAATCACTTAAACAGTTGAGCATGTTATAACAAATCTGATGTTTTCCTGGAGCAGACACCTTTGTTTTCATAAGAGCTTGGTTTAATTATGCTTTTGTAAATGACAAGTTTAATACATCGCTTGTTCCAACCTCCTGTTGCACCCGATCTACATTTTCAGATAATGTCTTCTCCCTTCCTCTTTGTCCCTCTTCTGTAGTGTGGCAGGTTCGTTGTGAGGACCTAGAAGCAGACACTAGCCACGTTTACATGCAGACTTTTTTCTCATTCGGATTATAATCATTCCGATTGAAGCTCCCAGGCGAACTGTTTACATGGAAGCGATCTATTCTGATCTGGTGTTTACATGTGCCACGGCATTCAATCGGAACAGCTATTTACAGACACGTGATACCTTCAAACATCACGTGATTGATTGATCACGTGATCTCCGACGCAGACCAGTGCATCGTGCTCTGCTTGGAAGCCGCCATCATGTTTCCATGTGAGTCATACGTCACTGCTTGTTTACATCAGGACAGAGCATCCGCAGACAGAACCCAGCCTGACAACTTTCCGATTCACCGTTTACATGACAGGATTTTGCTTTTAATCGGAATGGGAAAAGGAATATTCTACCCCTGTGAATCGGAATAAAATTCCATTCGGAATGGGCCTGTTTATTCCGAATGAGGTGTTTATATGGAGCATTTTCATTCCGATTGGGCTTCTAATCCGATTATATTCGGAATATTTGGCTCCATGTAAACGTAGCTTATGAGACTGAGACCACTTAAAGAGAATTTTAATGTCCAAACAGAAGGGGTAGATAATGCAACAGAGGATGTCCGGTAGGCTGGCTGTCGTGTGGGCTGTAGACACTGCAGGAAAAACCAGAGGAGATGGAAGTTATTGTACATGCACAGAATCACGAGGAGCAAAGTTTTGATGATTATACAAACGAGGTTGGCCAGGAGACGCGTTGTTACCGCTAGGAGGGTAGACAATACTCAGGCGCTGAGACTGAGGGCTGCAGGCTTCTTAAAGTGCCTTGATTGGAGCTGTGGAGCAGGTTTGTAGTCTCAGTCAGTCTCAGCGCCGGGGGAGGGGAGGAAGCCCTGGAAAAGAGTAAAGCCAAACCAGGCAAACAGGGAAACAAAGGAAGTCCAGCCAAAATAAAACAAGATGAGGAGGCGTCTCACCACATCTTCACTGATATTACTGATGCTATGTACATTAACAAAAGTCTTGGCCAGTACTTCTGCTTTATCTTCCTCTGTTGCCGCATTCTTCTCATTAACCTTTAGTACCGGATATCCAAATTCCCTTTTCATTCCATTCATTCTTTTTATCATTCCCGATACTTTCTCAGTTTCTGTATCTCTCCCTACTGAACAACAAAACTTCCTCCAAAAAAGCTTCTTTGTATTTTTAATTGTTCTTCTCTCCTTCACCTGTAACTTTTTAGATTCAAAAGGTTCTGGAAGTTATGTGTTCTTTTTAATATTTTAAATGCTTTATTCCAGGATTTAATTACATTTTCACATTCTTTAGTCCACCATAGCACTATTTTCTTTCTCTTTCCTCCTCTCTTCTTTGGTATTGATTGATTTGCCGCAACTAAAATTGCCTCACATACTGCACAGTTATATTCTTCTATGTCCTTTTTTTTTTTTTAACCTTCCTCATTTCTTCATCACTAATCTGCTTGTTTTTTTCCCAGTTGGCCCCACTGAACACCCATCTTTCTTGACCCCCCGTATCATATTCCTCTAAACTTAACCCTATTCTCGTAACTATTGGATAGTGATCACTACCTTCTGTTGATTCTTTCATAATTTCCCATTCGCATAAACCTGCTATTTTGTCTGATACAAAGGTGAGATCAATTGCTGCTTCTGACCCATATCGAAGATCAATTCTTGTCCCTTTTCCATTGTTTATGCATATGAGATTTTTGTTTTCCATTACCTCTTCTACTACCTCCCCATTTCCATCATTATAGTTACCCCATACTGTGCTATGAGCATTAAAATCTCCACAGTAAATAACAATGTCCTTCCATTAAAGTCTTCCCCCTTCAAGGTTCCGGATCTTCGTTTGACAAATTTTCTCATTTTTATTTCATATACTTTTTAAGGTCATTAACTTCATCTCAGTCGTAAGACTGAGTTAAAAGTTAGAGCAGACCGATAATAAAAATAATAATTAAAAAATTGTGAACAATTTCATTTGCTCCCCACTTTTTTTCTTTGGTTGCATAATATGGTCATTAAGTTGATGCACGGGCCTAAATCTAGCTCTGAATCAATAATGAAGGTGGGCTGGTAGAAACTCAGAGGGATCAACCTGGGCATGATAGATTGCTGAGAGATAACTTCAGAGAGAGTTTTTCATACCTCGGAGTGCCACAGTGGAGTATTTATATGGAGGCACAAGTAATGAGAGAGGTGTCATGAGTTCCTCCCCAAGTTTTTAGTATTTAATGCCAAAATCCTTGAATTTTAATTAGGTTAAATTATCAATAGATATTTCAAATAAGTGGTAGGAAAGTCATTAAGCACAACTTACCAGGGTATTTACTGGAGGCTGCCTAACTGTACCACATAGGGGTGCTGTTGATCAGAGAAGGTGAGAGACATGTATGCACACAAGCAAAGTAAATGGAGTTTGGGCTTGCGTCTTATTTTTTTAACTATAATTAGAAACTGTTGCTAAATGGAGGAAAAATCATACGTTTTAATGCAATCTCATTTCTTTTAACTGTGCTCTACTCTGAAATGTTATCCTTACTGATACCTTCATGGTAAAGTGGCATGAGAGTACATGACACATTTGAAGGGGAGTGGGTTAGCAGTCATTCAGTAGGGCCATAAAGTTGAAGTTGAATACTATCTGAGGGTGGCTATAAAACAGTTAACAGTTTTTACAGCTCAAAAACTACAGAACCAATTGAGCAGACCATTTCCTCTCCTCTTTCCTTTTTTTAATTCTGGATAACGAAGCAGGGAGTGAGCAAAGGAAAAGGTAATTGAAGGTTTTTTTATTTCATTTTTTGTTTTAATGACAAAAAAGTGTCAAGTGTGCAGACACTGTGATTTGTCTTATATGTCTCCCTATCCATTTCATGGTTGCGTCATTGTCTTTGAGAATATTTATGTGTTTTTAAGAGTAAGTTTGTGTATCAACGTGTCCCCGTGCGTGTGTTGTGTGTGCACCTCCCCCCTCCCCCTGTTGTTTGCCCTGTAGAGGGTGTGTAACATGATATCTCTCAGTGTTTATCCATCCTTCACTAACTGACAAACTTATTCACACCAGGCTTCATTTGCTGCTCGCTACAGCTCCCACATGGGCTATAGGGGAGAATATCTTTATCACTTGGCTACAAGACATCATAGTATAAGTTTTATCTGTTTCTGGAAACTGACATGGTAAAAGAAGTCCAGAAACAAAACTTAAAAAAAATCACCCAGTTTCAGTAGAAATTACCCTGAAGTGTCATGGCTGCAATGCCTCATCGTGAATTTGAAGATTTGGTTGATTATGAATGGAGGAGAGGTTGCAAAGTGCTAAACAGTGAGTAAAGCCCTGGAGTGACCATCAATCGGAGAAAATCTCATGAGGCGGGTAAAAGGACATCAAAAGAAAGACAGGGCCAGACGTTGAGGCAGACATGAACAAAGTGAGCAGGGGAGAGATAGGGAGCAAAGACAGGGTTGTCATTAGCAATGTAATTCATTCCTTGAGGCTACATGAAAGCTAAGACAGAGAGGAACAATAGCTCAGGTGGAGACCACAGTTTGAAGGGCTAGCTTTTTAAAACTGTCTCCCTGTGCCTCTAAAACCCTTTTAGTATTAAAAAGGTTTCCATGGAGCCATGAGAACAAATCACGGATGGTATTTACAAGTCATAGTTTATGCCATTTGTAGGCTATTGATAATACTTGTACAGATAATAGTGTTCAACAAGTGTACAAGCACTCATTGTATCACAGTACTCACAGAAATAAGTATGATGGAAAAAATAATCGAAGGCGGCAGACTCAGTCCTGTGAAAGTAGAAGTGCTGTAGCAGCAAAGAGCCACAGAAGAAAGCAGAACAAGCATCAGCACATTAGATACTGGTAAAATCAGATACTTCTTCAGTAGGAGGAGCTGGGGTGGAGGTGGAAGGAAATGCAGTTTGTACAGGAAACATCAAGAGAAGGTTTGACACTTGTTTTGACATCAAAGTGGATCTATAAAAACTAATCAGCTGAGCTGTGCTGGTTTACAAGGAGTGGATGTATAATGGGCTTAGCTTGATTTCTGCCTGAACTAACACCAATGCCAGCTAACAAAAGCTGGAACTTAGAGATTGGAGATGGAAATGTCGTCCTGCTACATTTTAGATCAAAATATTAAGTTGTGGAACAATAAGCATTACCTGTTGACTTAACTAAATAATAAGTAAAGCAGCAAACTTTGGTCTTTTTATAGAGAAAGAGGGCAACCCTTGGTTATATCATGAACAGCTACTGATTTGTTTTTGTGAAAACACATGCGGCTCATCTGGGCGATTTCGCCATCTATCAAATCTTTGTACACAGAGTTCAGGAGGCTGAATCCTCCGTTAACATGTCAGACACAATCTGTCCATTCAGCTCGTCATGATTGCACACGCACACACACACACACACACACACACACACACACACACACACACACACACACACACACACACACACACACACACACACACACACAGACTTAACTATCAGACTTGGGTAATGGATCCGAGCTTCTCAGCAAAAACAGTGGAGCCATGCAGTCATGACACAGTGAACAATACCAGCTCTTCAAAATCACACTTTTCCTATTAGGACTGGCAAAGGGAGTTTTATGTAAGTATGTGTGTGGCAGGGCAGACATGTCACTTCAACTGAAGAGGAAAGAGGAAGTTAGTCATGGAAAAAGATGGGTGTGATCTGGATGCACTGTTGCTAACAGAAGAAGTGAAAAATAATGTACAACCGGAAACAAAGGACTTCATCTCATTTACTGACGATCTGAAAATGTCTGTCTCTTGCACAGCATGAATACAATCCAAACAAATATGAAATGTCTGATTGGAAAGATGCGTAGCTGGATTTGTTCTAACTTATTATATTTTCACTTTTATTTTCATTCCCTGACCAGGCTCTGATCTGATGCTACATTTACAAACATCATTGTCCCTTTGGATGAACAACAGCACGGCTTTTTTGTGGGTGTATTATGATTTAATATGTTGTCAAAATATGAATGCTGTAGTATTTTTCATGTTGAAATTTGCATTCTTTTTGTCTAACCTCCTTACTAAATGCTTTAAAACCTTCTGGTTGCAGTTGTAATCATTTTTCTGTCTGTCCAAAGGAGCAAGTCTGGTGACATTATAAAGGAGCCATCCAAGGGTCAAAGGGCCTTGGAGGTGAAGGGACAAAAAAGAAGAAACACCTGAAAATGGAGAGCTTCCCATTTGAATGATTTAATGAGGGTGAGGACAGCAATTGTCTGTGTGACATCCATTCGAGTTCAAAACCAGCTCACAACTTCAGTTCTGCCCCCTGATTATCTCAGGGATTTTAACTGTTTGAGGGTTCATAACTCTCTTTGATGAAATCACTTAAAATCTGACACAATCTAGAGAGCAGCCCCAGCTCCTTATCCAAAAACAACAAATCATAGTCAGAAATTTGGGCGTTAACTCAACTGAAACTTTACTCTTTCCTTTTCCTTTTCACTTGAAGCCCTCAAAGTATTTTATTTTTTTAACTTGTTTACTCAATGCCCATATCTGTATCTACACTTCATCAAGCCATGGTTTAACTGTACCCTGCCTAATATTCACTATCTTAGCGTCCCTATGTACGGCTGTTAGCGTGTGTGTGTGTTTGTGTGTGTGCATGTGTGTGTATGTGGCTATAGGGGAGACTGTGTATGTGACCTTTTTGTTTTTAAATGGACTGTAAAGCACTTTGTGTTACCATCCTTTGTATGAAAAGTGCTTTATAAATAAAGTTTGATTTGATTTGATAGCGTGACTAAACCAAGTACAGTATATAAACATGCTGAGAGTTGATTTGGGTTGTTCAGCTGTTGGGTCATTTTGTTGTGATGATTTTGTTTGCTGTCTTGATTTTATTGTATGGTTTTTGTGTAAATTTGTCTGTATTTTTCTCTGTATTTTTTATGTGTTTAGGGTCCTTGCTTATTGTTATTTGTATTCATGCTTGCATGTAAAAGCACTTTACAAACCCTTGTTTAAAGGTGCAATTGAAATAAAACCATCATCATTGTTATACTAACATCAAGTGTCATCCCCCCCCCCCCCCCAAAGATAGATACTGTCGGTTAAATACCAAACATTTTTCATTTGTGGCTACGGTGGTCTTAGGAAATTGAGTTAAAGCCAGGGATGCCTCCCGGTCTGAAACACTGCGGTCAAAGAAGAACAAGTTAATCTAACAGGTTGAATTCTTCTTCCACTTTTCTCCTCCACCATTTCTTTCCCTCAGATGCACCCCTCCTCCCTCCATTCCTCCTCTTTCCTCCCTCTCTTATGAAATTCTCAGCTGCTGGGTCATGTTAGGTCATCCCTTTAGAGTCTAATTTAGATGTTTTAACTGCACCTTGTTGGGCAACACTCCAGCATCTGGTGTGAGTTTGAAGAATGACAAGGATTTTGGCATTAGTCTTGACATGAAATTTTGCTGAACTGGCAAAATGTTGCCTGATCTAAGTGGAACTCATTGTAAACTGTGTGTTTTCAGTTTTATTTCATGACCAAGGCAAGAATATCTCACTAAGTCTCAACTTTGCTCACATCCCTAGCTGGTGTCCACAAAGTTCATCAAATTAACTGTCAAACTTATTTGTAGTAGTTGTCTTTAAATGCCCTATAAAAAAAGAAATCAAATAAACATGTCAAATGCAATACATCGATGATACTGTGCAGTATAACTGAGCAATAGGCCACATATGTGTAGACAAGGAATTTAAGATTTTTCCGGCAGTTATTCTGGTCGTGCTGCAGCCAAAGGAATCCCAGACATCCACTCTGTCTTCATGCCTCAAACCTTCAGCCTAAACTCACCAGCCCACAGCTCAAACCACTGACAGCCCCTCCACCCAACACCTTCTGCTACTGCACCCGAAACGACCTCATAACTCCTCCTCAGTCTGTCGCAATGGCTGATAAATGTGGCGTAACAACTACACCACTTGGCAGAATCCTGGTTTGTTCAAACTTTGCATTCATTCAGTATGTCAAAAAAAGGCGATAATAAAATCCTCCTGATTGCTCTAGAGTTGTGCTAAAGCAGAGGACACTAAAATGTCTCTGTGTGAATGTGAAATGGTGTTTAATGTAGGGATGCCCTGTCTTGACCTGCCAAAAACCTTCACACTTCAAATGCTCTCTATCACAGACTGCGCAGTCTGGAGAGGTCAGAGGTCACTTCAGAAGGGGATGCCATGTGTCTGTGCCCCTGTGCTCTCTTCCAGCTGTCCCAACTGGCAGCATAACCCCAGAATAGCCATTCTTATCTCTCTGTCTGGGTTTGTTTTGTGTTTGTGTGTCAGAACAAGACAGTTGGTGAGCGTTTGTGATGACAACTTGAATATCTTTGTTTCAAGGAAGAGGAGCCGGTCATGTGGCGAAGTGTTTATCTAAAGGAAGGAAGGAAGATTAGTGAGGCTAGTGTCCTATTTTTGGTAACGCAACATTAGATAGAGGGGTTGTGCTCTGTACATATACACAGTTATTTTAGACCACGCTACATTTCCTGCTATAGAAATAATTGATGTCCGCACATGAAAGATTAGTTTGACATAAACAAATAAAAATTCTTATGGTTTGATCACATGTATAACAGAAGGTCGAGTTGGCGTTTTAACCTAAACCTCAATCAAAATGTTCAGAATATCTTACAGACTAGACTGTAGGGGCTTTGAAGAGCATCTGATCCGAACACGTGTACACGTGCATGTGTGTATTTTGAGGGTGTGTTGTATAGGTGTGCCTTCGTTAAATGTAATCATTAGCTATAACAGAAAGGGCTGATAAATCATGACATTTGTGTAAATTACAGACCTTTAATGGCTGCTTTCTTTTCATACTTGTGCCAGAACTCATTTCCTTGTTGACTTGTGGAGTTGAAGTGGCTCTGCCCTCTTTGTGTTTGTGTTTTCATGGGACAAACCCTGATATTGCTGCGCTCCCACCCTGAATCTTACAGTCATTTTCAGCTTCTTGTCCTTTCCATTTAGAGTTTGCAGCAAAATTTCAGGATGCCTCTTTTGGCTTTCACTGTCTCTATGCTATTGTTTCATGTGGCCAGGTGCTTAAACAAATGATTGGACCTCTGAGAATGCAAATCTCATGGAAAGCAGTGTGTGTCAGTGTGACTACATGTGAGACCTTTCATCCTCATCAGACTGGTTTGGTTACACATATGCATACACACAAGCACACTTTTGGTTTAGCTGAGGTTTGAGAATGTAGTAATGGTTCAGAGCAGCTACAATACACACGCACACGCACACGCACACGCACACACACACACACACACACACACACACACACACACACACACACACACACACACACACAGATGCCACATTAAGTTACTTCCAAATATCTTTTCAGCTATTTCTTTTATTTTCCATGTCTGTCTTCAAACAGTCGACAAAGCAGAACCACTCAAACGTATCCTGGTTTTTAATGAGCACGAATCTGTCATCAATTTAATATTATATCACTAACCATAAAAGAGATATCGATCTTAATGGGTTTTCTTACCTGTTTAAATAAAGGTTAAATTTAAAAATTAAGTTATTTTTACCATGTAGCTGTTTGACCAAAAGGAGAAAATGTGGCATAGCAAGTCTTTTTTTAAAATGTATTATTACTCAGTTTATCGTAAAAATCACTTATTTTAGACACACATCTTAATCACTATGATATAAAATGCTTTCCAACAAGTCTTAACACAGCAAGATAGAGGAAGCTAATTTACATATATGTTTTAGCTTGACAAAATAAGGCAAGATGACTCATCACACAATATGTGACACTATGAAATAATATAACACTTTACAATACAATATGATGCTATCTAGTACTGTTTAGTAGATAATGATTTGGTATATGACACACCAACATGACGCTACTGGGAGGATAAAATAAGATAATATTTAATATGACATAATTTGTGACATGGTTGGGATACAATACAGTGCGACATAATACAAAACAATACCTTGTTATTGTTTCATCATTTATGTTACCTTATGATATAATACTATACGATACAGTGTGATATGATACACTGTGACACGTCACATTATGACAGACATATTACAACATGTATAGCCCATCAGTCTTTGATGAATCCCTGACCCTGACCCTAACCCTAACCCAAAACACAAAATATTACAATACAGTATGATACAACAACATAAGATATGATACAATATGATACGATACAATAAGATATTATTTGCTATGGCGCAGTACATTATGGTTTTAACTCATAGATCACAATTCTATATTACAATACAGTACACCCAATTATGTTATGTTTTGTTATGAAATGTCTCTTTACCTTAGGTTACTTTACATTACAATTTGACACATTGTGATGCAATACATTGTGATATGATACAATGAGGTATGATACGATATGAAATTTTAGCATACAATATGATATGAAACAATATGATTGCTATAAGATGCGATATAATATAATATGATATGATATGATATGATTAGATTAGATTTGATACAATACCATTTGATAGGACAGTGTAAGAAACCAAGCAATCAGTCAAAGACATAGATCTGAAAAAAGATCTCCTTCCTTTAATTTAATTTGGAAAAGAAGAAATCAATAATAAAATATTCAACTTAATATGGTAGAAATTATGCGAAATCTGGGCCCAAACTAAAAGTGGTCGACCAAGGAAAAAAGAACCCAGAAAAGACAAGTTACAACCTAACAACATAATCCAAATGGACATAAGTGAGACATGTCAGGAGTTTAAATAGACAAAGGACAAGTCCAACATAAACACAAGGGGGAAACTAAGGTGACCACAAAATAAATCTCTCACAAACTCAGAAAAACACAATCACATTATCAAAACATTCTATTAACAGGGGAAAAAATAGTCTTTTCAAACTGAAAAGTATACAGACAAAAGTTTTATGACGAATTAAAAGTCCAAACTTCTCCTTGCTTCCCCCCCCGATGGTCTCTCCCACTTCCTGTGGGTAGGGCTTGGGAGGCCATCTTAAAGCAGCTGACAGCTTTTTGTCAGGTGAGCTCAGACAAACAAAAAGGTAAGTATTACTTTGAAATGACATCATAAACTCAAATTAAATCATGGTATAGGGAATTAAACCATATGACAGGTTGTTAACTAAATTGTGTGCACCCAAATGAAAAAAAAAAAAACAACTGCCATTAATGCAATAAAAATGACTGTATTTCAACAAGGAGGTTTGTAATTTGATTTTTCCAGACTGAAAACAAAACTTGTGTTAAAACCATAGACTGTATATAGAATGGACAGCATCTGCCTTCTCAATGGGTGAAGCCACTCCAAGAACAGCACCCTCTGGCAACAAGCTGCGGTATAGGTCATAAATCTCACCTCCGCCAGTAAAGCTTATGGGGCTGTGGACAAACTTTAGAAATTAATTACACAGAACATAACTTGTTTTCCCCCTTGATTGTGATGTTGACATGTAGTTATTGTAAGACTGGTTCGTGCTCAAGTCCTCTTTTTTCTGTGCAGCTCCATTTTTAAAAGTTATTAGGGGGTTCAAGTTTTCTATGATTGACACTTGATACACTGTTTGAGCCGAGTGTCATCACAGCGACTCTTGGCGACTCTCCCACCGCATGCGTACAATGCTACTGCGCAAGTGGTGGAGTGCGTACAACTCTACTGCACAATGTTGGTTTCAGGAAGTGGAGAAAAAACACAGAATTACCAAGAGCTTTTTGGCTTCAAATCCATATACTGGCGGAAGGCGGAAACAAGTTGTCCATAGTCTATACAGTCTATAGTTAAAACCCTATTATAAGTTAACAATAACTATCATGAGCTAAGATACAATGACTTATAATAGGATAGCATACATTACAATGTATTTTACAATTTTTGCACAGTTCAAGACAATAGGACCCAAACAAGGTAACTGGATAAAAAAGGTCAAAGATATTAAAACATCAGTTTGAAATCAGGTCACACACTATAAACAGCAAAGACAAGTTAGTTTTATCTTGGTAATGTGACAGTGTAGAGATTGAAATAATATCTGAACTACAAGCATTATTGAATTGGACTTATATGGTGGCACTTATGTGGTCACTCCCATTTGCATAAATATTTCAAATCATAAAAAATACAGTTGAAAAATAACACAGCCTTGCAGTGTTTATGGAAAACTGGCATATATAAAATTGTTTTTTTATATGCCAGCATTAACGCTGACGGAGCACCTCCTCCATCTACTCATAGGAGAAGATGGGGGGAGGAGAAAATTGTTTGACTGCCAGCATTGTTAACAACTTTCTGACAGCTCACTTTCTCTATTTTTCTTCTCTCCATCCTCCCATACTCTCCTTTCAGGTTTCTTTTCCCGACAGTATTATTGCCTTTACCCAATAGTGTCTAATATTTTATGTTATTGTGTGTGCTTTTTTATCCTTGGTTTTAGGAGTTGCAGGCTACTATACAGCAAGCATGGACGCTCTAACACACAGACATGTGCTGTGAGAAACAGGAACAGAGGTGGGGGTTTGCTTCCTGCAGGGCTTGTGTGTATGTGTGTGTGTGTTTTTTTGTGCATGTCTGTATTTGCCTGGCATGCACCCGGGTGCTAGAAGTACCAAAGAAAGATTAAAGGAAAGGAAGACGTTGGTCACATAAGAGGTGCAATTGTTGTTAGAAGAAGATAACGTACAGGGTAAGGCAATGCAGGCTAAAGGTACAGCTGGTATGATGTTTCTGGAAAATAAATGTAAAAAGCAGGACAAGAAAAATTTTTACATTTATAATGGATTTACCACAACAAATGCAGTCACATTACAACACTACAGAAGAAAATGTTAAAGCCTTTATGCAGGGAACCACAAATGATCATGCATTATTTCACTGCAGTACAGTCAAGAACATCAGCATGCAATTTTCTTAAACAAATAATAAAAACTATTTGTTGTTGTTTCATGTGTTGTTTGACAGATTAACAAGCTGTAGACAATGTTACACAATCTAACCAGTTGGATGAAATCACAGTACAGATGGGTTATCTAGCAAAGTATGGAAATATATACATATATACGTACATGACCCATAACAACCGGAGGTGAAAAATGCATAGAAACTAGCAAGGGATGTTGGGGCACGTGAAAAGGACATCCACCAAATCGAGGAAATGTACAGAAGAGAAACAACCACCAAGCAACAGCAGGAAAATTTTAAATGGTTTGGTATTACAGTGGTCAAATCTGTTAGTTCCTTGTTATTCATAACAGGGAAGTTAAGAGTTTAACTTATAATGTTCAGTTTGAAGATAAAACTTTGAGTCTCAATGACTACTCTTAGAAGAAAAAGTTTTCAAAGATTCTGAAAATGCTGTAAATGTATAGGAATCTCAAGCCTTGGGAATAATGCCAACCTAAAGAGGCTTGTCTACATAACAGCAGCATTTTTCAGAGTTATCTGCTGCTGAAACTGTCTACAAAACTTGTTCCTTTGATCTAAACTGTCTTTTTAAATACTTTCCCCCCAGCATTGGTAATGTTTGATGTGTTCATGTAGTAGTTCATGTTGAAGCAGTTGGACCTCTTCCACATTTTATTACACAAGACTCTGCCTCTGGGCAACTTGTTCCAGAAGCTGATCATGTCCAGAACAATCTGTTTCACACGGTTTGCAGAGCTTACCTTCTGTTTGAAATGAAAAGTTTTTTTTTTTGTTTTTTTTTTTACAAATCATGGAACTTTAGATGATATCAATCCCTGAAAATGTACCCCAGCCTAACATTATTTTATAGGGTTATACTCAGAGTATGTGTGTATTTGCACTTTTTTTTTTTAGGAGTAAAGGCATTCCAGTTAAAGTCCTTTGTGGGAGGTTGAGCACTCACTCACTTACATTTTTAATTTCCTTGAGGGAACCTCCCTTAAAGGACCAATAATGTCTATCTAATCCAGTCCATTTCTGTTGTTGTTGTGGTTTCCAAATATTCATTCAGAACAGTACATCATAGGGGTAAATGATATGTGTCAGCAGTGATATACACTGTGTTTGGCAACATGTTTACCTGCTGGACACCTGACACCTACTAAAGAGGTTTAACCTGTTTCCCACCACCAGTGTGTTTTGAATAGAGCAGTAGCACTGAAGGTCAATTGCCTCAGGAGCTGAGGATGATGGGATGCATTGTTGTTTAAACAGGTACTTGCTGTGGGCTTAAATCTGGGTGTGTGCGCAGTGATGTCTTGTTTAAATGAACAACAAAAGAGCAAAATATCACACACTTCAGATATAACCCTGAAGTTCCTTTTTTCTATGGGGACATTCAAAAAAAAAAAAAAAAGAAACTGATTTGGGTTTTTGTTTGGACTTATATTAGTATATTACTAAACATATAGATGTGATTTTAAAGTAGACAAACAGTCCTTGAGAAGTGTTGTTTAGTGACTGTGTGTGCATGCTGTCAACAGGCAAGAATTTAAGGAATAAACTGAATTTGAATGAAAGAGGGTCAATTGTTGAACTGATGTAATGCAGTGTCTTCAGCTCATGTATTCATTCCAACACATTTAGCGAGTGTGTGTATAATAATGCATATGTCATTCACTTAATCTATTCAATGTGTAAGAATGTGTGCACACAGCATGTACACAAATGTGAACTTGTGCACACAATCGTGGAGAGCTTTGTGGTCTAATGAGAATTTTTGTTCATGGTAACCAGCAACAGGCACTGGGTGTCCAAAGGCCTTTGCAATAACTATTAATAGTCAAGACAAGTCTGTTTTATTTATGTAGCACTTTACACACAACACAGTTGATTCAATGTGCTTTACGGCAAGCACACAGAGGAAAACAGCAGAGGAAGGGTATTCATAATCCTGTTCCTCTTCCTCTCATAATGGTGATAAAGCAATAGAACTAGTTTGGGGCATTGAAAAGCTTAAGAGTATAAATGAGTTTTAGGACGACTTTTTAGAATCTCAACAGTGGCAGAGAGTCGGATGGTGGGGGGGTAAAAGAGAGTTCTGCAGTTTTAAGGCACAGATCGAAAAGGTCCTGTCCCCTTAGCTCTTAGGGGCCTTTCTCACCCTAAGTCTGCTTAGAAGGTCCAGATCAGGGACCAAATGTTTACATTGTTGCATTTTGCATTTGGTCCGGTTAGCATTCACATGGGACTTTTGCTAAGCAAAGCAAATGGTTAAAAAAAGAGGGAAAATTACAGGGGAAAATCACTGTCTGTCACCTGCTCATTTGGGGCACAATCTTCATTGTCCCACAACGCACAGAGAGTAGCCAACCAGAGAGAACAATGGGTGTTTTGCTTCCCGCAGTTCACCAGAGGTGGCAGAGACGTTGTGCGAGGAGATGCCAGGCATTAATGCAAAGGAATGCCTATAACACATTGTCAGCGTGTTTTTTGAACAGGAGAACACCCATGTATGTATTCAATATTTATCACCCGACTACGCAAAACACTAACCCTTTGCCATTTGTCCAGTTTTACGGACAGTCCGGTGTTCTGGCCGGCTGTTCTTCATCTGCTTCGATCTGGCCAGGCATAATTTCCTGGCTTTGTTACAGCGTAAATGTGTTATTGGTTTGTGTTGACATAGAAAAAGTCCGGCTGCATCAGCGCTGCGTTCACACCCGCCACAGACCAGACAATGGTTCATTCGGAAGGGCACAGAGTCCGACGTTTTCAAGAAGACCATGGTCCGAGGTTCGCTTGCGCATTCATACCACCCGGACCAAAGGAGTAAGCGGACCATCGTCCTTTTAGAGCGAATCAAACAGTCCTGGTGTGATTGCGTCCTAAGTCCTCGATCTCTGGACAGACCAGACATTTTGATTAGATGACCTAAGTTCTCTGACAGTGTGATACGGGTAGAGGAGTTCTGTGAGTAATGAAGAAGCCAGACCATTTAATGCCTTAAAAACACATAGGATTTTAAATTGATCTGTAGCTGATGGGCCACCAGTGTAGGGAGGCAAGACTTGAAGCTATGTGGTCTCTCTTTTTGGTCCTGGTCAGAATTCTGTTTGCTATATTTTGGACTATTTGAAGATGTGATGAAGATGACTGTGCACACTAAAAATGCTGGGTTAAGGTTAAATGTCAGTGGAGTCTGCTGGATATAAAGATTGAAATATAAAAGGTTCCTTACTTTTTCTTTTCTATATCTAAAAAGTCACAATATCCAAAAATTTAGCCCATGTTGAGAAGTACTAGTCTTCCTCTTAAAAACAGATCAAAGTTAAGTTTATTTCTTTATGAAGATTGATTTTTAAAAGTCTTTAAAAAACCTGTAATAACCCCAATATCAAATTTTTTACCCCATTTGAAACACGTCAACTGTAAAAATGGAAGATTTGGTAATGGAAATCATACAAATAAGCAATAACATTTGGATGAATTTTATTTTCCTAAAATAGCTTAAGTGTACAGCATACAATAACTGTGCTAACAACCTAGCAAAATTCAACAAGGGTAACAACTTGTCATCCACAGAAGTAGGAGTCCGAACGAAGATAACCACCGTCTTTAGTTGTCCTTAAAGGTCAAAACCAGCTGACCTTGCAGCTGGGTTGATGCAGGAGAGTATGACTGTGACTTGCTCTACCCAACAGCTGCCCAACTCCCTGAAAATAACCGAGATAAATGACCCAACAGGCTAAACCTAGCATCTGAGTTGAAAAAATAACCCAGAATTTTTTTAAGTGTGTTTCAGTTGGACTCTAATGTTGATATATACTTGCTTGTGTTTTAATCAATCATTGTTAAGTGCATGCAGGTCATTGAAAATCTGTCAAAAGCGAATCAAGTGTGGGTTCCACACAGTTATCAGAGAAAATGATCATTCTTTGATTCCTTGTTAAATTTCCCTTTGGAGAAAAATAAAGTTCTAAATGGAAAGTTATCCTCATGTTTGTGGAAATGGTGCTGAAACTGGCCTTTTCTTGAATGTTTCTGAGCGTAGAGAATGGCTGACTTTAGTTTAAAAGAGCACGTCACTAAGCTAAGCTTTGGTAGGATTTATTTACAAAAAAGAGGGGTGACAATCCACACTGGTAAAATACACAATCAAAATCTGGGGGATCCATGCTTGTTAAACACCTGTTTATTTGGTATTTGAAAAAAATCTGTGTTCCAACCATAAACTGCATATACTACAGATAACTTGGTTCTGCCTTCCACCTGTATATGGGTTTGAAGTAGATAAACTCGCGGTATTTCCATGCTTATTTTCCACTTCTTGAAACCAACATTTCGCAGTAGTGTTGTACACACTCCACCACTTGCGCAGTGGCACTGTACACATTTGGCGGGAGAGCCACAGAAAGTTGCTATGATGACGCTCTGCTCAAACAGCTTATCATCCGGGTGAGCTTCGCAATCTTTGTACGCCCATAGGCTGTATCAAGTGTCAATCATAACAATCACAAACCCCCTAATAATTTGTATAAATAATGGAGCTTCAAAGAAAAAAAGAGGACTTGAGCACAAACCAGTCATACAGTAACTACATGTCAACATCGCAAGCAGGGGGTGAAACATTTATATTCTGTGTAATAAAGTTCTAAAATTTGTCCACAGCTCCATAAGGATGGCTAGAGGAGGGGGGATTTTTGACCTAGACTTCAGCCCGTCACCAGAGGGTGCTGTTCTCAGGGTGGCTTCACCCAGCGAGGAGGCAGACAGCGTCCATTCTATATACAGTCTATGGTTCCAACATAGACATGGCTGAAATAAATCAAACAACACTATTTGCAAAGTAAGGATACACAGTAATTGCTACAAAAATGTCCTCTTCTACAGGCTAACTTCCCCTCTGATTACAGCGTATTGCATGTTGCTGCTATACAAGCGCTCTCTTACAGTCATTTAATATAATTACAGTCTTCAATGTCAAATATTGTTTTGATGTTGTACTGGTGTTTTCGAGACTTCTAGCACATAAAAGTTGGAAAACTGACAAAAGTGTGTGATTCAGTATTTTTTTATACCAGTAGGTATAAGGTTATAAGTTATAAAATTTAGAAACTGTTTACACCAGACTGCTTCAGCTAAAGCGATGACTTCAGTCCTGTTTTGTAGCCAGCTGAGAGAATACAAAGAATTATGTCCATACCATGTCTTAACAATATCCTCTTTATTACCTTGTGCCCGTCCCAACTATTTGTCTTCTCATGACCCCACAAAGGAATACCATCCTGTCACGCTAGCAACATTGGACCACTGACTAAAGGACACAAAGAACCTGGTATGGAGTAGGAATGTAAACCTAGCATGGTATAGAACTGGTTGAACAGTTGATTTTTTAGTTATCAGCTCTTTGGGATAGTTGGGGCAGAGTTGTTTGCAGTCTCAGCCCCAAAGCTGGCACTCCTTTAGTGCTAGGTGTGACATTGTGTATTCACAGCATTTTTATCTTTTTTTTCTATAAATGAATGGCTGACCAACACCTTTAAAACATAGTTTTCAGCCAAGCAATATGTTGTATAATACCCCCCCCCCCTCACGCTTGATATAGTGAAGAGAAAATGCATAGTGTTGGGGCCTGTTGTAAGTCTCAAGCAATAAATTGTATAAATTACATGACACAAATAATTTTGTGTTTTTTTAAAATTTATCTGTTTTTACAATATCTTAATGTTTTAAAAAAGTTTTTTTCCCCATATTTCCGAGATAGTTTTTGGTTCATGTTATTTATTTATCTGAAATATTATCTTATGTTTGTGTGAAACATTTGTATTTTGTAAAATGTTTTTGTGTTTTGTAAAATATTTGTTAAATTTAATAAAATGAAATGAAATGTTTTGTCTTTCAAGAAGTTTTTTGTTGCCTTCCTGAAAATTTTGTGCCCCTGACCTTCAGGGCCACCATACAAATGCTCCTGAGCTTTCATAGAAATAGAGAAGTTACAGAAACTCACACAGACTCACAAATAGAAAACACTTAATCACCTAAAAGCACCAACATCTGCCCATGCCTTTCAGTATTTTTTCCATTGCTCAAATCTTTCCCTTCCTGACATTTCATCCCCTTTTATCTTTTTAATTTCCTTTTCCTCCCTCTCTGTCTAACTCTGCTTTCTTTTATCCTTTGTGAGGAAACTTTCAAACTTCCTCTCCTCTCTCACCCTTAATGACTTCCTTACACACACTCTTCCCGCCTTGCTGTAAACTTTTGTTACCGATCTCCTCGAGTGTCACTGCTCTCCGTACCCGCGCGCGAACACATATAAACTCACACAAGCGCGCAACGTATTAAATCCCAAACCACACCCAGCTGCATCGTTCGAGCCCTCCCTCGCGCGCTCGCGACGACACAACAAGCGTTACTTCTGGGGGGAGGTCTGGTGACACCGACTGCCCTTCTGTCCGATTTGAAAGCTGTTTCCTCGCAATATTTCTTTTAAAGTTATCACTCGCATGTTCCTCCTCTGTCACTGACACACAGTCACATCTTCAACTTCTCTGCATTGCTTTACTCTCAGTCCAAAACTCGGTGAGTAAACTTTGTTTTTCCAGTTTGCATGTTGTTTGAATACAGCTCCATACTTACTTTGTTGTTGTTGAAATCGATTCAAATCCTTTATGGTTGTGATGTTTCATATAATGTTGACCTAAAATGTTTGGGATCAGTTTTTTGCTCAGCTGTCTTAATTTATTGTCATCTGACTTTGGTTACCCAAAGTTAAAATACAGCTATGATATAAAATAAGTGCCCTGGCTGTATTTTAGCATATTGCTACTTTAAAGCTCATTTATTTCATTATTCATAGTATTCAAGGACATTAGTTTTAGTAACACTTTGGTTGTGTTTCGTTCTAGTGGAGTTATGATTTAACACATAACTGGGCTTCTGTATAAATGAAACCTACGCTACTAGTTTAATACTTTGAAGGTGGGGGGAGGTTTTTGTCATTGTGTGCCTGTGTCACTGTAAATGTGTTTGGGTTTGAATGCAGTGAATGTGCAGGGGGAAGATAAACCCACTTAACCACTTTTGATGAACACTTGAAATGTGTGCATTTGAGTCCGATCTAAGTACAAGATGCATCCTTTGTTGCAGCTCTTTCACTAAAATGAAGGTTTGTTGTCTGTGCCAGAATGAATTTAAGGAAGCTTTTGCTGAGTTTTGTAGTTTGCATAGTTAGTTTTTGCATGCACTCATCCTATATTAGCTAAAATTCTCTATGATAATAAGTGAAATCCATTTGCCTTTTTAAGACATAAGTACAAATGCAAAAGTTTTAAACAGACATAAAAAGGTTTAACTTACCCCTTTACTGTGAGCAGGCAGCATGGCTTGTCATTGTCTGGCTTTTAGTGACTGGCCTATTGTTTAGTTTCTAGATTGCCATAAAATTATCCTATTATCACAGGAAATGTGCTTTGTTAGTTTGAGAAAATGCGAGAAATTAATTCTTGCCATTTTAAAGAGAAAACCAGCTGTGTTATCCTGTAATACATTTGAGGAAATTTGTCATTATCACAGGGAAACAGTTTAAAAAATATGCAAGGATGCTTGTCGTCTTGGGGCTTTCATACCTTTCCCCATAGTTTATTGAATTTTAACTGTGATTGGGCCAGCACTGTGGTCAACCATTCATAACATGATTGAAATGTGGTTTTGCTGAGGCAGCTTATTGCTCCTGTGTTTCCTTGGCGCCCTCTCGTGGTTGAAAAAAAAAAAAAAAACGTTTTTTATTTTTCCATGCTTTGAAGAGATTTTCAGGGCCTTGTTGCAGACTGACACCAATCCTTTTGAGACAATTTTTGCAGGCAGTCAGACAAAGCATGCAGACTGAGGAATGCTGTGCCATCGTGGCCGTGGCTATGATCTGGAAGTTAAATGTTGAGTGAAAGAGGACGCAGAGAGGAAAAAGGAAGAGATAAATTAAAAAAGACAAAGTGATTGTGGAGCTTGATTTTGGGCACTTTCAAATTTCAGTTGGAAAGTGATTTTGAAAATGAAAGATTGTTTAGCTCAGCAATACATGTTAGCAAGCTTCCTCTGGGTGCCAGCTGTTTAGATCTGCAGGGGGAGAAATGCATTCATTTTGTTATGTTTTGCACAAAATCAAATGTTATGACATGACTTGCCAACATAAAATGACTTCTAGGCTGCTGTTACTTGTACTTGTTACAGAGAAATTAAAGAATAAAGTTTGGCAGCTAAATGAACGCATGCATGGGTGGTCAAACTTGGAGCATATAACTTAGCAGCTTTCAAGAATGCACAGCCATGTGGCAGAATTTATGGCCTTCCACTGCAGCTTGATAAATGCACTGGCCAAATTCTCCTAAGCTGAAGTCAGTGCTACTCTGGCCAAAAAGGGCAAATGCACTACAACAGCCAAAATGTTTGAGATTAGAAGAAAGAAAATGCATTACAAATAGAGAATCGGTGTTAAGTACAACCACATAGACCACAGAAAAACAAAACAGAACAAAAAGATTAACACTTCAGGCTCTATAGGAATGCTGATGGAAGCCGCTTGATTTGGACACAGAACAAATGAGGGCTATAATTTGGGTCACTCTTTACCATTACAAACCTTACAGTTTCTTCAGGGTTTAAAAAGTGTCTATGTTGTTGGCTTTGCCTATTTTCTCTCACTCACTGTTTCAGGTGTGATGTGACACTTTAAAAGTTTAAATGGCAGGAGAGTGCTTGAGCTATTTAGGAGTATTTTTAGTTTCACTGGATGCAGAAAAAAGAGCAAGGTGTGTAATATTTGATAGGATTAGTCCAGGTGTCAGCCTGCAGTGAAAGTGCTGACAGATGAAGACTATCAGTGTGAAGAGACTAAGAATTAAGGTAGAGTCTCCACCAGGTGTTCCACTACATTTATTTGCCATGTGGGAGTCATTTTTCAGTGCTGTCACTGCAGGAATGTGTGTGAAAATGTACCATCACACACTTAGGCACATGCACACCCAAAAACCATGTTTAGTGTCCAACATGAAAGAATTCCTGTCCCAGGGGGTAGTCTTTAAACCCAGCGGGAAAACAACTTTATGCATCTGTTATTTTTTAAGGTTGAAGATTCCTAAAGCAGAACACACAGAAACACACACTGTTCCACTCTTCAGCATCAGTGTGGGCCTTATTGTACAGAAAAATGTCTGCCATTTGAATGCCTCATTCTCTCCTGGTATTTAACAAAACTGAACTCAGCTTCATTATTTATTTCAAAGTCAGTCAGTCTGCTTGATTTTGAATTTTGCAGGAGGACATGTAGATTTTGCTGTTATTGTGTAAATCAACAAAATGTCAAGTTGTTATGCTAAGGTTGCCAGTCTCATGACCCGATGAGAAATTCTGCTTGTAATGACCTTTTTGTTTTCAGTTTGGGATGTGAATGAATCATTTGTTTATGCTCATAACTCAAATTCCAGGCATCAAATTTCAAGTTGAAATGTCCTTTACTAATGTCAGAAAGATGGTCCACTCTTCTCTTATTTTGGGACAAGAGAGTGAAATATTCATCAAGTGTCAGATTGGTGGATTTTAGAATTTGGATAGGTCAAATGTAGCATGTTTGTACTCAGGTATTTCAGACTTTGGGCTCTATTTTTGTGTCCGCCTGGGACGCGGTGGAGGGTGGCGCAGTGACATTTTCGTGCTCGCCATCGGCGTGTAAAGCTGGCCAGCTTTCAGCGCAGGCGGAGTGTAGCTCGTCTAGTGGTATTTTGGTATTTTGGTAGACCGGCGGTGTATCGGCTTACGTCACCGATGCCTCACCGGCAGGTTTCCACAGTGTCAGGCACATTTCAGTGCAATAAATAATCATCAACAACTAATAATCTGAGTCAGTATACATTTAGATCTATATATTCTGATCTATTTCTGATCCAATGAGCGCGTTTGGCATGCGTTTGGATACTCAGCCTGACCGAATTACCACAGCTGAAACTGCATTAAATTAAATTAAATATCTAGTAAATAAACACACATGATGAAGTGAACAAGATATGTAATTCATCTCCCTCCTTTTCTTTCTTCCTCTTCCTCTTATTTCTCGCACAGCTGGACATGTCTCCGTGTCCTCTCCCAATCCTGCTGCAGCTGGGTCATTCCATGTCAATTCAACCAAGAATCTCCACTCACGTCACAGATTTTGATGAAATTTGGTGAAGTGATTGGCCTTCAGGAGAAACTGTCAGAGTAAGGAACGATGGTTCCCCAGTCGTCTAGGTCTTCTGGCTTTCAGTACATGCAAATCTTTGAGAAAGAGCATATCAGGAGAACTACAATAAATAGCAACTATTCCAAAATATACTAGAAGAAGTTGGTCAAGAGGAGAGCAAAGGTGCCATGGAAGGACTGTAAAATAATTTCTCTTGAGTATGGTATCATCCAATACTTGCTCACGGGAATCCAGATTTTATGATTCACTCTTGATCAATTTCCTTGAAACAGTAATATGGTAGATGAAGTGCCAGCTCATTCTTGTAGCTTACCCGATTTGCCTCTGCTCTATAGTGCATCAAGAAATTGAGACTCAGGGCAACAGAGCACCATTATTTACTACTCAAGAGAAATTATTTTACAGTCCTTACATGGCTCCTTAGCTCTCCTCTTGCACAACTTCTTCTAGTATATTTTGGAATGGTTGCTATTTATTTACTGTAGCTCTCCTGATATGCTCTTTCTCAAAGATTTGCATGTACTGAAAGCCAGAAGACCTAGACGACTGGGGAACCATCGTTCCTTACACTGACGCTATCAAACTCTTTGTAGTTCATACATTCTTTCCTATTTGGAAACAAACTTAGCATGGTGATCAAGCTTTGTGCAGCTTTTTGATATTGTTAAAGTACTTTTGAAGTATAAAGGAAACGTTGAAAGGGCTCAGGATAAATAGCCTGGAATACTTCACAGCGAAACCAGCAACAAAATTTCAGGGTGCATAGGTAGAAGTTATTTGTCAACCCTAGGATCCAGGACATGCAGGTATGTCCAAATGATTCTCCCATGAAGCTAAGATCATTCATATTCTGGATATAGGTGCAAATAGAAATGAAATGCGATGGAAAACTGAGCAAAAATAAGCTATTCTAGCCATTTTTTATATAGATATGGGATATAATACAAATGAAAACACTCAAAAAAGGCATTTTGTACTATGATGAAGTAATATTTTACACAAGCAGGCAAGTAGGGCTGACTCCAGATGAGGTCAGGACTGTATAATGTGCCAAATAGGGCGATTTTCGACCTAACGTACCACACATTTTGACTGATTACTCAAAAAGTTATGGAATGGCCATCCTGAAACTTGCAGGGATGCTAGTGGACATGATAGTCTTTCTTAAGTGTGAATATGAAGAAAATTGAAGGGCGCACGTTTTTTGCTATTTCCAATTTAAGTTTTTGGTCTTTTATAATTTTTTTCTGGTTGAGAAAAAATGTTATGGAACAGCGACACTTGTTGAGGGGTTGCATTCTGTCGCCATCGTGTGGCATTGCTGTCTTCAGCCATCTCTTGATCTCTTTGACTACATCACGAAAATAGTAATACGCCTCGCCGGGGGCGGATTTAAAGGCGAGGAGAGGAGCTCATGTTATTAATCAATACAGGTCTCAGCTGTGTTAAGCCTACTCCATGCCCTCTCTCCTCCCTCGCTACGACTTACGCCGCTGGGAGGAGCTGAGTTAGGGAGGGGGGATACTTATGCCGGGCTGTGCTGCTTACCAAAATACCAAATTATGCTTGGGAATCCCTTGTCGGCGCGGAGGACCTGACTTGTGCCGCGCATGCGCCACATCTCCGGCGAAGCACAAAAATAGAGCCCTTTGTGTTAAGTATTTACAGTATATCCATTCAACTTTGCAAGCTAATGATCTGTATTACAAGTTATTCTAAAAAGCTTAGACGGGAGAAGCAAGGGTGTTTGATCAGGGGTGGGCAAAATACTGATATGGTCATGTTATTTCATATCCCCTAACTACCCTGTGATTCTCACCCCTATTTTGACAATGTAGAGGTAAACAGGCAAGGCTAAAAGTAAAAAAAAATTATCCAAGTGAGGAGAACAAAATGCTTTTTTGGTCTAGGCTTTAAAGAGACAAGCACACAGACATGTATGCCTGATATCTGAACTAGAAATGTGAACTACTGTTGAACCAAGGCTGTAAAAGCCCACATCTGGTTATCTTAGAGCATGAGGAGTGAGCAGTAGACTTGTGTCAGTACCTTTCATGCGCTTGTGCTGACAACTTCATGAGGCTGCTTTGTCTCAGAGTGAATTGGCTGTCACTTCTTGTTTGAAAAAGTCCTGTTTGTAAATCAAAAATGTAAAGGGAGTGTAGCTGGAAGGACATTCTTGTTGTATTGATTATTCTGTCCCTTAGTTAAATATCTTTTGTACAAACTGTATGCCTGTGTGCGTGTGTCCAGAGATTTGTGTATGCTCTTTCTAAACAAAGCTTTGTTTGGACACTGGCTTTATTCCAGGAAGATGTGCCTTTGTGTTGTCTCTAAAAATAAACCTAAGCGTGGCTCCTGTTGTTGTGTACACAGATGTACTCGCACACAGGTTTACTTAGGTCATACCTGGGGATTTACAAGGACCTCCAATGATTCCTGTAGGACTCACACTAATTTGAACCGCTCCCAAAATCTCTCTATTTTTTTTTCTGATTTTGAACATAGCTTTTGTCCCGAATCAGACAAACTGTCTACAAGATCCTTGGTCTTTTATCTGTCTCAAATGTCTGTACAAAGTTGCTTCCTTTACAGTGATGATCAGGGTTCTTGGTTAATCTTAGATATAATTTGATTTCGCACCAAATTATACAATAAATAAATAAATATAAATAAAATTCTGTACAAAAACATTGCAGTTCATTATTTTCGGTACTCAGCGTTCATTAGGGGTCCTTCCCATTTCGTATCGATTCTGCACTATGAACTATTTTTAGTTTTTAGTACCCCATTCAGAAGAATTTTTTTAGCTTCTGCTTCAGAGTAGGTACCCTGGCTCCCAGCTCAAGACTTACAAGACTTGGAGTGACAGTGAAGGTAAGTTGAACACCAGAGCCAATTTAGGACCACCGACTGCCAGTTTTAAATCCCACTTTAAACCTTTGTAAAATAACTGTAACAGTAGCTAAAAGCTCTTAAAATCTTTAAGAAACTGACGTCAACACTGGCAGGTGGAATGACAATGAAGTCCATGCTTTTCTGAGTCTTTGTGGTTTTGAGTTAGTGAGTGTAGTGTTATAATCTTTGAAAGTATTTTCAACCAGCACACTCACCTGGTAGTCCACCACACAGCAACACAGCACTTTGTGCAGCAGTCCACTGGTGGACACCTCTGTAGCGGGCAAGTAACCCCCACCGTGGCATCCTCCATAGTTTCTGTTGTGTTGCACAAGGGACATTGCTACAGCAATTATGTTACATCCGGCTCACATCACTTAAAGGTTCATATCAGCCATCACTATGGTGGTGCTAATGCAAATTAAAAAAGTTTCAATAGTGTCTAGTTCTTAGGAAAATTCCCTAGTGGTTGGTGCCTTTTGGAAAAGTCTTCAAAACTGATGGTACAAGATTACATAGTGTGAAGTTGAGTTCATGGAGGTTGAAAAACAGTCATCACAAAACATTAGTCTGAGTAAAGGTTTAAGTAACAAGCCTTCATCTCGAGCTGTCAACTTCTTACATTACGAGCGATGATTGACCCGCAAAAAAATTTTTTAAAAAAGAACCTTGTACAGAAGCTGCCAAAAGAGAGAAGGGTAAGAGAGACTCGTTGCCCAGGCATGAATAGTAATCTGCAGGGTATTTATTTGTATATTTTATTTAATTAACATCTAGGTGCCAAAGTTATGGGTACTCATAGTGTTTTGGCTTCTAGAATGTCCCAAGCCTCGAGGCGCAGATAGCGTTCGTACGCGGCTGACAACCATCGGCCCATGGCTTTGAGGGTGGACACAGGAGCCGTCATAGCTGCGGTTGTAGCTGCACCTATGCGGAATGAATGAGCCGTGTAGCGACCTGGAGGATGTGTGAAGGGCGATCAGCTGAGCTGTCATCTGACTGAGGGCTGGCTTAAGATCAGCTGACTCTAACCTTTAGCTTGACTGTAACCTTCGTGTCTTGCCTGAACTACGACTTTGCTTAATTTCAGTCAGGAATTCTTTAGGTAGAATTAATTATTTATTACTAGCAAACATTTTTTTTTAACATTGGCGGTATGGCTCTGTTCTGAGAGTTCCCTGCTCTTTCATGTGCTCGCATGGAATCCCAAAGCTAAGAGTGGGAATGCCCTCCCCTCCCTTTCATGTGCATATACGAAAAGCCAAGGCAGAAAAAGCAGCAGCGAATAAATAAAATTAAGGTAAATTAGGATCCCCCAAAACGACCATACCGGACAACCTTTCATGTGCTACATTAAAGCCGAGGCAGGGGGAGCAGCGGCAAAAAAAATTAATAGTCCCCCAGAACAACCATACCAGGCAACCCTCCCGGGCTTTCATGAGCTACATGAAAGCACCTACAGGGGAGGGAGGGCAGCCAGCAGCAAGGAACTATGAAGCAACCTACCCACCTCTAAAGCTCGCATAGTATTGGTTACCCTCACAACATGATCATGGATCAGGATTAGTTTAATCCATACACACATTTATAATTGGGAATATCCTTAAGAATACAATAGATATGGGACAAAATTATGGAGCAGCAGCTTTTTTTTAAGCACTCGTAGCTAATTGAGCATAGGAATATTCTTTAGCCTCGGGCCTGAGGTATCATTCAAAGGTCGAGAGCATCGAGACAGGGACAATGGAAGATGTAGTTGTAGCTGCGCCTATGCATGGTGAATGCGTAGAGTTGTACTCGGGTAGGAGCCAGCAGGATTGGCAGAGCAGGCAGAGGTGAGCAGAAAACCACGATCTGGATATAGGTTTCCCCTTACTCAATGGCAAAGAGAGACTCTTGCTGTCTGGCCAGTGGCTGGCCTCTCAGGCAGCGGGACATGGAGGATAAAGAACAAAGACAGAATTAGTTCGAGAAATATAAAAAGGTGCGAGATTCCAAACAGTGGACTATTAAAGCACATACAATGGATATATTTAGGGCGTTGGAGCTACAGAGAAGGTGGTACAAAGGAGGTAAAGTGAGACCATGCAGAATCGTATAAACTTTAATGCTGATTTTGCTTAACCAGCTCTCATGTAGCTGGCAGCAGAGAGCACCTAGATTTGCAAGGTCTGAAGTCTGAATGAATGGCTTCACGAACAGCGGTTGGGATGCTTTGCCAGTGCCTTCCCCAGCTCAGGGACATTTGACAGAGTAGCCAGCTTTATTCTCTTTACTGTTTTACCAGGTGGGTGCATCTTGGGCATGTTGATTTCAGATGTCCGTCCCTGGAGTAACTTGGCTTCTCCGAGTAGTAGGCTTAGAGAGGCTTGGGTGGTTGGCCTGTAGCCACAGTTTTAGGGCTCAGATCAGAGGTGTGGGCAGGGGTGAAGGTAGGATAAGGTTCCTCCAGGTACTTTACCCGTAGACTTTGTACAAGAGGAGCACACCCAAGTTAAACGAGGTGCTGACTCCGATGCCACAGTATCATCATCTGCTGTATTGCTCTCTCTTGAACATAAAATCAATTTTTTTCTCTGCATTTTGTCTTATTTCTGCATTAAGATTGAAGCAGCTGACTTTAAAAGTTCCCTCCTTCTGCAAAAGGTGGGAGGTGGGCCCCATCACCTAGGCAACCAGCATCCAATCAAAAGTGCTCACTGAGTGCTCCCACTTCTGGAGTTTATTTGGAAGCAAATACAACTCACTCTCAAGTAGCATGGTCCTATTGGATTACTACAGTTATAACGCAGATTGCAGACTGATGTGCGGCAACACACTAAGCCAAAATACATGGCAGGGGTAAAAACTTTAAACTGTTGATTATGTCTTCCCAAAACAGCTGCGTAATGGCTCACTTTCACCTCTGGGTGAGGGAAAGACCCACAGATTGAGCAGGAAAAGCTTGATGCTCAGTGAAATGTCTACTGATTAGAGCCAGGTCGACTACAGACAAATCAAGTCTGGTTGAATCTTTGAATGTACTTAGCAGCTTTGCTGAAAATGATTTGTGATGTTCCTAGAATAATGATCCTCCATAAGTCATGGCTGAATCAGAAATAATGGCGCGATATGTGTCCAGTTCAGTTCTGGGTGCTGAAAACACTTCACGTATGACATCTCCAAATACGCCGAAAGCTATGAATTAAGCTAAGGTCGGAGATTTAAACAGCCGGGCATCACGATATTCAAGCATCACAGACTCATCCCCGCAATCCATAATGCGTCTATTGTTGTAGTCAGAGCACAGCAAGATTAATGTCAGTACCTGCAAGGATTTGGCTCCGCGGATTAGGGGCTCTATTTTGGTGCCTCGCCGAAGACGTGCTGCAAGCGCAGCGTCAATCAGATCCGCCGCGCTGACAAGGCATTCCCAAGCACATTTTAGTATTTTGGTGAGCCGCGAAGCCCGGCGTAAGTATCCCCCCTCCCTAACTCAGCTCCTCCCGGCAGCATAAATCATAGACGGGGAGGAGAGAGGGCGTATAGGAGGTTTAACACAGCCAAGACCTGTTTTCACCAATCACATAAGCTCCTCTCCTTGTCTTTAAATCCGCCACCGGCGAGGCGTAATACTATTTTCATGAAGTAGTCAAAGAGATCAAGAGATGTCTGAAGACAGTTATGCCACACGATGGCGACAGAGGGCAGCTGCTCAACAAGTGTCCTCCACACTCTCTCATCTGAGCACAGATGGATTTGGTGTGCGTAATGTTGGACCCACTGGTAAGACAAACACCCTTTTCCACAAAAAAGACACTCACATAAAGTTGCATATATTCAAACCTCACGTGACAAAGGTGGGTTTAGCGCACAGATCACAACATAAACTCCAAAAATGGCATTAAAATCGGAACCATCTGTGCGTAAATGACGCATCGCGCTCCGTGGCCTGGCTCTTTCTTTCATAGATGTTGGCAATATAAAATAAATTTGGCCCACAAAACTGAATATTATAATATCCGTATGTCGGCTTAAAGTAGATCACGCATCTGAGCACTGAAACAAATCATCTGTTCAGCCGCAGCAGCTGCAGCAAGACGGACAGAGGACACGGAGACGTGTCCAGGTCGAGCTGTGCGAGAAATAAGAGGAAGAAAGAAAAGGAGGGAGACACATTACATATCTTGTTAACTTCATCGTGTGTTTATTTACTAGATATTTAATTTAATTTGATGCAGTTTCAGCTGTATTGATTCGGTCAGGTTGTGTGCCCAAACGCGTGCCAAACGCGCTCATCAGATCAGATATAGATCAGAATATATCGATATAGATCTAAATGTATGTGCTGACTCAGATTAATAGTTGATGATGATTATTTATTGCACTGAAATCTGCCTGACACTGTGGAAACCTGCCGGTGAGGCATCGGTGACGTGTGTTGATACGCCGCCGGTCTACCAAAATACTACTAGACCAGCTGCGTTCCGCCTTGCGCTGAAAGCTGACCAGGTTTGAATCGGCGAGCTTTCAGCGCACGTTACACGCCGGTGGCGAGCACGAAAATGTCACTGCGCCAGCTGATTCTGTCAACAACTCCCCCTGCCACGCCACCACGCCCAGCTTGGCGGATCTCGGCTCGCCTCCGTGCGACTCAGTCCACGAAAATACCAAACTCGCCTTACACCGGGCTCCGCCAGACGAAAATACAACTGCGCGGGGCTCGCCGCCCTCCGCCGCCTCACCGGTGCGAACGAAAATAGAGCCCTAGGTGTAATTGAAGCCGCAGGAGGGAAGAATGGGACACCGGTGGAGACTGGGACTGCACTTCTCAGGGTCCTTCGCGGGATGGTGACACCGTCGTCGGTTGTCGCTGGAGTGATGTCATGAATGCAGGTGACAGCTGGGATGAAGGAAGACAGCCGAGCACGTGCCGAACCGATCCTTGAAGACATGTGGGTGAACGATGGCTGGATGCTGGATAGTGCTTTTGGGATGGGATTGTCACCCAGGTCCGCGGGTTTGATAGCTGAGGTTGAGCCTTGAGCTTTGCTGGCGACAGCGATGATGTGGCGGCTGAAGCTGGAACTGTCGTGACGCTGTGGGAACAGTGTTTGCTTTTCTCGGTCGCTTTTCTGGATACAGAGAAGGAAGAGAGAACTGCAAGTGGAGGATCTATGTGGATATTTTACATAAACAAGGGGAAAGCTCTTGATGTGAGGCACCATCTGGAGCTGTGATGTTATTTTTCAATGACTTCCAGGAGCCTGTACTCTGGCCGTTCATTGAAGCTGGAGAAGTTTTACTTGCCAGAGGAGAGCTCCCGCTGAAGACAATGCAGCTGTCATCGCAAGGGCTGTCTTCCTCAATTTCTCATTGCTGATGTTGCGTTTCAGAAAAGCATTCATTCTGCCATGGATCCTCATTGTGGGCAGCAATCGACATGATGAAGAGCAAGGTAGGAAAAAGCAAAAATGCAGATCTGAGTGTTCTTAAACGTGGGAGCGTGCAGAGCGGTTGCAGCAGCTTGCTGGTTAGCTGTTGAAGCAGAGGAAGAGGCTGGGTTATTGCAGTTTTAAATAAGGCGCTCTATAGGCATAGGACCAATAGGAGGTTTTCACTTGACTTCACTTCCGTGTTACGCAGCACACACGCAATACAGATGGAGGGCAGGAAGTGAGTTGCTGCTGTAAAGACCAGCAATGTGCCGATGTTTTGCTCTGTTTACGGCTGCTCGAATTGATCGAACAGGGAAAAAAAACAAGCGCTTTGATCGTGTGCCCAAAGTAGTGTTACACAAAGGGGAAAGATATAAGAAGCTGACTGAAAAAAGCCGGAAAAAAATGGCTTTTTAATCTCCGCCTACGGCAGTGTTTGTGTGCAGTGACCACTTTGTCAAAGGTAATGACTTATTTTCAGCCCGTAGTTGAATTCTTTCATTTCGAAGTTGAGTCGTGTCAAACTGTGTAGGGAGGGGGGTGCGGAGCGGCCGGATACGCCAGGAGCGCCCCAGAGCTCCAGAGGGGGTGGACGGAGAAAAGAGGGAAGAGCCCAGTGCCGAATCCCGTGGACGGTGTGAGGCCGGTAGCGGCCCCCGTTGCTGGGAATGGTATTCTCAGAGGCGGGTTGTTTGGGAATGCAGCCCAAAGCGGGTGGTGAACTCCATCTAAGGCTAAATACCAGCACGCATCTCCTCCATTGCAGTCCGTCGCTTCCTGCCCTCCATTTGGTCTTCGCGCGAAGTCAGGATCACATGACTGAAAACCTCCTATAGGAGTTAGGAGTGAATCAGCTGACTATAGTCTGGTTGAGGTGGCTACTAGCCATTGGCTGCGGATCAGCGCTTGACATCGTGTCCTGACAGAACTAATGCTATGCTTCATTTATGAAAAAATTTGACACAGTTTTGATCCCACTTGTCATTGAAGTGCATGAACTTGACCTGTATTATTTATGGTGAAAATAAACACTAATATTCAGTCCCAGAGGTTGCATCACTTGAAATGGTGCTTTGAGTTTTCCACATAATAAAAGGAAGGCTATGGTGAGCCTCAGGACTTCAAAGATAGAGTTTTTAAGAGGAAATATTGCATTTTGAATCTTTAGTCCACAACCACAATAGGGGTCAGGACTCCGCTGGAACCCTTTTTGGCATTTAATCTTTCCCTCCATCATTTTTTCCATGGCCAAAGCTGAAAGAGGAAATGATGGAGAGAAAGAGAGTGGGACAGTGAGAGAGACAGGGGGAGTAAGATTCAGAGGCCCAGTTAAGTCTGTGGCTTTGTGTTTCATGAAGAGTGAAAAAAGCACATTAGAAGTCAGCACTTTCCACCAGGCAACGGAATGAGTGAACACACACACACACCTCTCCTCCTGCAGTACCCCAGCCTCACATTATAAGGCTGAGTGGAGAGGAGGAATGGCAGCATCTGTGTCTGAGTGTCAGTGAATGTGTCAGGCGAGGTGGCTGCAGTCAGATAGAATCTATAAGCCACAAATAAATACTGTTGTTAGACTTTTTCTCCTTTTTCTCCTCATTTATACAGAAAATCCACTTAGTCATGTCAGAGTCTCTGACAAGTCAAGTATTTTATTGTATATTGATGTATGATTTTAGTTATGTACAGCGTCTTTGAGTCTGTGAAAAGCGCTTAACAAATAAAATGTATTATTATTATTATTAAGTCAGACCCAAAGGAAAATGATGATAGATGAATTACAACAGACTTATAACAGGGTGAGTGTCTTATAGCTATTGCTCAGTAAACCACAAAGAAACTCCTTTTTACCATCCCTTGAATATTGACCTTGTGAGTAGAGTATAGTCAACAACTGCAGTTTGCTTATTAATGACCCGGGTGATAAATGATGATATAGGATTATCAGTTATTGCATGATGAGGACTGCTGGTCACCTCTAAAGAAGGGGATGTGGAAATGATTAGTGATATGCATACCAGACAAGCAGGACTAATGTATACAGCATGGGATGTGTGTCTGCAGCTGTTGGCCTGGAGTCAGAGGCAAGGACCAACATTTCCCCCCACATTTCAGTCACACTCAGAAAGTAAAGCGTAACATGGACAACTGAACAAGGTTAAGTGCTCAAGGAGTTATTTTTCCAAGCATTAGTTTACCTGGTTCACCATGGACCCCTTCAAATGTCCTTTTGAAATTCATGAAAATGATCAAGTATTTTGACATAAATGTCAAATACAACAGATACCAACATATTGTGTCACATTTGGTTATTTTAAAAGACATTGTATCAAAAGGTTCTTTTGAGTAACCTGCTCAAGTTGAATTTACTTTTATTGCAAGAAAATAATCCAATTGCAGAATGTGAGAGATAATCCAATTTTATAAACAATACAGTATAAAATATAAAGTTTGTTGAGTTTGTCATCCACCCATGCAAAAGTTTAAATTTCATGCTTTGTTGTTTGACGTTATGAGTGCTTGATAAGACACAGTGTAATACTACCTGAAATTAAATGAGGTGATATGGACAAATACCCAGCCTTCATAATAACAATACAATTTGATATGTTACAAAACAATTATTTTATGATACAGTGCTGTATGTTAAGGTGTGATACAAAGGATATATTAAGATAAGAAGGACTTAATTTATTTGATTGTCTGGGTTTGTCTCATGTTTCAAGTTTTATTTCACCTACTATTTACAGCCAAGTTGTAAAGTCTTCTGAATCTTTCTGTCCTGCAGCGAAGAGAGAGGAGCCGTCCACCACCATTGACCCTTTGGTCCATCAAGGTGTTGTGAAATGGGTCATCCATGTTCTTTAGAATAGTCTCCACCTTCCTCAGTGCAGATCTCTCCACCACATCCTCCACTGAGTCCAGCTTGAATCCAACCACAGAGCCTGGTCTTTTTCACCAGTTTGTTCAGACGTCTTGCATCTTTGTGTTTGGTACTTCCTCTCCGGCAGACTGCAATGTAGAACAGAACACTGTAGACACCACAGACTGATAAAACATCTGCAGCATCTGACTACAGATTAGGCCTGGACGATATAGAAAAAAAGCATATCGATAAAAAATAAATCATATTGATCGATATCGATAATTATCGATATAATTGTTATAATTATTTAACATATATTTTAATTGAAGCCCTGGATGTTTTATGCTATTGCTTAATGACCTACTTTTAATAAAGAACACACAAGCACTGAATTCAAATTCAAACCTTTATTCAACCACCTTTTTTATTTTACCACAACTGAAAGTTTTTTAAAAAAGAACTAAAAAAAAAAAACGGAATCAACTTAAGTGGCCTGAGTGACGTCAGTAAATACTGACAAACATAAAGACTAAAGTGACCAGAAAATCTGATAAATAAACATTTAAATAGTCTTTTGATGAAAATAAACAAAACAAACAAATATATAAATAAACAGAATAGCTTTAGGTGGGAATAGCATACTACCAGTTTTAACTGTGTGGGAAACTGCCCACAGCCTGGTGTCTGAACACTGAAATATTTCTCCCGGGGTCGGGAGATTTATTTTTTTTAATTATCATTTGATTGACTTAATACACAAACTAAGCTCGAGAAGCAGGACTTATCCACGCCGGTGTTGTGTCGTAGAATGCACCCCTGCCGAATGCACCCCCTGCTAGTAGCCATGATCCAAATACTCGCATCTTTGTAAAATATAAGCTCATTTTCTTCCACTTTAAGAAGCTACACCGGAACGTATTTCCTCCGCACCCTTCTCACCTTTTCAACCCCTGACCCATTTTCATGCCTGAAGCGCTGTGTTTGAGAAATACTTGCGGCCGGACACTTCATATCGCGGGTCGAGAGTGGCTAGAAGCTGGTCGAAGCCAGGCTTTTCAACGGTAGTTATTGGTAGTATGTCCCTCGCTATGGAGCATGTTACTGCATGGGTGATGTCCTTATGCCGCTTGGACGCTTTGTCGTATTTTGGCAAGAAACGAAGTCCGGTTTGGTCTGGTTCACATGCTTTGTGCTGGTGCTGGCAGCGGTTCCAGAGGATTCCTCCGACGACGTGGAGCCGCGGCGCGGCCGACACAGCTCGTACTCCTGCGGGTGCAATCGGTTTAGATGGTAAAACAAGTTGGTTGTGTTACCAGACTTCGTTTTTACTAATTCTCTGCAAATTTTGCAAACGACCACTGTTCGCTTTTTGTCAGACTTCTAAAAACCAAAACATTGCCATGCTGGTGAACTACTGAAACCTTTTTTCGGGACAATGTCCTCCGCTTCTCCTTGCTGTATCATTTTTTCTAATACACGTGCTGTCTGTTGTGGTTTGAGAGGGGCTGGGCTTGGTGCCGTAGCGTACCTGGGTCTGCGTTTGTGATTGGTTGGGAGGAAGTAATGACTGTAGTAAAAGCTACATGATAGGCTATGATGAAAAAGAAAGGGAAACTGTGTTTTTCTATCGAACTTTTTATCGACCCATTTTTTTTCTATCGCACCACACGTCTATCGATCGATATATATTGTTATCGAATTATCGTCCAGCACTACTACAGATGTCTATTGATTGTGGTCATATTGATAAATGCCACAATAGCGGTGTCATTTGAGTATTTCTGGATGTGGCAGGACTCAGTACTGTGTTTGAAGTCTGACGCATACAGTGTGAACAGGATACAATATGATATGATATGATACTATGCAGCAAGAAATTGGACTAAAATAATTAATATTTGATATTTTCCTCTCCCCAGTATGTGGTATATTGTAATAAGATAAATACAAGATCTTATAATAGACGAACACAGGTTTTGGGGTCTTACTTTCCTATAATGAATGATTTTTGCATATATTCAGTCTGCATCACCAGCCTTATTATTGTCAACCCTCTCCTGCGTGTGACTGTCATAACACTCCACTGTGTGTAAGCTACAGGTGTAGATTCTAAGAGAAGCCTTAAAAGTGCTCCTTTTTGTTTTGAGTATGTGTGTCTTCAACATTCACTAGCACTGAGGTAAAGTGTCTCTGGTTTTGTTGATCCTTTAACAGGGTATAGAATTTGACACTGTGCAATTTAAAATAAGGGTCATGAACTTAGGGGAAAATTGTCCTGAACTCAGAAGCTCGCATGTCTGCACAGGAGGACTAAGATAATCAATATTCACAATGATTTATGAGTTTCTTTTTTGTTTGTTTTGGTCCTTTTTTGTTATAGCTGTTATATTAATTATGTATCAGTAAATTTGGACATAAGTTCAGGATGTTCAGAATAACCCCCCAAACTTCATGACTCCACACATAAGCTTGCTTTATTTTTTATCACTGGGATTTTGTGTCTTCATTCTAGAGCTGGAATTAACTGTATAAAAGCAAAATGTCGCTTCAAGTCTCACATTTTTTAAAGTTTCTTGACAGGCTGAATATTTGTGGTTTTGTGTAACTGACGTGTATGTGTGTATCAATTGTGTATTTTGTTTTTCTCTCTTCCCTGCATTTTTCTCTAATGGGGATCCCTTCTTTTATCCCCCTCTCTCCCTCCCACCCTCCCTCATGGCTCCTCCTTCAGCTTTTCTTCACTAAGAAGAGCGGGCAGCTACAGATGGAATGAAATCCAGCTGTGTGTGTGTGTGTGTGTGTGTGTGTGTGTGTGTGTGTGTGTGTTTGTGTGTGTGTATGTGTACATGTCTGAAGGATTACTTGCTACTTCAAAGAATGTTCATGCAGGTCTGCTGGATTACACTCAAATAGCTCGAACATGCTTTGCATTGAATTAAATCAGAAGTCTTAATCTAAACATTTATCTTTCTAGCAGGGGTGTGCAATATTGACAAAATTAAATCCAGATATTTAGGAGGCTTTTGCTAATAAAAATTGATTTTGATGTTTTGCACCCTTATCCATCCATCCACCGATACAACACATGAAAATATAGTTTATAAGTTAACAAACACAAATTGGAAAAAAAAAAAAAAAGAACAACAGTATGTGCTTCGTTTACAATACAGGACAAAACAAATGAGACACAGCCTGTTTCTTTCAGGCTGGATTTTCATATTTTAAAGATCATGGGGAACCATTATTGTCATTGAAATTGAAACCTTGATTTATCACCCAGCCCTATTTTGTACCTTTCAGTTGATGTTATCACAACAGGTGATCCATACATGTGTGTCAGACACTGCAGATTATAAGAGGTAAGGGACAGAGAGCCATAAATTATTGGTAACAGATGTGATCTTATACATTAAAAAAAGAAAAGAAAGGAAAAGCTAAAACTGGTCATTGATGATACTTGGGTGGCACATAATACATTTCCCTTGGTGCAACTGTCTAGGTATTGTCTATGAGTCTATGACTGTAAAGGTGTGTTTTGATTGTTATCATTTTTTTTAAATGAGTGACATATTTGCACATTGTTCAACAAAAATGTGGATATAGTAGACAATACTCTAACTCTAACATTTTCCACTTTTAATTATTATTCATCTCTCTGTATCAGCATCATTCCAAAACTCAGTCTGACTGGCCAGCCTAAAGATAGTTATTCTTTGAATGCTATTTTTTTTCATTTATGAGACCTCTGGAGTGACATAACTGGAGCTCTTTAATACTGTTTTCAATCCTCAAAATAAGTGTCTCATATTCCCAATGTAACCTGTGCCTGGCACTCAACTTTATGTGGACATCATCTGTAATGTGTTCAGTATAATGTATACAGGTGTCTCTATGCTAGCTTTCAAAATCTCTATGGCTTGTTTATGTGATACTTTAGTGGTTTATACTGCATTTATCAAATTTGACACACATGTCATGTTACAAACCTGGCACATAAACCCATCGTCTACAAGGATACTCTATTTTTGTCATATCCAATCCAGACTCCCATTTTGTGCCATAGTCACACTACTTTTTCTCACTTAGTTCAGGTGCACATTAAAGCGTCTGTTGCCACGTTTTTGTTTTCCTGAGCTTCTAGCGTCGTGAGATGGAGCATTTGAAACAGAAAACTGTTGTTATTTACATTCTTGTCTAAACCACAAAACCTCAGTGTCTCATGAATCAAAGTCTTTGTCCTACTCTTCATGTTACCTACCTCTATTTTACTGTTTATTTCCCACTTCTTCCCCCCTCTTCCCCCACCTCAGACATGGGAGGCCTATCCTGTGGTACACCCCACAGCAACATGCTCACACACAAAAATTGTGGCCTGCTTCCTGTTGGTGGGGGGAGGCTGTTTTTACTGTGACTCCATTTTGGCGGAGAGAGCTAATTCCCCTGCTGTCTGGCTGTGTGTGTGTGTGTGTGTCTGTCTGACTGTCTGTCTTTCACGTGTGCTTTAAACCATGCTTGTGTCTGCTGGCTCAGCTTCTGGACTGCTTTGGTTGTACTTGAGCCCATGTGTGTATGTCAGTAGTATTGTAATTTCATGTGCATTCAGAAATTTCTGCAGAGTTTGACGAGCTCAACAACACAGAGTAGACAACAGGCTTAACGATGTCAGTTATAAACTCAGCTTTATTTTTTAAACAGTATGATGGTGGCTAAACATTTTACATGCTACACGTGCTTTCTATGCATATTAAATACCAGCCTTATAGGATGAAGTTTAGCTTTGAAGCAAAAGACACATTTATTAAAAAAGGCTGATGCTTCATTTTGTATTTTCAAGAATAAAGAGAAAATCCCAGTTTAAATGTGAAGACATGGAAGTGTCTCTTCCTTTCTGTGGCTGAGACTGAGGGTGACCCTTAACCTTTATATATCATATTTTAGCATCTCAGTGCAAAGGAATTCTTTGGGGAATTGATGGCTTATATTGCCATACTAACGGCATTTCATATTATTTCCCATTTACTTTGGGAAAAAAACTTCTTTCGGCAAGAACATTGCTTCAAAATTGTGATGCTTCTATTTTGACATCTTTACTGTCCTGTCTTTGGTTGGCTTTATTTCCTGTACTGTAAAACATGTTAATAATGGTCAGTTGTTCACAATGAATTTAAGAATTTGGGTTTTGTCTGACCAGTAGATGCCAAGGTGGCAGTCTGCATCTATTAATGGCTTTGGCTGCAGGTGTAAGCGCCATTTAGAAGTGTTGTAAAAAGGTCAGATACTACACATATCTAACTCTTGTTTTGGGAACTAAGCTGTAACTTCTGAAATCACCTCACCGATTACTTAACTTTCCTTGAACATATGAAGCATTACATTTACAAAGCATTACATGAACTCAGACTGTCTCTCTCACACCTCTCTGTTACATTCTTAGGTGTACTATCTGACCTTTTTACAACACTTCTAAATGGCGCTTACACCTGCAGCCAAAGCCATTAATAGATGCAGACTGCCACCTTGTGGTTTGTAGTAGTAGCTGTTCAGAATTCTATTGCATACATAAGAACAGTGAGCTCTCTGTTACAATCATTTTTACCCTTACTATTACAATGTGAACAATATGAACTCATGCATTTGTGAACTAAAGACACAACTGTTGCGACTGTTTCATATGTTCCCTCCACTTTATGGTCAGAACTGCTACTTCCCACAACTCAAAAACTTTGTGGTTTATTTTTAGCACAATATTAGTATTTTATTATTTTTTAAGACATTATAGTATGACTGTGTGACATGATGTTCTTGTGAAATTACAGAGATGTTTCACGGAGCTGTGCTCATTATCAAGTGTAACACACAGTGTTTGTTATTCTCCTAACAGATTCATTTTCATGTGAAGGACTTGATCTACCAGTGACCCAACCTGACCAGCTCACCATAAACATCCTGCAAGACTTTCAAGCTGAGAAGTACTGTAAGCTCAGCAACAGTTACCAAGAAAGAACCTCTGAGGTTTTTTACCTGGCTGGTTGTTGACCAGACAGAACTGCAGCCATGTTGATTGTCTTAGCCTTCATCATCCTCTTCCACCTGGCTGCAGCCATCCTCCTCTTTGTTGCAACCATTCATAATGTGAGTTACAAACCAGTGTGAGTATACAAAGAATGTTATCGCTCCAGAAAGCACTGAAATTATTTCAAACATCTCTCTGTATTCCTCTGATGTAGGCTTGGTGGGTGGTGTCACCAGCAGGATATGATGTGATCTACGCTGACCTGTGGTACGCCTGCAACACCACCTGCTATTCTCTGGAGAGCAGTCACACAGCTGATGCAGGTGACACAGTTTGACTATCTAACAGCCAGGACTAAGCTGCACATGGCACAGCACTGGTGTCATTGTGCCATTTTCACACTGAGCATTCACTTTTACCAGGGTGGTTGATGAGACAAAGGAGAGCAGACTGCAGGATTATCTTGTCTCTTGACAAAATCAAACAGTTTCATCTTTGTGCTGTCTTTCTTAAGATAAAGAAGATTGCATCAATAAAGGAGCCTCTATCATTTCCTGCTTCAACTTCAACAGAATGGCTGCAGCAAATGCACCTTTCGTCTAAGCACCACTATGCCGTATGGAGGCCACTGTATGTTCTGTCTATGCAGGTTCTCATTCATCCAGGTCATGGTTATCCAATTCTTCTTACTTTGTTAAAGCGGTTTACCTGTCCAGCACAAAGGTTACAGAGTCCATAAGATCCCGAAGTGATCATTGATGTTGACCTGGCTTTTTAGCTCTTGTCCGGATGGTCACCTCCTTTCTAAGCACCCGTTATTCCACCAGAGTCTCTGGTATTTACTTCGTTTTCTTGCTTGTGTCGGCAGTCGTGGCCAAAGGAGGATTCAGACAATTTTCTGTACTTTTTGGTTGGTTTCTGCTGTCTGATGTTGTAGCACGCTAACTTTGTTTGGGCTCATGCACATTATTCAAGGATGTGGAGTGTGCCTCACAACATGAGGGAGCAGTGTCTGCCTCACAACCCATCAGCATGAGGGAGCAGCGTCTGCCTCGCAACCAATCAGGTTGGGGGAGGCGGAGAATGGCTGTGTTTACAGTCAGAATAAGTGGGCTGCTCAAAAATTTTAAAATGTTGACTACACAGACATAACGGAACAAAGCGATATTGTTATATTCCCAAATATCATCAATAACTAATAGCTATTGACAGATATTAAAATTATATACACCACAAAAAACATGCTTCTTTAACAGAATCCTGCCTACCCCACCTTTAAGTATGCATGTATGTAACCCCTCATTTCTTGTCATTCCCCAGCATATCTGCAGGCTGTCCAGGCCACCATGATCCTAGCCACTATTTTGTGTTGTGTGAGCTTCTTTGTCTTCATCCTTCAACTCTTCAAGCTCAACCAAGGAGAGCGATTCATTTTCACTGCTATTATCCAGCTACTGGCCTGTAAGTTACACAAATATTTTTCAAGCAACTCAGAGCGCCATCATCCTTTTTCCTTCAAAGTGTAATTTCTACCTTCTCTCTCTCCATCTCTCTCTTCCAGCTGTATGTGTGATGATCGGAGCCTCCATCTACACAGCCCAGAAACAGAGTTTCCACATGGCCAGCCTTCAGCAAGGCTCCTATGGCTCTTCCTACATCTTGGCCTGGATCAGCTTCCCCATGACCCTCATCAGTGGCCTCATGTACCTGGTGCTCAGGAAACGCAAATAAGTGCTTGACAACCAGACATGCAAATGTTGGATTACAGTAATAGGAAGTCATGAACTGTAATACAAGAGGCATATAGTTTACTCACAAACATACATACAGCTCTTTAAAAATGTTGGATTTTATACCATCAGAGGCAAAGATTAAGAGACAAAACAGCAATAAGGCTCAGAACAAGACAATCCAACCACACACCTTACCAAAACTATGTTTGAATCCACTTTGAACTTCTCATGCCTTGTGTGTCCTCATGCAGTCTTTGTCTTTTAGTTGGCATGCAAGGTGGTCAGTTGAAGGTATTTCTTAAAACATTTAAGGCAAATTAAAATTTGATTTGATAAGAAGCATTAGCAATACCCTTTGTTTCAACAAAAAAGTGAGCTGCATCCTTTATACTAATGGGACTAATATACCAGATTTTAAATGCAGACAGAGGTATGTAATCATTCTCTTAGGTGCCATCATCATCACCCACTTCACATGATTCAACGTTGCCCTGTAATTCATTGTACAGCAGCCACTGTGATTCATAAGGCATGTTGGGACAGAGGATGTGTAGTGATTATGAACCAGGCCACTGTAACTGCTATTTAAAAATGTTTTAACCTCATTTGGTCATCATTTTGCATTTGAAGAAATCAGTGCTCTACCATAAAGTACATACAATTTTGATGTACTGTTTGAGTTCAAAAGATGCCCCACTTTAAGACAATAAATGACCGGTAGAGGTGGGTGGCACCTCTAGGCTAGCTGGTGCTGGACAGTGCGTCTGTACTTTCAAATATCAACTGTATTGAGGGCAATGCTTAATAACAGATTATACTAAATAGAGCTATGCAGCCGCACATAAACTGCACATTGTGGACTGTACAAGTGACTCTGAAAAAGACCATGTTATAGAACAGTTTTTATGGTAGATTGCTCCTTTCTGCATGAACACAACAAATACCCTGCTCACAAATGACATGAGAGGTATCCAAACTTTCTACATATTTCACCTAAAAAAAAAAAAACAAACACACAAAAAAAACCAGTCCCAGCATCTCATCAGCGAAGCTTAAGTCAAAGCAGTTTATTATGTACATATTTGCCCAGTATGTATAGTTGAATCAATTACAAAAATAATATTTCTTAGGATAAAAATGATAAAGTAGATCTGCCTTTAATCATTGCATGTCGGGAAGAAGAGTAGTGAAGTTTTAGCCAAGATATAATTTGTAGGATTTTAACCCTTTGTTTGTAGTCTTGTGTTACTGACTTGTGTTTTAATTGTGAAAAAGGAACCATTGATGTGCTGTGATATTTCAGACAATGACATGGAAAAATATAAACTTGAATTAAGAATGTGCTTTTCTTTGTTTTATATCGTAGTGTTTGTTTTTCTTTTCATTCACAGCTCCAGTGATTTTCAAAAAACTTAAAGTTATTTATTGTTTAAAACCACTGTTGTGTATTGTAGCATCATGTGACTGAGGTCGTATGAAGTATACGGTCATGTGGACTGAAACTGAAGACGCCCTTTGCAAAATCATCCTCCTGAGCTTGGGCATTTGACATTTGATTAGAAATAGAGTGACTTTACCAGTGACCTCATCTAAAAATGAACCTGATCTAAAACACAACAAAGAGAGATTTTGCTCTGCTGTCTCGAAGAAGATACTTGAAAATGATCAAAACAAGATTCTGAAGGTCAAGATTGTGGTGTTTGTAGTGCATGTGGTTTCAAAAATTGTCATCTTAGGAGTGTTTCCTTCCTTCCTTCCTGTAATAATTAGCTTGTTTGCATGCAAGTTTTGTCTTTCTGTAAATCCCTATAACATATATTAAACCCAAAAAGAAGTTGTTGCAAATGAGAAAACTTTAATAATGAACTAAAATTGCTCCTACATGCTCTTGATTTGCAGTTGATTCACTGTGCTACTTTTCTTCCAGGGTGTCTGTTTGGTTTTTGTAAGATGTGCCGTATCTTAGTTTATGCAGATCAATAGGAAGAACTACAGGACAATATTCATGGAGACTTTTTGGACCGTTTTGCAGTTGACATTTTTAAATGCATACTACGTATTAATTACATATTGATCAAGACTCCAATGTCGCTGCATGTTGGCATAAAGTTGAAAATAAGAACTTGAATCAAAAAATAATTTTGATAGTATGCATGTTAGATGAGTGTTTGGGCTTCTCAGTCACATTTTCTTTGACTGATTTCAACAAATTTGTTTCTTAAGGCCAGTGTAGCAAAGTTAGTGGCAATTCTGTAATTTGAAAGATTTCTACATGCTCATATGTGTCAAAGTGAAATGTTTTTTTGGTCCTCACCATCAAGTAGGCATAAAAAAAATAAAATAAAAAAAACTATTTTTCGGAGTTTTATTTTACTTTAGGTGACAAAACAAATGCTACAAGCTACTGTCAAGCTATTTAGAAAGTAGTGATCATGTTTTTGCTTCACAAAGCCTGATGATCTGAATCAAACCCCCAGCATCTTCATTACTGTACAGGTGCCTTTATTCCTGGTTGACCTTGCTTAGCAGATGTAAATCCCAATAAATGTATTTTACAAGAAATAAACTTTTGATTGTATGTAAAATCTGTAATGAATTCATATCTGTTCATAAATATTCAAGAGAAGTTTGCTATTTCTTAAATGCTAGCATGTTTCAGTGATTTTATGTGGATTACATGTGTCAATGCTGAAAACAAAAAAACTGATATCTCAATAGCCAGAAGTGCCAAAGTACCCCAAATTTTTCAGTGTACCCCGATTTAGATTGATGTTTATTCTAAATAATGCTTAGCCTGGCTGATTCCTACTCACTAGCACTGGTTTCAGACATTAAAGTTTAGATATACAACCATCGGTCATTTTCAATTAGGGTCTTTTTGCTCTTCCAATATGAATTCTATTCTAGTTTTATAAACCTCTCCTAATAGGTGCTTTAATTTTCACTTAGGAATTTGACATCAAAATTTGCAGACTTACGAGTAATTTTTTTTTTTAAGTCCCATGATTTGCATTTTCAACATTGCAAACACTTTAGGCTTTGTGGTCAAATTCACAAATTATACACTTGAGGTATTATTCTGTCATGGACGTGAAAAGGTGTTTGCCATTAGTGGAGTTCAAGTACATCACTGTAGTTCAAGTCAAAAGACTCCTAAGTCATCTCATCCTGAATTTAGAGGTCAAACATTTTTGCCTCCAGTCTAACTTTCAAGTAACAGGGTTTTTACTTATTCACTTAGCTGATGAAAATGTTTTGAATATGTTTTTATATTAAAGTTTTAGTGGACTAGAAAAGTTTTATTGGTTTCTTTTTCAAATTATTAGGATGTCAGTTTTCAGCGCATATTTTATGGACAACTTTTTCCTTATATTTGTTTTTGAAGATATTGACACGAAGTAAAAAGTAATTTATGCAATGCAAAATAATATATTGTATGTTTGGTTTGAGGTTGAAGTACATTTCTAAACCCCGCAGAGAAGCATCTGCTTCATCACAAGAAGACATTTCCAGAGACATAGTAAATGTACAGTTGCAGAAATTTTCCACAAGATGTCAGCATACTCCACAGTTGATCTGCAGCATACTGGACAAATATGTGACTTAACTCTTACTTTACTGAGGCTTCAGAGGGTAAAAAAATGGTCGTTTTTTTCAGATAATGTTTAAAATATGAGTATTTACAAATCCTGCGTGTTTTTTTCCAAGTTGTTTGTTGATGCTGCAGCAGAGTTGATGTGAAAATGTAAATAATTGTGAATAATTTGGATTAAGTCATTTTCACAACAACGTAATAGAAGTAACATTTCTTTTAAAAGCAGCGTAAACTCTGTGGATTCCATTTGTTATTCTAATTTATTTGTGTATGTTTTTGGGAGGGGGTGGGCTTATTAGGCATATCTGCTGAATTTGTGGAGCCATCTCATTTGAATGCAATATAGTGTAGCCCCCTTGTGATCTGGCACGAGGCCAGGCAGACAACTGATTTACATGAAACTTTAATTTCCATAAACTTATCAGATGCTTCCAGCTAAAAATTAATTACATTTCCCTCTGCTGTTTCTTTCCTGGTTTTCAAACTTGTGTCGTGATGCTGCTTGTTGTAAATCAACACAAAGTCAGGTCAACTAAGTTTTCTGTCAAGTTGTTTGAATAGAAGCCTGACTTTTTGTTGTCCTGTCAGAGCTGTGGGTAATAAGAAGTAAACTTACTTCACCATAAATGTATTTCGTTAATTACTCTCTTTGCTGTAAATATCCCAAGGACATATTTCCCACAACACAGTTGAAGTGCTTTTGGAATCTTTTGTTCTTCTGGGAAATCAGATCTATTCACACACTCACAGAGTCAGTCAGTCTGTGTCTCTGTTGGGGTCTTATTGAAGTCCAGGTCTCTCTGATAGCTCCATCAGCTGGTCTGTGTTGCTGCTCTGGTGTCTCTCATCTTTCTCTGGACAAGTTCCCAGAGATTCTCTGTGGGGTTCTGGTCAGGCAAGTGGCACCATGGTCAGCAAACCAGTCTCTGGTTGTTTTGGTATTGTGGGCAGGTGCCAGGTCCTGCTGGAAACGGAAATCTTTGGGCTCTATTTTCGTACCTCGCCGATGACGCAACGCATGTGCAGCGTAAGTCAGGTCCACCGCGCCGACAAGGCGTTCCCAAGCTCAATTTGGTATTTTGGTGAGCGGCGCAGCCCGGCATAAGTATCCCCCCTCCCTAACTCAGCTCCTCCCAGCGGCGTAAGTCGTAGGGAGGGAGGACAGAGGGCGTGGAGTGGGTTTAACACAGCCGAGACCTGTATTGACCAATAACATCAGCTCCTCTCCTCGCCTTTAAATCCGCCACCGGCGAGGCGTATTACTATTTTCGTGAAGTAGTCAAAGAGATCAAGAGATGGCTGGAGACAGTAATGCCACACGATGGCGACAGAAGGCAGCCCCTCAACAAGTGTCACTGTAAGCACTTCAGAGGGCATCCTTCACACTCTCTCATATGGGCACAGATGGATTTGGTGTGTGTAAGTTTGGACCCACTAGTAAGACAAACACCCTTTCCACAAATAAAGACACTCACATAAAGTTGCATATATTCAAACCCCGTATTCAAACACCAAGTTCTCCTGTGCCTGATTAGCGTTTTGGGTATGTTGGCTTTGAAAGAGATAAAATTACAATCAAACCCAGGCATGAGTGATTCTGATAGCAACAATGACATGGGAATGCAATAATAAAAAGGTCTTCAAATGATGATTCTGGTGGATAAAGTAGTCCTAAACCTTTGTCACAATTTCAAAACTCAAGTCTTTATTGAGAAAACATGATGAAGCATTATCTCTTCAAAATACCAGGCAGTCAGGGGAATAGTGGACATGTTGCTGGTTTTAGCCTTGTTCTTTTTTGTATTTACCTCTCATAAATGGTAAAACCAGTGAGGTTGTACTTTTCAAAAATAATGACTCATGCACCACTTCCCTTGTCAGCACACTCCTTTGAAGAACTGGTGACAGGGGGCTGCCTTTGAGATCTTAAGGTTGAAACCTGACAGCACCTAAAACACAAAAGATCAGAACCAAAGCAAGGTTTATTACACATCCTTCAAAATCCAGTGGCGTTGATTATGGCGTGATCTAATCAAGGTGAGAAAATATCCCGAAACATAGGGTGGCAGAGCCTCACCCTGTGGTGGAGGTCCTCATTAAAAACTAAACTTGTGTTTCATCTGCTGCCTTGTGACAATCCTGACCTTCCCACTAATTAAAAATGAGAGCTCTGGATTAGTGCGCACTAAATTATTTTAAGGAGGCTCAGCACACTTGGTGAAGAGGAATTTAGGGCTGCAGTTTGAATCATGCCCTGTGTTAGCATCACATGTGCGACCATCTGAGTTGTAGACCTGTCCATTCAACTAATCTCATATTGGCTGGCCTGAGATTTATTTTCAGACCAGAGGAACAACCAGGCCTGATTAATAAGTCCTCAAACAAATAGATACAGTCAGATCTACTTATCTCTGATACTTCATACAAACTCTCATATCTTCTCATATTGATTTTCTCTGCATCAGGAGAGACCATCAATCTACCTTCAATTTAGGCCAATTTCTGAGCACAGCTTTCATTTGCAGCCAACTGTCAAGACTGGGCTTAAGTCGTGTGTTGTTTTTATCAGTTAAGGAACATCAAACCTGCTTAAATATCTCCTGTGTTTTCATCTGCTGACATTTCCATCCCTCTCACTCTGAATATGTGCTGATCCATGCAGGTCAGTCCAGACCTTTTCCTCTAATAGACACACATTTATCCTTGGATATTTGAACAGCACCAGAATTTTTACCAGCCTTTTGATCACTTAAAGAACCTGTAAGAAGTTTTTGATGGGTTATAAAACAGATTGAGATAAACAGTGACACCACTTTACGACTTAACGATGCCAACATGACCCTCAATAAAACAATGACCTATTCTAATCCTAACTTTTAATGCCTGCAACCACTGTTAGGTGGGGGTAGGTGTCAAACAGCACAATGAAATGTGGTGTTTTTACTTTGTTCATCAAAAATATTCAGAGTAAGTGACACTTTTCATTATTAAAAGAGAGCATGTGAGAAAACTAAGGTCGCTTTCAAACCAGAGCTGTTTGGTCCGCTTTAAACGGACCAGAGTTCGTTTCCTCGGATAGTCCGCTTCGTTTGGGCAGGTGTGAAAGCTCATCCGAACTCTGGTGCGGACCAAACAAGCGAACTCTGGTCCGCCTGAAAACGTGGGTCTCGGATCACTTGCAAGTGAACCCTGGTTCGGTGAAAGCTCACCGGACCAAACACAGGACCAAATGTACGTAATGACGCTATACGCAGTGCATCTTGGGTAGAGGAAGCACGGCATCACTTGTTGCCATAGCAACAAGTGCCTGCTGACATTAGCAGTTGCTAGCTAGCTTAGCTCAATTGTCTGAACAACAATAACCCATAAATTTACAATTTGGCATATTTAAACAAAATCAGATCACAACTACCAACAGTCACAGTCCTTTAACTCTGAGCTCATATATTGTCAGGGATTGATCCTGTTATTTTTCTAACTTTGACGATCTAACATGTGACAAGCTACGGTAGCATTAAAGGAATAGTTGCTAACATTTACACAACACACACAACACAGTTTACTAACATTGTAGCATTCCATAAAATAATGTGACGAAGCACAATACAAGACGGCTAGTCCACTCCTGTTTGTAATCGTGAGGTTACATACCCCTCCTACTTTGTCCAATCGACGAGCGCCCCTTTCAACCACGTGATGCTGCTCGGAAGTTCGATGCGCTTTAGAAATCACAGTGTGAAAGCAGAACTGAAACAAGTGATAAATGCAACACTGTTGTGACTTTCAGCTCCCCAATCAAACCGAGTCCGCTTGGTCAGGTGTGAAAGCGACCTAAGTCATAGCTTTACATCTGAGGCAAGCCTAAGCATTAATTTGGCTCTAAATGTAACCATGCTAGCATACCTCAACCATGCTTACATGCATGATTTTATAATGTTATTTAAAGCTTGCAGGTCCAAGCTTTCGGTCGTTTTAGATAGAACAGCTCCAGGTTTCAGAAACAGTTGCTGGCTTTTATTTCCCAAACTGTTGTCCAGAAAACTGATCTGTGGTGCCATTGTCTTTAGGAAGAGAAAATAGCTGCGAATGTCCTTCACAACATTAACAAGAAACTTCCAGGGACATATTGACTCCAAAGTGCAGATGAGAGGAAAAAGACAAGCGGTGAAACCAGGTAGGGGTGTCTTGGACAGGGCTACCAGGTGGGTCCAAAACCATGGTCCTGATAGGCCGGCACTAGCAGACATCACTGTCTGTGTGTCTCATATTACGAAATTTCACTGTAACATTGTATGTCTGTATTTAGGTATGGATCAGCATGATAGGTCTCCTTTATTGCTCACCTACTGATCACTGAGTGTTCTACTGAGGAAATTTCAGCAAATTTCAGGTCTTCAAACTTTAGTTTAGCTCAGGGCACCTTGATTTGGATGTAAAATTTTCACCTCTGTAAGAGACCTTTACATGTAAACTTCTATTGCACCTGGGTGAAACAGTTTTTAATACAAACTAAAGAGTAAGTCTGGTCTCCGCCTCTTGTTGTTTTCCACAGGCCTTTGCAGATGCAGTGAGGCAAAGAACAAGAGCAGATGAAACAGCCAAGCTGTTGTGTGGAAAATGTTTTCTGGCACCGGCGTCCGCTGCTCTCGTTTGAATCTCTCGCATTATGAGGTAGTTACTGTAAGCCAGGGCCATAAGTGATCCCTAGATGCACGCTGGCACAACACCACTCAGTCTGTTTGTAGCTTCTGGGTCCTCTAGCCTCATTTGAACTACCTGCTTCATTGCACTGTTTATATTAAAATACACTGCTCTTATCATAAAGGGATACATCTATTCTCTGGAGACAGGAGGCTCATTATTATTTTGAATCTAATTGCAGAAAATTAAAGGTGGTGGGGGAGACAGAATGGCTTTTGCTCCAAACTGGTTCACACTGTGGTGAGGAACATTTACAATTTACATTGTTACAGCTTCATTTGGTAGATACTTTCCCATAGCGTCATACATCTGAGATTAAGAACAACACTAACAAGGATTTAGACAAGAGGAAACAGCACAAGTCAGAGCCCTCAACTGCTTTATGTTATTATGTTATTAACTTAGAAAGAGGCAGGTCTTTCTAAGTTAATAACATCCTTATCAAAGCATCAACCGCAATATCAGCATTACTATCATCAATACCATGGTTGTCAGCATCATCCCTAGCAGCAAACTACTAAGTGAAGGGATGTTCACATAGACTGTATATACTATGGACAACTTGGCTCCGCTTTCCATCATTATATGAATTTGAAGCCGAATTGCCCTAGGTATTTCTGGGATTTTCTCCACTTCCTGGAACCACCACTTGTGCAGAAGCATGGTACGCATTTGGCGGGAGAGTCGCTGTGATGACACTCTGCTCAAACAGTGTATTCCTCGGGTGAGCTATGCAATCTTCGTACGTCCATAAGCCATATCAAGTTTCAATCATAAAAAACATGAACCCTCCTAATAACTTTTAAAAATGGAGCTGTACAGAAAAAAGAGGACTTGCGCACAAACCAGTCTGGCAGTAACTACATGTCAACATCGCAACCAGGGGGGAGAAAAATTTGTATTCTGTCTAATTAATTTCTGAAGTTTGTCCCCAACTCCATAGGGATTGCTGGAGGAGGCAGGATTTATGACTTATACTGCAGCTCGTCACCAGAGGGTGCTGTTCTCACAGTGGCTTCACCCAGTGAGGAGGCAGATGGTATCCTTTCAATATACAGTCTATGAACACTCACCAAGAGCTGGGTCTGTAACCCTCTAAAGGGGTGTTCAGACCAAACACGACCTCGGCGACGTCGGCAACGGCTCCCAATGCAAAGTCTATGGACAGCCGCGACCTGACGCGACTTGGCGACCGCCGGCTGCCTGCGACACGACCTGATGCGACTTGGAGACCAGGTCGTGCATGGTAGCCAAGTCGCGTCGCCGAGGTCGCGTCGCCGAGGTCGCGTCGCCGAGGTCGCGTCGCCGAGGTCGCGTCGCCGAGGTCGCGTCGCCGAGGTCGCGTCGCCGAGGTCGCAGGACGCCAAGTTGCGTCGCTCCCAAAGTTCAAATATTTGAACTTTGGGAGCGTCGCGACAGCCAATCAGGGCTCTGCTGACGTCAACAAACCGGCGAAGCAAGGAGGAGGAGAAGAAGAATCACAATGGAGGAGCAGTTTATCACTGCCGTGAGTTATCACCCGGTCCTGTACGATGTGGGGTGCGCATTTTACCGGGACCCCACCTCCAAGGAGGAGGCATGGGCGAAGGTGGCCCATGATTTCGGGCTTTCTGGTTGTTTGTTTATTTATTTCAGTGAGCAGACTATTTTCTGAAAACATAGCAAACTTCCCCTGCTTGCTAGGCTACATGTTTCAACGTGTGTGTGTGCCGCAAGCGCTGGAAGGGGCTGCGGGATGTATATATGAGGGAGAAAAGGAGGGAGAAGGAAGGTGGGAGAAGCAGGTCAGCGGCGACCAGCGGCGACCTGGCGACTGCAGCGGCGACCTGCTGTGAACACACCAGGGCGCCACGCGACGTGACCGACCAACGCGACGCGACCTGGTCGCGTTTGGTCTGAACACCCCTTAAGATGTAAAGAAGGGACTCTGCAGAGGGGGTATTTGTGGTTTAAGCAAAAGAAAAGGGAAATTGTTTAAAAGTGTCTCAGAAAAGCAACATTAAGTATCTGAAAATGTATTATTTTACCCCCTGATCATTCTGGGTGCAGAACATTCAGTTCATGATGTTAATTTCTTTTATTACAGAGTTTCTTTGAATTTCCAGAGATAAAAAAGGCAAGTGATGCAATTTGTGATAATTCTGCATGATCCATGAAGAAAAAAAATGAACTGAACAAACAAAAAAGACAGAAAAAATAAATAGAAATAGAAATTACCCATAATCAAGCCAATACAAAAAGCCAGAAGCAAGGAAAAAGCCCAGTTGACCACCAGCATCATTTAAGACTATTTTCCATGATTTGTGGCACTAAGATTTTAAAGTGCAAAGCTGTCTATAATACTTACATCAATGCAGCTTGATCTGAGAGTACCACTAAGTAATAAATAATTAAGAGTTTACTTAAAATATTGAAAACCATCAGCCTTAACATCAGACTGAGGAATGACCCTAGCTGTATGAGGTTTTGTCCCTTTTGCACAAGCTAAGTGTATTCCCCAGCTAAATGAGCAACTAAGGGTGACTACATATGAGTGGAACACCTGTTGTCTTTCAAAAGAGAGGACCCTGAACATCTCCTAAAATAACTAAATGTGACAGTTGGTGGCCAACTCTTTATTCAGTTTTTCAAAACACATTAGTCATGCAATAATGGTAACTGGTCACAAGTTGTCAAAAGGAATTCTGCAAATCAATAAATGCTTAATTTATTATGCTTTAGATCAATGCTGTAAAAACAAAAACACCAAAAAGATGTCCTCATTTTGAAACTTCCTGGTCATGTTATCAAAGCATGTGGAGACATAGGTAGTGCATTTCTATCAGGTTGTGCTTTGAGGAAAAGAGCATAAGAACTAGCTTATTGGCTTTATATCTGTTCCTCACCTCTCTGATTGTCCCATTTTGAAGAGTAACCTTTTCGTTGATGTCCTTGTCACTAACATTAGCCCTTGTTGTTGACGAAGTACTCAAGGCAAAGTTTGGAGAAGACGAATGACGCAGGCAGAGCAAAGCAGGACAAGCATCTGAGACCACAGTTAAAAGTAACAAGTCCAGCATGTATGTAACTTTATTTTTCTGTTTATGTTTGGACTGCATATATCAAAGAAAAATGATAATCGTAAAAGCTCAAAATGTCACATGATACAGAGATTTTTTTTAAAACTAGTTTTATCCATAGACTGTATAAAGAATGGACAGAGTCTGCCTCCTCGCTGGGTGAAGCCACTCCGAGAACAGCATCCTCTGATGGTGGGCTGCGGTACAGGTCATAAATCCCGCCTCCACCAGCAAAGCTTATGGGACTGTGGACAAACTTTAGAAATTTATTACACAGAACATAAATTTTTCTCCCCCCTGCTTGTGATGTTGACATGTAGTTATTGTAAGACTGGTTTGTGCTCAAGTCCTTTTTTTTCTGTTCAGCTCCGTTTTTAAAAGTTATTAGGGGGTTCATGTTTTCTACGATTGACACCTGGTACAGCCTATTGGCGTTCAGGGATTGCATAGCTCACCCGGGGGGATACGCTGTTTGAGCCGAGCGTCATCAGAAGGACTCTCGGCGACTGCGCAGCCGAATGCGCGCATCGCTACTGCGCGGCTCTGGTTTCAAGGAAGTGGAGAAAAACCCGGAATTACAGAGAGCTTTTTGGCTTCAAATCCGTATACAGGCGGAAGGCGGAACCAGGTTGTCCATAGTATATACAGTCTATGGTTTTATCTCAGGTAAAAGCAGCTGGTATTTAGCTGATTTTTTTTTTTTTTTTTAAGGAAATGCGTCTGTATGTCAAAGGTAGACATGAAGATAGTTGTCAAGAGCAGTGACTTAACTCATGTTCCTGTCAATGACTGCCCAGCAACTATTTAGAGGCTAGAAACAGAGTTAATGCTAAGGAAAACTAACAAATTACAGCACCAGCAATGGCAGCATTTGGAAAAATTTTGAGGATATATTTTATATGATAGTAAATAAATGAAGACTCTTTGTACTACTGTATCAGCCTTTTGCAAGTTTAGCTCAGCAAAACACAGAAAATCACAATATCTGTAAAAATAACTAATCTAACTTTCCCAAAAAGGCACAAATCCACTTAGTAGTATCTTAAGGCCCCTACAGACATAGAATTGTGATAGAAAGGTAAATTAGATAAGTAACACTGCTGTAAGGTTATATATGTGCCTTCTAATAAGAAAAGAGCCATAAGCTGGTTAGCTTCACTCAAAATCCTCAAACAGATGAAAACAGTTTACTTATCCGACAAAAAGGGTATTTTCCAAAAATCCTACAAAAATATCTGTCAGCCTCTAATAAATGGGCAGTTCAACACCAAAGTTATATCTTTGACTTAACCATAGAGCTAGGTTTTAGCTAGATAGCTCAATACCCTTCAAAAACATGACAAGGGAGATAAAGCTTTACATGATTTATTTTTAAGTATGACTAAAATCCTGTTAGTTCAGTCTGTAACAAAACCAAAGGAGTAATGGCAACATAACAGTGTTATGAAATGATATTAAGGCTTAACTAAGCTAGCTGACAGCTATCATATAGGATTGTAACTACACATAGTCATGGTATCCATCCAGTCATCACAATCGTGGAGGAAAAACAAGATATGTTCGTGAAAATCCTTTCGGTGACATATCAAACCCATTATGTCCCTCAACTTTTACCAGCCATCTGTCTGTCAGTTTTATACAAAGAGGTTTGTGCTGGATGCGTGTACAAAATGTTTTCAACTGTCCTGTTGGGTTGTTTGGGAAAATGGCCTCGACAGGCAGCAGAGATGAGATATGAACCGTGACAGCTCTGCCTATTGTATGAGCCTGAGGGACAGTCATCACCTGTCAGGGCCAAAATAACTCTGGGCTGCTCTGTTAGCCACACTTGCTGCCTTTCAGTTGCATGTTTGGATATTGAAATGAACAATCTCCTCTGACAGTGCAGTCAGACAGCCACAGAGTGCCACGGGAAATGTGTGACAGCAATGAAGGCTCATCTCCTCTCTGCCCGTCCTCTTGCTTGGTACAGTGAAAGCATTGTAGTTGTAATTGCCTTCAAGACTGGCTTAGGCTCTGGACCAAGGATCTTTCAGCTGAGATCTGTTAAGCCTATTACAGACTTGTTGCGTGAAGACACACAATCCTATAAGGATGAAAGCCTAAATGTGCAAGAGCCAATTTGTGCCACTTGCTTTGGCATCACCATGTCCTGCCTGTGCTGGAACACAGTCTAAGTCTTTTGTTCTGTGGATCATTAGGACTCCAACACTGACACAGTCCACAATACAATAATTTAAAAA